TGCTCACCATCTGTCCCATGGTGGCACACAACAACGGGTTACTGATACCAAGGCTAACACCCACGTCACCAATGACTTAAGCCATATTTTCCTTGCTAGAAAGTATCATGGTTCCGACAATGTTGAAGGTGTGCTTGGTGGAACAAGTTTGCCTATTACTCATATTGGTCACTCTCGTATCTCTCACCTTAACGCTTCCTTTTCTCTTAATAATATTCTTCCCTGTCCTAATGCCTTTCTTCCCCTTATGTTCATAAATTTGCTACTGACAACAATTGTTTCTTCACCTTTTTCCTTGATTGCTATTTTATCCAAGATTTGGCGACGGGGAAGATTCTTTTCCAGGGCAAGAGTAGCAATGGCCTATATCCGTTTTCCTTTTGACCAAATGAGTCCTTTCAAATTTTGCCTGATCGTGTTGCTTTACTAGGTGTTCATGTTGGTCACTCCGTGTGGGACTCTCGTCTTGGTCATCCTGCTTCGTCTACTTTACAATTTTTGTTTTCTAATAATTTGCCATTTTCTGGCTCTCAATCTAGTTCTTTTTTAGTCATGTCCATTGGGTAAAAGTGTTAAGTTACCCTTTAGTCTGTCTTTTTCTGTTTCTACTACACCGCTTGAACTTATTCACTCTGATGTGTGGAGTTCTTCAAATAAATTAATTTCTGGTTTATCTTATTATGTTCTCTTTGTTGATGATTTTCCTGTTATTCTTAGATTTACCCAATGAAGTTAAAATCTGAAGTTTTCTCTCATTTTGTTAAATTCAAGGCGTTGGTCGAAAATATGTTCTCTACTAAAATTAAAGCTTTTCAATATGATGGGGGTGGGATTTAAGGATTTTTTTATCTCATCATGGCATTCATCACCGTATCTTTTGTCTCCATCACCTTGAACAAAATGGCTTAGCTAAATGCAAGCACCGTCCCAATGTCGATACTGGGCTCACTCTTTTGGCCCATGCCTCTATGCCTCCTTCCTAATGGGATGAGGCTATGCATACTGCTGTCTATCTAATTCATCGTCTCCCTTCTAAGTTACTTCATCATAAATCACCTTATGAAATCTTATTTCACAAAGCCCCGAATTATTCTTTTTTAATAACTTTTGGGTGTGCTTGTTTTCCTTACTTAAGCTCATATAATTATAATAGAATACAGTTTTGGTCTTCTAAGTGTGTGTTTTTAGGTTATTCTTTAAATCATCAAGCTTATCGATGTTTAGATCTTTCTTCTCACCCTATCTTTTTATCTCGTCATGTATTGTTTGATGAACTTTCTTTTCCTTTTCACAAGGCCTCCGCTGCTCCTGCTCCGGACAATTCTCCGTTTTCCTCAACTGACATGCCTCTACTTCTCCATGGTCCTAATTTTTCCTCCCTCAGCTTTGTCTCCTCCAACCTCACTCCTCCGACGTCCCAGGCCTAGCCCTCTCAACCAGCTCCAGCTTTTGCACTGCCCGTTCCGTGTCTGCTCCTCCTCCTAGCTCACCACCTGTGTCGTCCCCTGTCCCCCTAAGTCTACCCTCTCCTCCCCGCCCTACCAGCCGCCGATCAACCTGTCTGCACCTCCTCCTTCTTGTTTTTCTCAAACATATTCTATAGACCTGCACTCCAAAATTGTATTTTCGCATGTCGTCCATGTTCCATCTGGTACATATTCTCCTCATTCTGATGCTTCTTTGGTAAATGTATCCAATACTCATTTAATGGCTACTCGTGCTAAAGCTAGTGTTCGTAAACCTAATCCTAAATATGCACATCATGCGTTGGTTTCTACTGATGATTCTTTTGAACCTACATCTTTTTCATAGGCTAATAAGCTTAACGAGTGGCGTCTTGCCATGGAAGATGAGTTTAATACTCTTATTCGTGCCAGGACTTGGAATTTAGTTCCTCATACCCCCGCCATGAATGTGTTGCCAAACAAGTGGGTTTTTCGGTTCAAGTGGAATTTGGATGGCACTATTCAACATTATAAGGCTCGCTTTGTGACCAATGGTTTTCATCAGCAACCGGGCCTTGACTATGGTGAAACCTTTTGTCCTGTTGCTAATCATTCTACTATTCGCTTTATCTTGGCTCTTTCTATGCAATTTAGTTGGCATGTTCGTCAATTGGATGTTCAAAATATTTTTTTACATGGCTATCTTGATGAAGAGGTTTATATGCGCCAGCCCGTTGGCTTTGTTGATTCCACATATCTTAATCATGTATGCCCCTTACGTCACTCTCTTTATGGTCTTAACTAGGCCCCTTGTGCTTGGTTCCACAATTTCTCTTCTCACCTATTTCCTTTGGGTTTTATTGCTTATAAGTCCGATTCGTTTCTCTTAGTGTACACTTAAGGCTCCATTCACATTTATTTGTTGATTTATGTGGACGATATTCTTGTCATTGGCTCCGATCTTCCTCACATCACCACCCTTATCTCTGATTTGGGCTGCCAGTTCTCTATGAAGGATCTTGTCCCCGCCCACTATTTCTTAGGCATGGAGCTTCTTTGTACTCCGTCTGGGTTCTCTCTTTCCCGGACCAAGTATGTCGTTGACCTTCTCAAGCGTATTAACATGCATAAAGCTAAACCTATGCCTACCCCGGCTATTAGTGGTCGTCGTCTTAGCATTTCCAATGGGGATCCTCTTCCTGATCCCACTGAGTGTCGTAGTATAGTTGGGGCTCTTTAGTACTTAACTCTCACTCGTCTGAATATTTCGTTTTCTGTTAATCAGGTGTGTCAATTTATGCATCAACCCACTACTGCTCACTCGCTGTCAAAAGTATCCTTCATTATCTGAATGACATGCTCACTCATGGGTTATTCTATTCGCCTACCACTCTCTTTCTCAATGCGTACTCTGATGCTGATTATGCTGGGAAACATGATGACCATCACTCCACTGGTGGCTATTGTGTTTATTTGGATACTAACTTAATCTCCTAGAGTTATTAGAAGCAACGTGGTGTTTCTCGCTCCAGTACTAAGGCGAAGTGCCGCCAGCTTGTCTACACTGTCACCACTCTCTCATGGTTTCGTGCTTTATTTATTGATCTTTATCTTCCAACTCCTTGTTCCAAGCTTTGGTGTGATAATATTAGTGCTCTTTCTCTGGCTTCTAATCTGGTCTTTCACTCTCACACTCGTCATGTGGAGGTGGATTATCATTTTGTTTGTGAAAGGGTGGTGCAAAATGAGTTGCTCATTGCGTATTGTCCTATTGTTGATTAGGTTGCTGACATTTTTACTAAGGGCTTATCACCTGCCCAGTTCTCCTTACTTTGGTCCAAGTTGCCTATGCTCCACCAGCCCATTAGTTTGCGGGGGTGTAATGGACGTGAATCCTGATTTGATTATGATATGATTTAGGCCCATTTTGGAATTGTTGTCACTTTTTAAAAAGTTGCTTATGTTGTGCTTTGAAAATAATTAGTAGTAAAGTAAAGCAACTCCATGTTTGGTAAACAATATTTTTAAAGTGCTGTTAGTATAAAAAGCAGTGTCAAAACCGTTTGGTAAATTTTAATATAAAATTGTTGTAACTGTGAATAATGATTAAAATAAACATGATGTTGAAAGTGTTATGTACTAATTTTGTGGTGGCAGTGGTAGTGATGGAGTAGAGATGGTGATGGTGATGAAGGTGGAGTTGGTGGTTGTGGTAGTGGTGGTGGTGGGGATCGCAGTTGTGGAGGTGGTTGTGGTGGTGGTGGCAGTGGCAGCATGGTGGTGGTGGTGGTGTTGGTGTTGGTGTTGGTTGTGGAGGTGGTGGTGGACTTGGAGGTTTTGGAGGAGGTGGTGGTTGTGGTGGTGGTGGTGGTGGTGGAGGTGGAGGTGGAGGTGGAGGTGGAGGTGAAGGTGAAGGTGGTGGTGGCAGTGGCAGCATGGTGGTGGTGGTGGTGTTGGTTGTGGAGGTGGTGGTGGATGTGGAGGTTTTGGAGGAGGTGGTGGAGGTGGAGGTGGAGGTGGAGGTGGAGGTGGAGGTGGAGGTGGTGGTGGTGATGAAGGTGGTGGTTGTGGTTGTGGTGGTGGTGGGGATCGTAGTTGTGGAGGTGGTGGTGGTAGTGGCAGTGGCAGCATGGTGGTGGTGGTGGTTGTGTTGGTTGTGGAGGTGGTGGTGGATGTGGAAGTGGAGGTGGTGTCATTTTTTAAAATGAATGATGGTATTTTGGGAATTAAAAAAATTCATTAAAGGTTCATATCTACTTCTTTTGAAAGCAGCTTTGAAAAGCAACCGAGAGCCTGCTTTTAAAAGCTGCTATCAAAAAGCCATTGCTTTTAAAATAATCAGGATATTTTATTTTTACCAAACACTTTAAACTCCTTAACTTTAAAGTGAAGCAAGTTTTTGGCCAAAAAAAGCAATCTCAAACAGAGCCTTACTTGCCAATTATATGTATTTATTCCTATATATCCTCCTTGTAATCAAGACATTATTCCTTACCTAGAATAGGAGAACCATTGTGTAATCACCAAGTATTTATTCCTATATATCCTCCTTGTAATCAAGACATCATTCCTTGCCTAGAATAGGAGATACGTTCTGTAATCACCAAGTAAAGGCTCTGTATATATTTCCTATATTGTCTATCAATTAAAAGCATCGAAGAGATTCAAATCATTTCACAAGCTCCGTATGATTAGTTTAGTTTAGTTGGTTTGTTTTCTTGGGGTTTCACCCCTTCTTCATAAATAAATAAATAAATTACAGTTGAGATTATCTCTCAGAAACAAACGTCTAATGTCATACAAATTGAGACAGATTCAAATCAAAATCTTTCACTTCAATCATTTTACTTCTTAAATTGTACCTAGCTTCGCTTTAAGCCCATGCATCATCCAGGAATCACCACTAACATGACATCACAACATCAAGTTCATACATAAGACAAGATAATGTCTGATGTATTATTATTATATACATCATAAAAACCATCAATTTCATACATAACAAGATTCATTCACATAGCAAATATATAATTATAATATATTAGCATGTGATGGCTACTTTTTGCCTCCTTTCTTCTTGGGCTTCTTGTTCTTGCCCTTTTTCTTCCCCTTGTTTCCAGTTTCATTACTGCCAGAAGCCATAGCATCTGCTTGCTTAGACTTTGGATTTGACTCTTTGGATATGTAACATTCCTCATCTGTATTGTGGCTGTCTCTGCCCCCGGCGGCATCATCACTCGTCTTATCAGATACAGCACCAGTCTCAAAAGGTTCCACCACACCAGAGTTCGATGGCAGGATCTTAGAACTCTTCTCTTCCTCATAATTGGAATTGGTTGCATGAAGCACACGACTGAAAGAATTATTACCTCCTGCTTCAACAGATGTAGCTTGGGAAACTTGTAGGACAGGTGGCCGTTTAGGAAACAATTTTCTTAGTATGTAATCCCTGGAATGGTTGGCCTTCATGTCAACAAAGATGACATCTGAACATAAGAACCTTGAACAATCAGACCCGAAACATGCAATTACCAAAGTATTACCAATCTTCTGAAAAGCTGCAGCTAGCAGCCTCGTATTTATATTAAGAGATTTGTGTCTCCTCCCACTCTTAAGGGCGTCAAAAAATTCCCGTGGCAGCTGCTCAGTGATATAGTCCCTTCCCAGCAAATCATAGAGTTTATCTAGACCCATGTCAAAATTTAAATAAACCAAGCATAACAGGACAACAAATCTCAACATGAGTTGAGAATAATTGTTCTTCCAATTTGCGTCGGTCTTTTTAATCCATTCAACCATATCCGCCTTATTAAAAAGACACCCCTGAACCACATAAATCACAAAATGAAGGATGTCAATTAAAGATTGTTGCACATCACCACCAGCTATGGAACTCAAGTTGGTATCTTCCTCTTGGTATATGAGCCACTCAACAAAGCAAGAGCTTGTAGTGACAGCATAACCCTGAAAGCAAGTTGCCGAAATCAGAAGGCGCTCTACAAGGTACAAAAAGCAACCAGGTGATATGTAATCACGAACCACCCTCCAGTTCGCATTATAAGTATCAACTAAAGCTCCATACAACTTCAACATTATAGACACCTCTCTCGGTTCTTCACTGGTGTTTCCAGGGCCAATATTCTCACATAGATTCTCAATGAAAGCCTTCCATGGCGGGTGGCAGTCCAGTTTTACCACAAGCTTCTCGTATAGTTCACTATTATTCAGCTTACCGGACCCGAGAATAACCATTGCAAGCCTTCCAATCTGCCCAAAAGACAGCACCTTCTTCGAGCTGGTATACTCAACTATTACTTGTTTCAGCACATTCTTTAAGGCATCAGTTCTTCTAAGAGCAATCATATTCTCCCTGAATGAATTCCTCCAATCCAAAGGAAATATATTCGCAACAACAGTATCAGTAGAAAACTTTACACATCTCTGCAATCTCTCGGTATCTTGATTCCTTAGCTTCAAACATTTTGATTGCAAAAGATATTCTGAGATCTCACAAATATGGGTAAGACACCTGCTTTGGCAGAACACTGCATCATCAGCATTTTTTATTGGAAACTTGTAAAGATTTTCAAGCTTCTCCAAAACTTTCATGCCAACAGAGAGCATTTCTGAACTCCAATAACTACGAGCAGCTGAAACAAGCTGGTGAACACTAATGGAGACCAACTTCCCATGATTTCTAAAATGTCTTTTGTCCAGACCTCGAACCCAATCAGCATCAGATATGAGTAAGACATAGACTGGAGTAAAATTATGATACAACCTCCACACTCCTAAGTAATCCAGACAAAGCTCTCCGTACCTTCTGTAATCATTAGCATCTTGGTTTTCAAGGCATCCGAGATATTCAATTATGAAGGCAATTTTATCCTTCCAAAAAATCCAGAAATATATCAGTGAATCTATAGATACCTGATTTTCAGATATTCTTCCTTCTGAACACATTATCAGATCCCCATCAACCAAATCCTTTTCCCACACATACTTATTGGCGCTTGAAGAAATATGAGCATCCAATATTTTTCGAGCAGATAATAATTCACCTCTAGTACTCTTATGCCTCTGACAAACATTCATATAATTTTTTATCAAGGCCAAGTTACTCTGCTCATTTAACAAAATGTCAACCTCAGTGCAAACAAGCTCATAAAAGCTTTCTGTTTCATTCTTAGCAAATGACTTGGCTTTTGATAAATGCTCCTCCTTTTGTGAAAACTGTTGTATGGGCCAGCCCTTTCTGCCATGTGACCAAAGAGAGTTTGCAAGCACATAGAATAGAATGTGTAATGATGCTTCTTTGAACTTGCCTGCCTTTCCAAGGAAACCAGCTTCGAGTAGAATATCGCCTTTCAGCTTCGCAATGTCCGCAGCTTCAACATAGTTTCCAAATTCTTCTTCCAACAAAAGAAGCTCATCAAGGAGACCCAACTTCTTCAAAAAGTTCCGCATCAAAATAATCGAATGAAACGCTTTAACAAAGTTCATCACGGATCTGTTATCTTTCATCTCATAATAGTGGGATGCGCAGCTCTCCAGATATTCTTGTTCAATTTTATCTATTCCTTCACCTCTTCTGGCAACAACGCCGTCCTCTATTGCATGCTGTTTCCAATACTTGATGTATTGTAAACCCATTTGAAACAGTTTTCCTTTGGAACAAACAGTGAGACACTCGAAGAAATAATTGCCCCTAGCATACACATCCGCAGCATCTTTATAGCATCCAGCTAGAGAAAAACATTCCCCAGCTCTTTCCAGATCAGGCACGCCACATTTATCCAAATAAATCCTAGCTGCACCAATAAAGTCCAGAGGTTTCAACATTAACTGGAAGTACAAACATTACAGGCAGGGGTGCAAGATTGTAAATGATGGTGAAATAAAATCTTGTACTTGAAACAAGAAATATGAGCTAAAGATAACATATGTTAAATAGTCATACCTGCTCTTTCATATTCGCCCAAATCAGAAAAGCATCTCGCAGCGGAATCTGCCTTGCCTATAGCATCAAATATTTCAGCAGCTTCCCTAAGAATGGAATTGGCCTCTTCAGGATTTGAAGTTCGCATACGGTCAGCGATAGCTTTAAGGCCAGCAGCTTTAGACCTTCTTTCCCAATACGTATCACCACCTCTCTCAAAGCACATTGTGGCCATTTCATAGTTATGCTCATGATATAGCTGCAAGTAAAAATATGATGCTTGTAATGAAAAGAAGGATTATAATGATGATGAAAATAAGAACAATATGAATTAAGCAATACTGCAACAAATACTTCAATTGTTTATCGCTCCTTTTCATCATCACTATTCATCTTAATTGTTGTTACAAGGAGGAAATTATGCAAACCTTAATTCCCCGTGATTTCCACTCCTCTGGACTGCTTGCAACTTGCATTGCCTGTGCGAGTGAATCATCCAGTTGCCTAACTTGTACAAGACATTTCTTCTTCCAATAGTCAAACATTGGTTTGGAGAGCTCTTCTACATTCTCACAAACCCACAATCTCTGTCTCGTACGAGTAACAGCAACATATAATTGCTTCAATTCAGAGCACAGGATGTTGTGCCTAGCTTCATTGAAACTTGGAAAGCCCTTTGGTAATGTTGAGTCAAGTAAATCTTGTTCCTTCATGTAATCATATATGACCCTCCATTGGTTTTTCAGTGGTGATGAGCCAAAAAAGTTGTACAAGAGCACGTCCTATAAAAGGGACATGAATGTTACGAAAAAATTAGAAATCAAAACTTAAAAAACATAGTAAATATTCAATATATTGTTCAGCAGCAGTAAACCATCATTTTCTAAGGTGAAGCCACAAAAAATTTTGCAAGGGAAAAGGAGAAAATATCAGATCATGCTACTCTGATAATAGATTCTCTAAGGCTTTAAAAAAAAATACCTGGAACTCAAGGCCCTTGCACTCCACAATGGTGAGGACAAGAGCATGCTTCCCCACAAACATGGAAACATCTTTCCTGGCACCATCATCTCGCACCAAAATAACCTGCTCTGCACCAAAGCCAACTATGTTTCCGGTACCAGTTGCACTATTTCCAAATATTTTTATGATTGCATTTTCATTTTCTCCAGATTCAAGCAAAACTGGAGCTTCCCCATAAATAAGACTGGTTTCAGGGTCTAAAACATCAATAGAGTGGGGAAAAAAACGATAAATCAGTTCAATAATGCTCTGTGATAACTTTAGTATACCAGCATGGGTACGGAAATTTTGAGTCAAATGAAACATTTTTGAAATTTGTCCCTTTTCTTTTCTTTCTTCAAGCTTATTGCTTCTTGATTCCAACACAAACTTCTTGTGGAACAAATGTCGTATATCTTGGAACCGAAAATCAATACCCCTTGCAATTGTTTGTGCTGTATCCCCAGAAAAAATAAAACCCTCATCAATATTGTTGATGCACATATGTTTAAACAAAGCAATTTGACTCATTGTGAGATCTTGGACCTCATCAATATAAACAAAGTCCATTTGATCACCCCCATATTTTTCATGCCTGAGACGACGGTGAAGATCAATTACAAAATCAGCCAGATCAAATTCACCATTTTCCATCTTCATTTTTTCATAAGCCTGAAATATATCGTATATTTCTTCTCTCTTTTGCTTGCTTAAATTGGAACCCCGGCCCTCTGACAATTGAACATAGTCGTCACGATTGAGTTTACCATCACCCGCATCCATGGCTCCCAAACCACCTTTAATATGAGATATTATCTCTGTAAAGACTCTTGAAGCATCGAGCTTCTTTGTTAACTGGATATTAAAATGGGGCCAGTAAGATGAACTGAATCTCTCATACTTAACCTCCTTTGTCCTTATAAGGGTCTGCAAAGCAACTGATCTTGAACTTTGCAATCGACCATGTGTAAGTTTTGTTGCATCAAGGAATCTTTCAAAGTATGAGTTCCCCAGTGTTCCATCAAGCATCATCAAGAACTTATGGAATGTTATGACAAGAGGGTAAGAATTGGGAGGAATATCATGAAATGAATCCTTGATATCCTTGAATTGGGCTTCCTCCTCATCAAAATCAGCCATATCAATCAAACTCTTTTCAGTTAAATCACTTACACCACATGCAAAACTGCGAATATATGACAGTTAGCAACTTGTGGAACAAGAAAGAAAATTTTGCCTGAGCAACATAAATAAAGATTCCTAATGTATCCTTCAAGAATAATATTGTATCATGATTCACAATAGAATACCCTGCAACTAAACAAAAGAAAATAAAAATGCAGTATCTTTTTGTTGAATAATCCACGTACCTTTTTAAGTTTAAAACATGTTGCTTGATGGCAAAACACAGTTTAGGACTCACGGTCACAAAAAGCTGGTGTAGATTTCTTCCCTTAGTAGATGAAGAACTCTGTTCAACCATTCTATTTTGACTACTAAGGCATCCTTGCACTGCCAATTGGTAACATTGTTCATTCTGAAACAATTTCATGGTTAAAACCGTGGTCTTCCCGGTTCCTGACCGTCCAACTATAAAGCTACTTTTACGATAAAGAATAATCTCCATTTCCTGGTCTGTGACTTCGAATGGAAGATCCAACTCTCTACCCTCACGGTCAGACAGCAAGTGGTTTACCACACCAGATGACAAGGAGTAAAATTTCATGAGCAACAAACTCTCGCTGACCTGTGAATTCTCAACATAACTTCTACCGTCAGAATCGTTATCACTGACTAAATCACTCTGGTTTTCAGTGATGCTAAGATCCTTGAATCGGACAATGTCCAAAGAGGGTGGCCAGCTCTTGGGAACTTCCAAATCACTGCTCACAAATGACAACGAAAAGTAAAAGTTACTTTAGAATTTCAAAACATGATGAATTATTTGTATCTTTAGAATTTCAAAACACGAGAATGCAAAACAAAGTACCTCTCAAGACATTTCTCCTTGCACCGTTGATAAAATCATCTGTATATCTTTTCAAAATACTCTCTAGACGGTTTACCAATTTTGGAATATCCTCTAGAGGCAATAAGTCCCAAACCTTCAATATTTGATTGTATTTCACATCCTTTGCAATATCAGTTGTGCAAACAATGTATAGACCTTCAACCATATATTTCCTCAAGATATGTGAATAGCTTCCACAAATTGTCCCTACATTTGGCTTCTTAGGTCTCCAACCAGTGGAAAGCTTCAGCAGAAGATTTAATACAGACTTCTTTAAACGGATTGACTTCAGCTTTTTGAATGACTTCAGAAAGTTATCACTGAAAAGTACCTAAAAGTAATGGATTGGGGGAAGAACAAAATTTGTAAAATGAAATATATAAAAAAGTTTTGAATGTAGTTGATAGAAAGTCCAATATCAGAACAAATATTGAAAAGTTTGAGAACAGGGATTTCTTGGAAATTAAGGGGAGAAAAAATCTACAGATTACCTTCCATCTAGAACTTCTAAAAAATATGCTGTCAGGATTAAGCAAATCATCAAATTGGCCGAATTCTTTCTTCACCTCTAATATGGCCCCGGCCAAATCCTTGTCTTCATCAGCATTAAAGAAGCATTGACGACGTTTGGCATCAAGGACCAAGTCCTTCCAAACAGATTCCCCATCAGATAGAGTCCTTTCATTTCCCAGAATCCAAAGGCAATGCCTAAAGTCATTAGGGAAGAGTAGTTATTTTCACCGAACTTATCAACAATGATGCAAAAACATACAAGTTCACATAAAACCATACCTAGCCCTTGTAAGAGCGACATTAACTCGTTGCGGTTTTGATATAAAATCAATGGATTGATGAATAGTAGATCGTACAGTGGACACAATAATTATGTCATCTTCCCCACCCTGGAACCCATCAACCGTCTTCACCTTCACTGTAAAGCCATCAATCTTGTCATACCTCTGTCGAAGTTTGTCCTGAACTGCAACTACTTGAGCAGCATATGGTGATACCACCCCAATACTGAGTTTCTGTTTTGAAACAATCCATTCTGTACCAAAAAATTTATGCTGAGAAAAATTATTACACAGATTTTAACATTTCTTACAGTTCAATCAACCTTACAAGCATATAAAATAAACCACATGGAAATCAAAATCATTGAAAATATTCAATTGAGAACATGAACATGACTCAGCAGCTAGACATATTCACCTTTGTACAGCTTCCGCAGTATTTTCAGAATAATAGCAACCTCGACCATATTCTTTCTACTACGTCCATCCTCATCCTTCTCCTCTCTTCCATCAATTACATTTATAAAAGAAAAGGGACCAAACATTGACCCTGGAAGATAGTGTTTCTCATGGCTTCTATTTTTAACATTTGGAGCGTCTTGGATCTGGTTGTTATAGAAATTTGTATTTGGGAACAAACTTATTGAGGGATGCATTCTGTATTGCATATTCAGAAGGTGTTTTGAGTGGCCCAATGAGCTCAACCTCTCAAACAAGCTTCTTGAAAAACCAGCCTCAACAGAAACCTACGGAAGAAAACAAGTTAGGTATAAGTGCACACGAATAAGAAGTGGAATGAAAAATTGCAATAAGAGAAACGAAGGATATATATGTAGACACATGTATGACCAAGTACTATCAACATACATTGCTGTTCACCGTAGCTGGTAACTGACATTCATCACCAACAAGAACAGCATGCTTCACACCTGGAAGTTGCAGGGGTATTGTTGATTCACACTCTTTCAATTGTGCAGCTTCATCAATAACAACAATGGTCAGTGGCTCCATTGCCACTCTATGCAGCTTATACGAACTCGACGCAGTGCAAAAAATTAAGGAAGCTCTTTGAAAACAGAATTCCATTAGAGCTTCTCCATTCCTAAAATTTGGAAGGTCAAGTCCACTAAGAGAATCCTGTAGAGTATGTAATACTGAAAGGCATTCTTTTCTCTTCATCCACAGCAGAAATGAGTTATCTACAAATGACTCTGGCACATCTTCAACTTTTGAACAAGAGCAAAGGTGTTCCAATGCTTCAGAACCAAAATCACCATGCAACAATAATGATTCAATGGAATCAAATAAGCCTATGAGCGAAATCATGTTTTGGAAAGTATGTGCCAAAAAGTAATTTTTGGCTATATGGGTACAGAAGGTAGAAATGCAACGTCTTAGCAGTAATGCAGTAGAAACAAATCTATCTCTGAAAAATTCAACAAATGATTTACACTTCCCCTTGATAACTTGAGTGTCAGTTCTGCATTCTTTCTCTTTCATTTCACTAACACCCTCATGTTCTTTCTCATAACTCAACTCATTTTCCAAGAAAATATGGTAATGAGAAACACAATCTTCAAGGAAACCTATCATTGAAGCGAAGCAAATACTCCAACCAGTCACTGGCCCCAAGCACTCAACTAGCCTTTTGACACGGCAATTCAAATATATATCTTCAATGTGTGGTCCAACTTTGAGTCGCTCCTTATTCCCAAATAGAAGAATTTCTCCCAAAGAATTGGACTTTGCTTCAGTTACCATCTTTAGAACACAAGAAGCAACTTCAGTTATTGCAACATTCGTCGGGGCACAAATTAGAGTCCTACAGTTCATCCGTAACAGAGTAAAAAGAAGCGTCGCTGTGGTTTTAGTTTTTCCTGTCCCGGGTGCACCCCATATAAGTTGCACGGTAGACTTGGAATCCCAACGCAGCATTTCAAGGCAGGCCAAAACTGCCCCAGTTTGGGACTCATTCAATCCTGATGACGAACTCTCAACTAACCACTTATCCCGGATGTCATCATTCGTTTCAGAACAGAGATAATTGTTTTTCTGAGCCTGTTAGCAAGCATAAGATTTGCAATCACTCTAAAAAATAAATGTCAATTCTGAAGTATAATAACAAATATTCCCCCTCCCCACCCCACCCCCTCCTTTTTGAAAAACCCAATGGAATCATAACACTGATGTGGTATGGGAATAAATTGACGGGAGAAAATATGTCATTGCATAACTGGAGTGTCACAGATAAACACAGGAAAGAAACTTTGATCCAAACGATAAAAAGAAGGAAAAGAAAATGCCATTTTTCTTGTTAAACTTTAAATATTATTATATTTAGTTATGAAAAGACACTGATATTTGGGTATGATCTATGATCTTACATTACATCTTGCATCATGTAATAGGTCTCATTTTAGTGAATGCAACGCGTTACGAAACCTATGGTCTTACCACAGAATCGGTGCACAAAACTTCCTTGATAATCTTCAGATTTCTGGACATGAGCAACGCTTTCCATATTCTGCTATTAGGAACTAAATTCACCAGGAAAACCAAAAATAGTGATGTATGAGTGATATCTTTGGATGCCTTGACTCTAAAATAAAGAGAAGTACTGTCAATGTCATCCTCGTCCTCGTCCTCATTTTCTGGGACATTTGTGACTGAAACAAAAGCCCAAGAGGACCTCCCTGTCCCTACCCTTTGTAAATCAGAAACCGTTTCGGGTTTGGCATCTGCTAAGACAAAAAGATCCCCGGGCAAAGTTTTGTATGGTTCCTTGCCACGATCATTGAACCTGTTTCTCCAGCAATCAACCTTGATATCATATACATTTTCCCCATAAGGGCCATACGGATTGCATTCTTCACAACCAACAACTTCAGCAGATGGTGCTCTGTCAATGGTTTCCATACTTGAATGCACCTGTGCTCGAGTTTCTTCCAATAGAGGATATAAATAAGAAGAAAAATAATGCTGAACCGAATCAAATGATTCAGGGATTTTTTGCACCTGAAACAGTACTAATAAAAGTTCAGACTAAGTCTGGTAAACCTGCAGATAACATTATTCATGAGAAAACGTTAACAAACTGGATGAAATAATACCTGCTTCTTGTAAAGATTTTCATTGAAAATGTCTTCAAGCGACCAAGAAAACACAATATCAGTGATACGGTCTGTTCTAGCTTCCATCATCTCCTCTCAGTTACTCACTCTCTCTCTCTCTCCCCCACAAAATACCTCCCACACTTGGCTTACCCGCATTCAGTGTTAAAGAAAAGCAAAAGCCCACTTTAATCTAGATAAAAGGATGTTGGATATCTTCGCCACGAAGCTAGTAGAGAAAATATATATATATATATATATGATCAGTGTCAATCATAAAAGAAAAAGAAACAAGGAAAAGAGAAGTCTAGGAATCTTGTAAAGTTGTAATAGAACTAGCACTGCCATCATGCCATGTGTTGAAGTTCTTTTGAACTTGGTCCCCCCTTAACCATTTGACCTTAAAAAATGAAGAAGTGCATTCGTCATGACGTCATAGGATGACGTAGGATAATCCATCACATTTGTTTTATGAAAAGTGATTCATAAACATAACATTAACAAAAAAAGATCTGATTTTCCCACTCACACTCCCCTTTTTTTTTAATACTTTTAATCAATTTTGTTATTTCTCTCCCATTCTACCTTATCCTACATTAATTTCTTTTTATTTCACTTTTATATTAGTTTTTTTTCTTTATACTTAATTTTCCAACTTACACTCCATTTTCAATAGTTTTTTTTTCTTTAATCGAGTAAGAAATTATGTTTTTTTTCCTTTAATATTGAAAATGGAGTGTAAATTGGAAAGTTAAGTATAAAGAAAAAGAAATAATATAAAAGTGGAGTAAAAAGGAAATTAATGTAGGGTAAAGATAGAATAAGAAAGAAAAAGAACAAAATTAATTTAAAAAATATTAAAAAGAAAAAGAGAGTGTAAGTGGAGAAAATGGGAATAGGAAAATCAGCTCCCAACAAAAATTTAAAAGCATAGTTAAAATTTACCCGCATAATTGCTTTATACTTTGTTTTATTTGTCAATAAAAACTATCGCTTATTCTTAAAAAAAATAATTCAGATCACGCATCCCCTATCTTTTTTTACATGTACCTTTGGATTGCAATTTTTTTGTCATCTTTTTTTTTTTCAGTCATTTTATTTTTTGTCATCTTTCAATGCTAAAAGAACCCCAACCAAAAAAAAACTCAAACACAAGCTAATTCCTTCCTAAATGTCTACCAAGCTTGCTGAGGTTTGGTCTTCCAAAATTACACCTCAACTAGATGGAAATCATCCACGCAAATTTAAGAGTAGTTGTCGATTCGTACATGTGGGTCCTTTATTAATTTTGAGCCCAGCATTAGCCTCTTACTAGGCGGGTGGTAGCTCACCTGCAAATCGTCACTTTAAATATGAATCAACAACAATCGTTTTTGCAAAGGCTGCAATCAGATATTGTTCTGAACTGACTGCTCCATGACCTAGCTAGGTTTTACGCTACTATTTCTTCTGCCATATATACATATACATCATGATCATATGTGTAGTTCTGCTTTGTAATAAGCTAGCTTTCGAAAAGAAACCCTTTACAGCACATCTACGAAGAAAGGAACACTATCAATTTTCTAGTTTTCAAAGGACCAAAATAATCATCATATATACGTTCGTACGTATTTTAATCATTATTTCAAAAACTATATATATAAATAAAAGTTATATCGAATATCTTTTAATTATGTACATGCCCCCTGTGTTTTCCAACTTATCTTAGATTACCACATGTGTTTGCAAACGACTCAAAGTACCCCCCAACGTTTTAAAAAACCGTCTCACGTTACCCTTTCCATCAGTTTTTTTGAAGTTCTGTTACGAACGTTACTGTTCATCCCCCCCCCTCCCCCCCCAAAAAAAATTCCAGAATAGCAACCCATCCCCTTTGTTACTGCTTATCCGACCAGTTTTTGGGCTGCCATCTCCTCCTCCGGCCACCTCAAGTGACGACATGGGTATCAAAAGAACCAACACGTTGTCCTCTACCACCCTCACATCTCATCCTCTACCAACCGCCGTCTGGATCGCCGAAAAAAGCAAGAAATTGGCCAATTTTTACCCAAAATCTCCATCGCTCGTTCGGGCAATTCCGAGCACCATTTGCTTCGATCCAGGTATGGGTTTTCAACCTCTCAAGCTGTTCTTGCTGCTAGTTGTGTTGGTTATGAGAAATTTCTGAGTTTTAGAGGGTAAATAAGCGATGAACAGTAACAAATGGGATGGGCTGTTGTTCTGGAATTTTGGGGGGGATGAACAGTAACGTTCGTAACGGAACTTCAAAAAAACTGACGGAAAGGGTAACGTGAGACGGTTTTTTAAACGTTGGGGGATACTTTGAGTCGTTTGCAAACACAAGTGGTAATCTGAGATAAGTTGGAAAGCACAGGGGGCATGTACATAATACTATGTGGGGTTGTTTGGTACGACAGATTATTATGGACATTACTAAATCCTAGGACTGTCTCGAATTAACTCGAACTGGATTAAACTGGATTAAGTACTGACCTACATTTGATGCTGCGTCGGACTAAGAAGCTGGATTATAAAAATAGTGAAGACCTATGTTTGGTGTTGTGTCAGACTAAAAAATAATTATTTAAATATTTAAATATAATTAAAAATTAAAATTAATTAATTAATTATACAAGCCAACCCGTATGAATTGAAAAATAGCCCCACCCTTATCAGCTCTCATTCTCTATCTCCTTTTTTTTCCTAGTATTTTATTCTTATTTTCCTTGTTTTTCTCTCTTTTGTTTACTTTTCTCTATTTTATTTATTCTCCTCTTCTCCATCTTTTCTTTCTGTTATGGTTTTCTTTTTTTTTCTTCTTTTTTTTTCTTCTCAGTTGTGAAGAAAGATCCAGTAACCAACTAGCTTCATCGCCACCATTTTTTTTGTTGAAATGTAAGTGGTGAGCTGATAAGAATGTAATTAGGCCTCTAAGCTAAATGGTGAATTCACTTAGTCTCTAAGTCAGACTAGTGTTAGGTGTTAGTCATGTTAAGTGGTTATAGCCACGTGTAAAAATCCTAGAGTGCAGTTTTGGATGTAAGGCTGTGATTCTCTGTGATGTAAGAGAATCCAGCTATTCTTTCTAACGGCCATATAGCTCACGCTGAGCTTGCTCCATTTAGACTGAGTATGCAATAGAAAAATACAGATTCGTTTTCATTCATTCTCTGCTCTCTTTTCTTCTCTGCATTTTCTCTTTCTCTTCAACCTATTCAAAACTCTAACATGGCCTCAGAGCCAGGTTGGGTCTTTTGATCTGGGCATAATCTGTGAGGTCACTGAGCTCAATCGAAGCTCAGCTAAGCATCTGAGAAGAGAAATTGTTTGATTCGGACCATACGATGGCTGGATCTGGAAGTTCAGAAGTACGAACTCCGATCTTCTCCGGTGAAAACTACGAGTTCTGGAGGATTAAGATGGTGATGATCTTCAAATCTCTTGGGCTATGGAGTCTAGTAGAAAAGGGGATTCCAATCCCTGATTCGAATAAGAAAACGAAGAAGCTTGAAGAATCATTGAAGGAAGAAGAAGCTGATGCAGAGATGATTGTTGTGCTCATGAAGGACGCAAAGGCTCTAGGTATCATCCAAAATGCAGTTTCTGATCAGATCTTCCCTCGGATTGCAAATGCTGACTCAACTAAAATGGCATGGAATCTGCTCTACAATGAGTACCACGGTGGTGATCAGGTCAGATCTGTAAAACTCCAGAATCTTAGACGAGAATTTGAGTATATGAGAATGCGTGAGAATGAACCTCTAACTGCATATCTCACTCGTTTGAATGAATTGATAAATCAAATGAAAACATTTGGAGAAGTGCTATCTAATGAAAGGCTGGTTCAGAAAGTGTTAATTAGTCTTAGTAAAATGTATGACCCTATCTGCTTGGTGATTGAGAATACAAAGAGCTTGGAGACTATTGAATTGCAGGAGGTTATTGCAATATTGAAGAGCCAAGAGCAACGTTTTGAGATGCATAATGTGGACACAGCTAAGAAGGCATTTGGCTCTTTCTCAGTCAATACACAAGGGCAGAACAAAAATAGTACTCAAACTGGTTATGCTAAGTCTCAAAAAAATTGGAAGTCTAACAACAAACCATGGGAGTCTAGACCGAAGCCACAACAAGCTGGTGCTGCGCAGAACTCAAATGGATCACAATATGTGCATCAAGATGGAGTGAAGCCTCAATGCAAAGTCTGCTCAAAATTTCATTTTGGGGAATGAAGATATAAGGGCCAATCTAAGTGTTATAAGTGTGATAGATTTGGACATTGGGCTAGAGATTGTACTGCAAACAAAGGAGTGCAGAAAGCAAACAATGCAAGTCAAGTAGAAGTAAGAGGAAATCTGTTTTTTGCTAACTGTGCAATTTCAGAGAAGAGTGCAAATGGAGAATGGTATGTAGACAGTGGCTGCAGTAACCATATGACTGGGAACAAGGAGATGTTAATTGATATAAATGCAAGTGTCACAGGCAAGGTGCAAATGCCAACAGGGGAGCTAGTAAGTATAGGTGGCATGGGTACTTTAGTGCTTGACACAAGCTCTGGTACAAAGTATATCAGAGAGGTCATGTATCTGCCTGGTTTGAGGGAAAATCTGTTGAGTGTGGGCCAAATGGATGAACATGGTTATCATTTGGTATTTGGCAGCAGCATGTGCAGTATCTATGATGATTCTTCTCTCAAGAATCTCATCATGAAGGTGGCAATGAGGAAGAATAAATGTTATCCATTGTCATTGTCCTCAAATGACTATGTTGCACTAAGAGTTGGTATATCCAATTCTACCTGGATTTGGCATCAAAGAATGGGTCATTTACATCTGAAAGGACTGCATCAGCTCAAGGAGAAAGAGATGATACATGGTTTGCCATACTTGGAGGATGTAAATGAAGTGTGTGGAGGCTGTCAACTAGGAAAGCAACACAGGGAGTGGTTTCCAAAGGATCAAGTGTGGAGAGCAAGTACACCCCTTGAGCTAATACTTTATGCTACTCATAGACGATTTTACAAGGATGACTTGGGTCTATTTCTTGAGATACAAGTCAGATGCACTAAACTGTTTTCGAAAATTCAAGTCTATGGTGGAGTTGCAGAGTAGTTACAAAGTGAAATGTGTTCGAAGTGATAGAGGGGGTGAGTTCACATCTAGTGAATTCAATAAACTGTGTGAAGATGCAGGAATTCAAAGATAGTTCACCATGGCTTACACACCCCAGTAGAATGGAGTGGTAGAAAGGAAGAATAGGACAGTGGTGGAGATGGCTAAGGCTATGCTTCATGAGAAGGGGCTGCCTTATTACTTATGGGCAGAAGCTGTACACACTGCAGTGTACATTTTGAACAGGTGTCCTACCAAGGCTCTTAGAGACAAGACTCCTTTTGAAGCGTATAGCACAAGAAAACCAGGTATTGTTCATTTGAAGGTATTTGGCAGTGTGTGTTTTGTGCATAAACCAGAAGAAAGTAGACAGAAATTGGATGCCAAAAGCACAAGGGGAGTGTTTGTTGGATATGCAACATGTGAGAAGGGTTATAGAGTGTTTGACCCTGCCACTAGAAAACTTATACTGTCAAGAGATGTTGTTTTTGATGAAGGAGCAACCTGGAATTGGAAGGAAGCAACTGAAAATTCTGTGATAATGGTAAATGAAGAAGGGCAACCTAGGAATTCTCAAGTGGAAGTGTTTGAGACACCTGCAGGAAATCAAAATTCTGGTTTCAGACCTATAGATTCAGTTTCCTATGAAGAATCAAGCAAGGCAAGCAGCAGATTGGAAGACACTCAGAACTTTGATCATACTCCATTGAAATGGAGGAAGTTGGATGATATTTTAGCACAATGCAATCTGTGTGTAATGGAACCTGAGAAGTTTGAAGAAGCTGTGAAGGATGAGTCATGGATGAAGGCAATGAAAGATGAGTTGAACATGATAGAAAAGAATGCTACATGGGAACTTGTTGACAGACCTATGGATAAACCAGTGATTGGAGTTAAATGGGTGTTTAAAACTAAGTTAAATCTGGACAGTTCAGTTCAGAAGAATAAAGCAAGACTGGTGGCTAAGGGATACTCACAAAAACCAGGGGTGGACTACAATGAAACATTCGCACTAGTGGCTAGATTAGACACAATCCGGACTCTAATTGCACTTGCAGCTCAGAAGGGTTGGCAGCTGTATCAATTAGATGTTAAGTCAGCTTTTCTAAATGGTATCTTAGAGGAAGAAGTGTATGTAGATCAGCCGAAAGGATTTGTGTTGAAGGGGAGTGAAAGCAAGGTTTACAAGCTGCACAAAGCTCTATATGGCTTGAAACAAGCGCCAAGAGCTTGGTATAGTGAAATTGATGGTTATTTTGCTGAGTGTGATTTCACAAAGAGCCAAAGTGAGGCTACTCTTTATGTCAAAGCAAGAGGTGAAGCAAGCATCTTGATAGTATCCATTTATGTAGATGATATTGTCTACACTGGAAATGATCAAGAAATGTTAGAAGCTTTGCAAGAAGGAACTGTGGATCTGATTTATTGTCCCACAAATGAGCAGTTGGCAGATATCTTTACAAAGGCTTTGGTTAAGGATCATTTCTGCTATCTCAGAGAGAAACTTGGTGTGAAATCAGCTCACAACTTAAAGGGGAGTGTTGAAATGTAAGTGGTGAGCTAATAAGAATGTAATTAGGCCTCTAAGCTAAATGGTGAATTCACTTAGTCTCTAAGTCAGACCAGTGTTAGGCGTTAGTCATGTTAAGTGGTTATAGCCACATGTAAAAATCCTAGAGTGCAGTTTTGGATGTAAGTCTGTGATTCTCTGTGATGTAAGAGAATCCAGCTATTCTTTCTAACGGCCATATAGACTAAGTATGCAATAGAAAAATACAGATTCATTTTCATTCATTCTCTGCTCTTTTTTCTTCTCTGCATTTTCTCTTTCTCTTCAACCTATTCAAATCTCTAACATTTTTCTGGGTCTCCACCAAGCAGCGCATCAAAACTTGTAATCCAAGATGAGCAATTTGGCAACAACAGCAAGATGGCTCCATTTTTTCTAGCACCGCCGTCTTCATTGTCTGCGCTCAATGGATGGTGTGTTCGGATGAAAATGATCTAACCAAGTTCACTCATTTTGTAATTTGGTGGAGAACTATTAATGACAGTTATGGAAAAAGATTTTAAAAGAAAATCCGATTTGGAATTGTCATGACCTATTAGGAGAAGTGATGATAGTTCAAAGCAAAGTCGCATAGAAATCAATGTCATATCTTCATTCTGATTTTGGTTTACGAACTCGGATTTTATATTACAATTTGAATATTCGAGATGAAATTAGAACAACTTACTTACCGAAAGGCCTTGTTAGCCCAGAAATCATGATTTTCTTATAATAATAAAAAATTAGAAAAGAGTCAAGACAATTCAACCCGGTATGGTTTGATGAATTCCCTTATTGGTTGGAATATAGCATCAAAGAAGATGCTGCATTTTGCTTATGTTGTTATATTTTTAAAACAAATTTGGGAGAGAAAGCTTGAGGTGACTCATTTGTTGGTACAAGTTTTTCAAATTAGAAGAAAAAGGAAAGATTTCAAGTTCATGTTGGAGGTCCCAACAGTTCCCATAACCAAGCTCTGAAAAATGTCAAGCCTTAATGAATGGAAAACAACATATTAATTGAAATTTTTTTTCCATAAGCACTCACATAATGAATGATTGCTAGGTAGTATATCTTGAAAAAAAACATATTTAATAGTATTGATAATGAGCTTATTATGCAACGTTTTCAGAATATAAAAAGTCGTCGAGGACAATTGTAAATTTACTTATTAGACAATGCTATTAATATTCTGAGTTAGAAATATTTTTTGTTTAGCTATATATCTGTTGGATTTTTTTTAAGCCCTCAGATGAACGAAAGTCTAAGTCCGCCACTGGTTGGGGGGAAAATGTCGCGTGCTTTGTCATTTTTCCTTTCTCCTATTTTCAACACTCTATTTGACTCTAGTACAGATAGATTTGATGTCCTGGATTTTTTTATTTCATTTATACTAACGGTCTTTCTTATTGCGTGTGAAGGATTTGATGCATGTGGCTTGATGCAGATTTCTTATCCCTCTCTCTGTCTGAAGTCCTCTTGTGACGCTTATTTGACAATTTTTTGCAGTAATTGTAGCCGCCGACAACCTGGTGGGGGTTTTTGTATACACTGAACTTCCATGACAATTTTTTCCCCCAACCCTAGCATATTGTAGCCAAATCATTCTCAAAGAAAGAGGAGAAAGAGAGAAGGGGGAAATGCAGGAAAATAAAAAAGAAGATTAACAGACATAGTAGAGATGAGGAATAAAGAGGAAGAAGAAGAAAAGAAGAAAAAAAACAAGAAAAAAAAGAAGAGAGAGATTAAGGGATAAACGCACGAAAAGAAAAGGAGAGAGAGAGAGAGAGAGAGAAGGAAAGGAAAACAAAAAGGAAGAATAAAAAAGAAAGAGGAGAGAGAGAAGAGTGAACTTGCAGAGAGTCAATGAAGGATTGAAATGAAGCATGAAATGATCGCACGGTTAAAAATAAAAATTCGCAATTAATCCACATAATGCGACTCCGTAATGGAGAACAACCCTATAAATGTAGTATGACTATTATTTTTGTTTTATCAATGTTTTAATTACAAGGGATGGCAAATTCGATTATTTTATAAAATGATTTAAATACCTTTTTGGTCACTGAAACAAAAAAAATAGTTAAATTGGTCACTGCATTATTCAAAGTTAAATACATTTTTTGTCAATGTGTTTTGCATGAAACTTCAATATGATACTAAGACCAAAAAAAACAGCCAAAAGCCTTGCAAAGGCTATATATATGCGCTTGCACACTGTATAGAGAATAACAATTTATGATAAGTGTAACATCAATTAAGCTTTAACTAATCATTTTAATGAGGTTTAACAATCCCCCTCACATAGTTAGGGCAGCTGGCATTAAAAAGACCGCAAATAGAGATTTTTTTTTGGAATAAAGTAATAATATTTTATTGATAATTGGAAGAGAAACAAGTATAAGGCCACTATATAGTGACAAATATGGATAAATCTTCTCCAATGACCAAACACAACAACAAATTGAATTGATCTAAAGAAAATCACACATAACCCATACATTAATTAAAATCTTTGATTCAACAACCAAAATGACGCAATACTGAAGCACAAGTATAAGAGATGATAGGAATGCATTTCTATCGTAATTCCCAAATCATAAACAATTATATAATTCATTTTCAATTGGGATTTTAATATATTGTAATTACAGGATTTTAGTGTAATGGATTTCAATAGGATTTGCAAATTTTACTAATGATTTTGAATTCCCTTATGACTTTTTTGTATTCTCCAAAGAATCAAAAGATTTGCTATTTGTAGGATTTCATATGAAACAAAATCATGTAACATGGATTATGCCACATGAATAAATAACCAAATAAGAAAAGAAAAAGGAACATTTAAAAAAAGAGAGGAAATTTTTTTTTAAAAAAAAGAGAGGAAACAAAAAGATATGTTTTCATTGAGGGGTTTCATCTGCATCAGAAATTTGATAGTGAAATATGGAAATAGGCTTGAATATGGAAGCCCATCTTGTTTTCTGTTATTAATCAAGAACATTAATAAAGCTTACTGAACCAATGTCGATATCTTGGTTGGGGATTATATCGAACACTTGGTGGTCATGATATCCCACTGTCTCATATATCCAAATCGCTCTCTTCATCTCCTTCCGTAGGAGGTTCACTTTTTTCTCTATGCTCCACAAAGTAATTCAATAATTATTCTTATTTCTTATTGTTGTTTTCATTCAAGTAATGTAATCAATTTGGAAGGACCATCTCCCCCATCGTTTGTCTTTTGCACAAACTGCGGTTGTTCGTCATCTCGTTGGTTCCTTGCACCCCAACTCAAGGCGTTCGTTTCACCGTGGTCACCTCATTTGTTCAGAAACAAGGTTTTGACGAGGTTTGGCGATGGATTGCTGGGGGGTGGCAGCCACACAAAAGTTGCAAGGTCTCACATAAAAGAAAAACAGAGAAGAGATAGAAAGAAAAATAGAAAGAAGTGAGAATCAGGCATAGGAGGATGAGATTTTTTATGGTGCTTGGTATTTATATCACCATTTAATGAAATACTTCAAAATCAATAAGATTTTGAAGAGAGAAAGAGAGAGAGAGAGAAAGAGAGAGGGATCCGCTTTTTTCTTTTCTTTTTTTGAAATTTGTCCCTTTACTTTTCTTTCTTCAAGCTTATTGCTTCTTGATTCCAACACAAACTTCTTGTGGAACAAATGTCGTATATCTTGAAACCGAAAGTCAATACCCTTGCAATTGTTTGTGCTGTATCACCAGAAAAAATAAAACCCTCTACAAAATTGTTGATGCACATATGTTTAACGCAGAGAAATTTGACTCATTGTGAGATCTTGAACCTCATCAATATAAACAAATTCCATTTGATCACCCCCCATATTTTTCACGCCTAAGAGCATCTCCAACTGATATGTCAAAAGTGCCACATAGACATTTAACGGCTAGAAATAACATCTCACATCACTCCAACCGAATTGTCAAAGCTGATGTGGAATGAAGGTTGGAGGTTCGGCTGTTATTTTTGACATCCCAAAAGCAAGATGTCAAATGAATATTTTATTATTTTAAAGATAACTGGCTGTTACTTTCATTTATAATTTTACTTTTTTTTTCCTTCTTTATCTTTAATGATTTGACTATTACAATAATTATTTATTTGACATATGGGATGGAGTGTAAAACTGTTTAAATATCAAATTGCCACATTAGCCATCAAATTTAAATTTGATGTTTGGTATTTGACATCTCCCTTGATGCTCTAAGACGACGGTGAAGATTAATTACAAAATCAGCCAGATCAAATTCACCATTTTCCATCTTTGTTTGGGCCTAAATTGGCATACTCAACATAAGAAAATAAAAGCCCATATCAGTTTTGGCAGCCACCAAACACCTCCTTGAAATTGGGCCATAAATACACATTTAGTCCAAAAACAATGAAAGCCCCAGCCCAACATCAAATAATCCACGTGACCATCAGAAATGGAGAAGTCAACAATTTCAACTATCACAGAGTTGATTGGAAATTTTAAAAAGAAAAGGGCAGTGGCTGGAAAACTAGGAAGAGACATCTCTGAAAATTTGTCAGCCAAAGATCAAAATCCCTCTTATATATTCAAAGATATTGTTTCCACTCCAGAGCAAATTATTTATTTGAAGATAACTGGCTGTTACTTTCATTTATAATTTTACTTTTTTTTTCCTTCTTTATCTTTAATGATTTGACTATTACAATAATTATTTATTTGACATATGGGATGGAGTGTAAAACTGTTTAAATATCAAATTGCCACATTAGCCATCAAATTTAAATTTGATGTTTGGTATTTGACATCTCCCTTGATGCTCTAAGACGACGGTGAAGATTAATTACAAAATCAGCCAGATCAAATTCACCATTTTCCATCTTTGTTTGGGCCTAAATTGGCATACTCAACATAAGAAAATAAAAGCCCATATCAGTTTTGGCAGCCACCAAACACCTCCTTGAAATTGGGCCATAAATACACATTTAGTCCAAAAACAATGAAAGCCCCAGCCCAACATCAAATAATCCACGTGACCATCAGAAATGGAGAAGTCAACAATTTCAACTATCACAGAGTTGATTGGAAATTTTAAAAAGAAAAGGGCAGTGGCTGGAAAACTAGGAAGAGACATCTCTGAAAATTTGTCAGCCAAAGATCAAAATCCCTCTTATATATTCAAAGATATTGTTTCCACTCCAGAGCGGCACCATCTTTTAAGGGATGCGCATGCTATGTTTTCAGAAAAGAGATAAGCAGGAAAGAGGGGATTTGTTCAAACTGAAGAAATCAAACTAACCATCACAATTGAAATCACACAAGGGGCAGTTAAATTGGGAAAAGGAATTAGGCTTTCTCTTAAAAATAGGGAAGTGATCTCTAAGATTTATTGATGAAAGCCTATCTGCCAGAATTTAATTAAAAATCTTCCGTCTCTTATATCTCTTCGTAGATCTTTGAGAAGACTTGCCGCCCATTATTTTAAAAAGAAAGAAAACCTTACCCCTATGCATTTTTTTTTATAAATACAAGAGAGAGTGAACAATAAAGACAATCACAATCAAAATAAAAAACAAAACACACTCAATTGATCAATCAAACAAACAACAAAGGAATCAACCAAAAGCTCACTCAAACTCCAAAACAAGCCAGCTTTATATCAGAATTCCCAAAGTTCAGACTTAGAAAATAGTCATTTAAACAAGATTTCTCTCGTTACAAATTTGGTTCAGCAAAAGCCAAGACAGGTAGAGTTTGAGTTTTTCCCAAAACATGAAAACCTCAACAAATTTCACAGTGCAGTCCTCAAGAACATCCATTTTTGCCCCTTCAGAATTGAAGAAGCCGCAGTTCTGTCCACTCTAAAGCCTCCCAAAGCTTGAAGTAGATCAAAGCTCTGCCAAAATTGAACTTTGGTATCGATTTACAGCTGAAGCTTAGCAGTTGAAGTTGTTAACAGTTCAGTCCAGCCCAGACATATCCAGTCCAGCCCGGATCAGAGCCCTCTGTCCAGGCAGAAATGGAGTCCTAATTGTCTTTTAATCTTTCTAGCATTGATATGTATGTCCATAGTTTTGTAAAGGGCAGTTCTGCCTAAAACAGTCCAATTTTTATTAACTATTCTGGCCAGAACAACTGTTTTTATACTGAGATAAATTATGAAAGTCCTCACCAGCCTGATGCATGAAAAGTACTTACTTGGGAGATATTCCTCACCCAAATTCACAATCGTTTGTTTTAGAAATCAGTAACTTGGGGCGCAAGCTATCTATTTTTTAGAAGAAGTCTGCTAGAGTCTTCACTGCTAGCAGTGGCACGCTTATACACCAAAGAAAGCTATCTTGTTGACCAGTCAATGGTTTCCAAGGCAGTGGGGAACTTTGACCTTCCATCTCAGGAGTAAACACAAAACGGGGTGAACAATCTTCATTTTGGCATAAGCCTGAAATATATCGTATGTTTCTTCTCTCTTTTGCTTGTTTACTGGATATTAAAATGGGGCCAGTAAGATGAACTGAATCTCTCATACTTAACCTCTTTTGTCCATATCAAGGTCTGCAAAGCAACTGATCTTGAACTTTGCAATTGACCATGTGTATAAGTCAGTGTTCCATCTAGCATCATCAATAACTTATGGAATGTTATGACAAGAGGGTACAAGAATTGGGAGGAATATCATGAAATGAATCCTTGATATCCTTGAATTGGGCTTCATCCTCATCAAAATCAGCCCTATCAGCAAACATTGCAGCTCCAAACCCATGTTAAAGACTGACAAGTGAAGCCAAATCTTTGTGTGCGTGAGCCAAAAGACGACGAACTATTGCAACGATAACAACGTTTCACTATAGTTGTTTGCACCCTACAAAACAAAATAACAAAGCAAAATAAGGGGGCAAATATAGGGAAGGAGAAGATATGAGAGAAGAGAGAATAGGAAGAAAGGATGGCAGCCAACTCCCAAAGGGGGCGATGGCTAGGGTTTCTTTCTACCATATGAGAGAGGTTTTTTTCTTATACATCCCAATAGCAAGTAGATTTGGAATCCACCATCAAACGATAACTCGAAAGTAACAGTGGTGGAATCCACTAGAAAATCTCTAAATCTCTAAATTTGATTAATAATATGAATAAAATTGAAAAATACAACGTCATGAGTTAGCTTAAATAGAAAACAAAAAAAACCCTACAATCGTAGGAAACCCTAGATTCCACAATATTCTTAAAATTTAGTTAACAAGAAAATAATAAAAATCCTAGTTAAAATTATATAAGGAAAATAATATCCTAATAGATAACTTATTCTAAATATATAAAATAAAACATTAAAGTATAAATCTTGACAGAATCCATGATTGCTCAATCATTATGAAAATCCCAACGAGCCTTCCTTGTTTTCCTAGCGCCATATATAATTGATGCTCATGCATGGTTTTCCATATCCAAATTTTCTAATTTTGAATTTCTTCCCTTTTCTAAATTTCCATTGTAGGAAAATGCCCATGATTTGTCCTACATCACAAAAACACGTCTATTCAAACCTACAATACAAATCCTATGCCCCAACGGCAAAAATGGCAAATATTATGTATCGAAAGCCAAAAGCTAAAAATAATAAAATTGACAAACGACAACAAACTTCTAAAGAGAACCTGTAAATTATTAGAAAAAAACTAAGTGCCAGTTTGGCATTGCTTATTTGGGGTGATAAGTGATTTTAAAAAAAATTTGGGAAGCCAACTATGAGAAAATCACTTATTGTTAAAAATTGCTGTGAGAGAAAGCTATAAGGGAAAGCAGCTAATAAGATGCTTTCATTTTCTGATTATGTAGGAATCAGTTTTGAAGAGGCGCTGGTTTTTATGATTATGCAACAATCATTTTCTAATTATGTGGGAATAAGTACCAACAACACTTTTAACAAAAAGTTTACCAAACGCCAAACTGCTTTATCACACAGTTGATTTCTCTCATAGCAAATCTGACATCGATTATTTTCACAGCACAGCAATGCCAAATTGGCCATAAGAAGAAGGACCACCGCTCCACATCTTCCCCGGCAACCCAAAAAGATCCATAGCGCTATACTCGCTAAACCCATAATGTTGTATCGGCTAAATTCGAACCTAACACAACCCCACATCATCCCATGCAGCTCCAAACCCATGTTAAAGGCTGACAACTAAAGCCAAATCTTTGTGTACATGAGCCAAAAGACAACAACTATTTCAATGATAACACCGTTTCACGACAGTTGTACACACTACAAAACAAAATAACAAAGCAAAATAAGGGGGCAAATATAGGGAAGGAGAGGAGAGAGGATAGGAAGAAAAGATGGTTGCCAACCCCCAAAGGGAGCGATGGCTAGGGTTTCTTTCTTTATGGTTTTCTAAGATAGGTTTTTTCTTATACATCCCAATAGAAAAGAGATTTAAAAATAATAATTATCATATCATGACAAAATAAGTTCATATCTCAGCAACAGTTTTACATAAATGCAAATTCATTTCTTAAAAAAACCTCCAATAATAATCTCAACCATTATCATACTCATACATTCACAAAAATTCAAATTCACAACTATGCCAATATATGGATTTGACACCCAAAAAAAAAACATAGCATTTGCTTGGTTTTTTACTATATATTTTTTCTCAGTTACCAAATTAAATTTTCGTGAAAAATCGAGTGACAACAAAAGTATTTAACCCAATCATTTAACGAAAAACTAACAAGAATTCTATAAATTGTACGTTAATACAATGACCTATTTGACCCCAAAAAAAATTATTATTGAACAAATTAATTTTTTTTGTAAAATCTAGTTACCAAAATGTTATTTAACCCTTTCACAAACACAAAATCTTTTTGATAGGCCTTGTTTTAAAAATTCAAACTCAAAAAGACCAAAATACTTGAAAAAAAAACAATTTTTAAAAACAATTTTTAAATTGCATATCGAACAAGTTTTGAATCTTAAAAAATGAATTTTAAAACTCCTTTTTTATTTATTTATAGAAAAATAAAAGTTTTGACTTCCTTAAGTAGGATACAAAATTTCGGCTCTACCAATTTTGGTAAGTTATATTTTACAATTGTAATTGGTTGACCTTATAAGCCTACCTCCATACCCAATCCTGTCCTAAGCTGAATAGGATGAGAGCTCGTAATTAAACGACACATCGTTTATAGCCGAATTTATTGGGAAGGCTTGCGCGCGTGCGTTGTTAATTAGTCGAATTAGCAGGCCAATTGAATTCCTAATTAGTTTTACCTTTTCTAGTTCCCGCCGGTACGATCATATTTGAACTTTCCCATTATCTGTCTGTAATATTTCAACGTCTTGATTTTTAAAACCCTAGAGACGTCTCCAACCTCGAGTATCCGAGCTCTCTCCGTACTCTTTGTTTGGCACGAGTTTGTCGCTCGGCTCCAAATCTCTTGGATTCTCCGTCGCCATATCGGTGCCATTCTTGGAGTTGATCGCGCTCTCCTCTGTGCCGACATTGAATCCGATTTCCCGAGAAAAATCACTCCTTTGGTTTTCGTTTGTTTCGGGTGTGGATTTCGGCGGTGGGTATAGTCAATCTATGGGTGCGTTGAAGAATTCCACTGCCCAGCGTAGGGTTAGCCCTCGACTGCAGAACCTTCCCGACGATCAACGGCCCTACTATGGTCCCAGTCCGAAACGGACATCCGACTCCGCCCAAAACGACGCCGTTGCAAAGAAGAAACCCAAGGTTGAGAAACCCTCAGCACCGGCGCAAAAGTCTGAGCCCAATGCGAAATCAAGTAAGGAAAAAGAAAAAGTCGAAGCTCAAAATGGAGAGAGCGAGACCAAGACTGACCCGGATGTGGAAGATGGTGGTGCGGATTTTTTTGCCCCTGATGGACGTTTGACTGATGAAAACGGTGTAAGCTTCACGGCACGCTTGAAAGAGACGCTCAGACTTTTTAATTTGCATTACCTTCACTTTATTCAGGTATTGACTTACAATGTCTATTTGTGTTATTTGCTATGTGGATTGGTGTTGATATCCCTTTTTGTTTTTTAAAATTGTTATAATTTTGAATTGGGTTATAATATTCTTTGTTGTAATGCGTTGCAGGCTATTAAATTTGTGTTTCGATCACTCTGTTTTTTTTTCTTTTTGGTATAAAAGCAAACCGTGTAAACTTTTACGGTTAAGAAATAAAAGCCAAACCCATTCAAAATCTATTCTTTATAACTAAAGATATTTTTCTGAAATAGACAAATGCAAGTTCCCTTTTCTGCAACTGCAAGTAAGTTTCTTAACTTACAAGGTTTATTGCTTTTGTGCAGGAAGAGGAGAAAAGATGCAGTAAGATGGAGGTTAGTACTTACATATTTATATATATCTTTTATATTATCTTGCAGAGAGAATGAATAATTTAGTTGGTTCTTATGCCTGTAATCAGTAACGATAATGAGGGTCAAAAGAAAAGAAGTTGTAGTGGTTGTTGAGGGGTGGTGGGAAGAAATGCTTTCTCTCGAAGGCCTTATAAATTTCTGCTCAAAGCAGAAATTTTTAGAGGAAGACTAATTCTTATTTTATTTTAACCATAGATCCGTCCTTATTGTCAGACAACCAATAGCCCCATTAGCTTAAACGATTGAGGATGAGCCAAATATGTGTATATAGCTTGCACCCACCTAATTGTTGCATAGAAGCAAATCTTGTTTGTTGGCACGTCTATTGGCGGCTGAAAAGTTTCTTCTTCATAGATGCAAGTTGATGGTAGTAGTTGTTTCTTCATTTTCATACTCGTTTTATAGAAAGGGAAGGAAAAAGGGTGGGTGGATATCTTGGTCTTTGCGATCATTATTTATTTTAGTTTGACAAACATTTGCAGAATGGAACTGCATGTTGTGATGATCTTAAGGAGCCTTCCAGGAGACCTGGGGTAAGTTGGGTGCTATATGTGAAATTTGTACATATTATTTTCTTTGATGTGTAGGACCTGAGTTAGATATCATTCATCACACTACATCATATCCAAAAATCTATTGCAGAATGATAGTGCATGTGACGATAAGAGGCAGTCCAAGAGACCCGATCTGAAGGCAATTTCTAAGGCAAGTTGCGTGCTGCATATAGATCTGATACATGTATTATTTTCTAGGAAGCGTAAGACTTGAGTTCCTCACCATTGATCACACTACACCACAGACAAAAATCAGTGGTTTAACCAATAGAGATGTATGTCTTGGTGATTTTGACTGTCACTAATGATAATTTCTAATGCATTTTCTGGATTTGAGAGGATAGTGATGTTGTTTCTCGGACTTACATTTATGTCCCATTGCAATCATGTTTGTAGAGGAAAAGTGAAGAACTGAGAAGTCCTTTGCTACACACGCACACACAAGTCCCCTATGCATCGTTTATATTTGTCTTATATTTTTTGTTTTTTTTTTTTTTTTTTTTTTTTTTTTTTTTTTTGAGTTCAAAGGTGGTTTGACTGTCAAAAGTAATTTAAAATTGGGTGCAAACCTTTCTTTTTCTGACATTCATGTGAGCAACTACATCTGCGTTTCTACTTCTGTATACCCCTTATAAAAATTGGAATTATTATGGTGCCTGGTTTTCTGCTTTTTAATTTTGTGGACTAGTAATGATTCATATAACTTAACTAGTTTGTGTTTAGTAGTAACCAGGGATTATATCCTTTCAAAAATGAATAGTAACCTGGCTTTATAACACTTCTGCTATAATGCCTCGTACAATAATTGTGATAACTTTTTTCTTAATATTCTTTTTATATTTCTGTTTGAATTCATGGCAGATGCTGAGCAACAATGAAATTTTATACCCTGAACGAAAAATTGGTCATGTCCCAGGTTGGTAATTTTTAGTTTTGCTGGTTGGACCACATATTAACTTTTAGTGCTATCTGGTTTTAGTTGGGAACATTCGGAGAATGTTGGCTTTGTTTCTTTGCCTAATCATTTAGGAGTACCTTTTTTTTAAAATACTTTGTTGCTTGTAAATATAAATGATGCAGGTATTGAGGTCGGGCATCAATTTTTCTCTCGGGCTGAAATGGTGGCTGTAGGGTTTCATGCACACTGGTTAAATGGAATCGATTACATAGGAGAATCTAGAGGCAAGGTACCAATCTACTTTAATGGAAAGATTGAAGCATTTATATGCATTTACAAGTGGCATTTAATGTAGAGATTCTGTTCCCCATGGAAGAGTTCACAAATAAACAAAGGCATACAAGGGTAAAGATGAAATCATCTTTATGTGTAGTTCAGTGATGTGTGTGTGTATATCATTATATTGATTGTAACATGCTCTTGCTCTATGAACTGAGCTGGAATTAGAAGTAAAATTGAACGCAAGGGTTGAAGGTGATAATGGGGATCACCACTGTACTCATAACCCGTATGTACATCACAACTAGTGTTTGGTTTAGATTCGGTGCACTGAACGATACCACCCATTGGGCACGATAGTGCTGAGTAGTTCTTAAGTTCTGATTATTGTTTCTTTCTATCTAAATGTGTTTGCTCTTGTTGGTTTTTAATACTTGAGTTTGAGCTCTAGTGAACTAAGTGAATACAGTCATTTTGAGCTTATCAGCCTCTGTCATGTTGCAGGAGAAATACAAACGCTATACCTTACCACTCGCAGTATCAATTGTGATGTCCGGCCAATATGAAGATGATGTTGATAACAAAGAAGAAGTTATCTATACTGGTCAAGGTGGACATGATTTACTTGGTGATAAAAAGCAAATTAAACATCAAGTTTTGCTTCGAGGTAATTTGGCTCTTAAGGTGCGTCATCTGGAATCTGATTATTGTTCCTTCAATTCTTTCTGATATTTTCTATGATATATATCTCTTTCTCTCCTTGAGTCAAATTAGTAATAGAAATTGTTTCAGTTATCACCGAGTATATTCTAGGAAGTATTCCTCAACAGATTAGATTAGAAACAAATTAGAATATGCTAGGATATTTGGATGTGAACTTTCACACTATTTGCCTGAAGTTTTCTTTTCTCAGACTCCTAGAGCAGCGATTGCAAAAAGGTTGAGTTTTATTCCTTCAATTTTAATAATACCACGTATTCTCTTGATTGATATCAAAGCCTCCTCTATTTGCCACAGTTAGAAATCAGCATTCTCCTTGTAGATGAAATTGTTGTGAATATCAGTGATGAACAAAATAGTTCTGTATAAATTTTGCATCCTTTAGATATTGATGCAATATGTAACAATTTGTGTGGAAGTGTGCAAAAATTGTCAATAATGTCATCATAGCATATGATGCCAAGCATCCAGGCAATGATTTATTTCACATACATACTCTTTGCGCTTTAGAGTCCACTTTGTTACTAACTTTTCCCCAGATGATGATGTGTTATGGATGTGAGATATTCTTCCCTGCATGTTGTTTACTTTTGTCTTTCTATTTTCTTGCAGAATAATATGGTGCAGTCAATTCCTGTTAGAGTCATCCGTGGACATAAATGTGTGAATAGTTATAGTAAGAAAGTTTATACATATGATGGACTATACAAGGTTCGCCATTTTCATGTGTATGTTATTGTTTATCAAACGTCTTAATGGGGTCGAGTGGGTTACCACAGTGGTTGTGGTCCTCCTCCTTCCCCCTGCTTGGCACCCAGGATCAGAACCCCAGGGTTTCTTTCCTCCCATTGTAACCAAAAAAAAAAAGGGGGTCTTAATGGGAGAGGAATCATTGCTGCAGGGCATAGGGGGAGGTCATATCAAAAGTATACTCATGTGTTAAAAAAATGAGAAAAATGAACACATGAAATCTTTGCTTGTGTGTCATGGCTCTTTTAAGAAACACATAAAGTAAAGCATGGTCAGAAAATTGAAAAAGGAACACAGTTAGTGTACAATAGGAAATAAATAAGTTTTTAGCTGCAGTTTGGTTTGAGTTTAGTGGATATTGTCAAGGTGCCCTTTAAGTCAAGCTAGCAACCCTGACAGACAAAATCCCATAATGGTAACTGAACCGACAGATGAAGCTAAAGTAATTGCTAGGTGTTTTTTTTTCTTTTCATATGGATAAAATTTGACTAAGCGGCTAAAGTCTCTTTACTTAATTTCTTTCCCCGGAAGGTTGTCGATTATTGGGCTGATAAGGGTGCTGCTGGATTTGACGTGTTTAAGTACTGTTTAAAGCGAGATGGAGGACAACCCAAATTGCTCAGCAAACAGGTTATCATTTCTTTTGCATTTTCGTAAAATCCAATATGCAAATTTCATTTAGTGACGCAGGAACAGAGTGTGAGAAAACTTTTATAGAGTTTTTTCATATATTATTCTCTCAGAGCTAGGTTGGCATGCAATTGGCTTTCCATAAAAAGTCGATGCTAGTTCATTATGCTCTTGTTCAAACTTTTTAAACTAAGCATAAGGGTAGGAAATAATCAAGATTTAGAAAAGAAAATAGTTACATTAAATATATTTGATACTAATCTTATACTCTTGGGCACATATTAGATGCATTATCTTTTTACGTATTATAGTTAAGGAATTTCATTACAAGTTAAAACTTCTGGAGATGCTTAAGCGACAAAAATTTCAGGTTCATTTTATTCGTGGCCGAGGGTCTAAAGTTCAGCCTGAAATACCTGGGTATGAAATCAGTAAGCTTTTCCCTAAATGTTTTTCTGTTTTCCCTCCAGTTCTGTTCATTCCAATATAAACCCAAGGAAGCATGTTACTTTTTCAGGTTGGTGTGCAAGGACATCTGTAATGGTCAAGAAAATATATGCATTCCTGCTACCAATGTCATTGATGTTCCTCCTATGGCGCCTGAAGGTATGCTACACTTCTCAACTTGTACCAGACTATTTTTACTGCTCAGTAGTTATTATGCCCCTACTAATGGCATGGTAAAATGTTAAAAATTGCAGGCCTTACATATACTAAATCCATTGAAGTTGCAAAAGATGTGAACATTCCATCGTGTGCTCCTGGGTGCAGTTGCAAAGGAAATTGTACCAATCCACTGACTTGCTCTTGTGCTAAACTCAATGGCTCAGATTTTCCTTATGTTGCTCGAGATGGTGGAAGGTAAGGTTTGAATTATAGCATAAGTTTTAAGACTCTTGTTTTCCAGTTGTCTCAATTTCGCGGCTGTTTTACTTGTTTGAGATCTACCAAACCCTTTTTTAAAGTGTATGTATTGATGAAACTCTCTCTCTCTCTCTCTCTCACACACACACACACATCCCTTTTAGATTAATTGAACCGAAGGCTGTTGTGTTTGAGTGTGGTCCAAATTGCGGCTGTGGACCTGATTGTGTGAACCGTACATCTCAGAGGGGATTAAATCATCGACTTGAGGTCTAATGACTACAACCAACTCCCTAAAGCTTCTTTGATGATTACATTGGTGCTTTACAAATTTGATAAATTTAACATTTCATTGAACAGGTATATCGGACAGCTGACAAAGGCTGGGCTGTTAGGTCTTGGGACTTTATTCCCTCTGGTGCACCAGTATGTGAATACACTGGAGTTCTTAGGAAGAATGATGACCTAGACAGCGTCTCAGAGAATGACTATATATTTGAAATTGATTGCTGGCATACAATGAACGGGATTGGGGGAAGAGAGGTATTGTTTAAACTGTGTGCTATGGACGAATTGAACTTTCAATACTTTTTTTACTACTCGTTCTTTGCATGCTGTGTTGTTTACCTTATTGGTTTGGAGATGTGGTCTTTCTCATTGAATATTTCTGTTACATTTGATTCTTTTGATATGTCATACATTCCTCTGAAGTATCTTTACATTGCAGAAGCGAATGTGTGATGTGTCTATTCCAAATGGTGATGCTGAGAAAGGATTTAGCAAGCTATCAGAAAGTGAGCCTGAGTTTTGCATAGATGCCGGTTCCTACGGTAACATTGCTAGATATATCAATCACAGCTGCGAGCCTAACCTCTTTGTCCAGTGTGTTTTGAGCTCTCATCATGATGTTAGGCTAGCTAGAGTCGTGCTATTTGCTGCAGATAATATACCTCCGTTGCAGGCAGTCTCTCTCTCTCTCTCTCTCTCTCATCTTTGTTTGTTGCTGATATACCTCAGAATGATGAATGGTTTATTCGACGTTGCATATGCAGGAACTTACATATGACTATGGTTATGAACTCGACAGTGTGGTTGGTCCTGATGGAAACATAAAGAAGTTGCTTTGCTATTGTGGTGTAGATGGCTGTCGAAAGCGTTTGTACTAGGCCACATGATCTGTATGTTCTGTGATTTATGCAGAATCCAATTTGATGTTTCAAGTGTATCTCAATTGCATTTGAATTGCATCCAATTTGATTTCTGTGTTTTATAAATATTTTTTTTTCGAGGGGCGCGGGTCTGTGGTGGAGATTGCTGAATGAAAATGGTAGTGGGTACATATTGTATAATTACTAACTTCGTTATTGTTATCATATTCTCATTTTGAAGTGTTTATTGGGTACACAAATTTGTGGTCTAACTAGCAGCAAGGCACACTCAAAAGTAATTAGGATAAATTGATATGTTTATTCTACTTTGAAAGAGGGATATATATTACATATAGAGTCGGTACAAATAGAAAATATATACAAAATCTCCCAATTCTATTAAAATTAGATAATTACAAAAAAAAATAAAAAATATACAAATTCTATTCCTAATAAGAACGTTGACTTTGACTCAGCCAATACTCCTCAAGTTAGTGCATAGATATCAGTAATGCCCAATTTATCAAGTGAGTTTTCGGTGTTTTGACACAGCATGGGTCAACATATTTGCAAGTTGTTTCAAAGAAGGCACAAAATATATATAAATTAACTTTTTCTCTAGCTTCTCCTTAATGAATGTTGATCAACTTCTACGTGCTTAGTTCAATCATGTTACACTGGATTGTTAGTAATTTCAAATGCAGATTGACTATCACAGTGGAGCTTTGTAGCAGCATTCAATCTAAACTCAATTTCAACAAGTAACCACCTCAACCACAATATTTCACAGACCCCCTGGGCAATCTCTCTGTACTCAGACCTTACAGAGGATCGAGATACAACATTTTGCTTCTTGCTACGCCATATAACTAGATTACCACCAATAAAGGTGAAGTAACCTAACATATAACGTCTATCAGTAATTGCATAATATGTGTCAAAGTAACTTTTTGGATCCAAGTGTTCATTTTTCTTAAATAATAAACTTCTCCCATGAGCAGATTTTAAGTAACTCAGAATACGCATTACAGTAACCATATGATCCTCACTAGGTGAATGGATAAATTGGCTAGAAACACTTACCGCATAGGCAATATCAGGGCGTGTAAGTGATAAATAGATTAATCTCTCAACCAACCTCTGGTATCTTTCTTTGTTAGTTGACACATGATCCACATAAACGTCAAGTTTATGATTCTCAACAATAGGTGTCTCATCTGGTTTACAATCAAGCATCCCAGTATCTTCTAACAGGTCCATGACATACTTCATTTGTGAAAGAAATAAGCCATGTTTAGATCGAGTGACTTCCACTCCTAGAAAATATTTCAGATTACCCAAATCTTTCATCTCAAATTTAGACGTTAAACGCTTTTGCAAGTCCTCAATTTCTATAGTATCATCACTAGTCACAATCTATCATCAACATAAATAATCAATAAAGTCATCTTACCAGCCTTATGTTTGATGAGTAGAGTATGTTTAGTATTGGCATGTTGGTAACAAAAACTTCTTCATAGTTGCAATAAATCTCTCAAACCAAGCCTAAAGAGATTGCTTTAATCTATACGCCGCCTTTTTTAATTTGCACACGCCCCCGTGTCACTAGTAATGCTATATCCTGGTGGAAGACTCATGTACATTCTTGTAGTTCACCATGTAAGAATGCATTTTTTACATCAAATTGCCTTAGGGTCTAATCCAGGTTTACTGCTAAAGACATCAAAACTCTGACAATATTAATCTTAGTCACAGGTGTAAAAGTATCATAATAATCAACTCCATACGTCTAAGTTAACCCTTTAGCTACTAATCTTGCATTGTACCTCTCCACAGTACCATCTGCATTATATTTAACTATAAACACCCCTCTACATCCAATAGACTTCGTTCCCTTTGGTAGATCAATAATGTCTCATGTGTTATTTTCCTGTAGCATCTCAATTTCAATATTCATGGCTTCAGCCCACTTTGGATCATTAAATGCCTCCTCAACACAGGTTAGAATTTTAATATTGTCCATTCTCGACACAAATGCTTTGCACTCAGGAGATAACCTGTTATCAGACACATAATGGACAATAGCATATCTTGCTTTGTCTTATGGTGAGTAACGATCTGGTGGAACCCAACGATTCCGTCTATATGGTAAAATATAAGATTTATCTGCAGTAGAAATAAAAGTACTTACTTTAGGAATATCCAGGGGAGCTTGATTGGGTATTATTGGAGAAACATGAGGAATCGGTTCAACAACATTAGTAAAAATAACAGATTTGGGTTAGGCCAAAGAAGTAAGCTCAGCTGGTTCAGCCAAACTAGTAGTTTCGACCAACTCAGTAGTTTCACCCAAAGCAGTAGGCTTAGTTGGTTCCATCGTTTCTCCCCCTTGTATCAAACCATCCAACACCAGTTCTCCTTATAAATTTAGCCAGTCATGTCCTGCACTTCTAGTCCCTCTTTGGAAGACATGCTCGGGTATATCAGAGAAGAACAATTCATCCTCAATGAAGGTAATACCATAGAGACATACAAACGTTGGGTAGCAGGATGATAGAATCAGTAACCTTTTTGATGAGGAGACCTAGAAAGACACAGCGGAGAGCACAAAAAAAAGACGTAGACATGATGGGTCAGTACCTACATAGGAGTTCGGAAATCCAGAACTCGTGAAGGTAAACGATTCAAGAGATAGACAGCATAGGTAATAACACCCATCTAGAATTGCTTTGGAACTACCGCACCAAGCAGCAAAGCAAGGGCAATGATAAGGATCTATCCATTTTTACATTCATCTACCTCATTTTGTTATGGTGTTTGAGGGCAAGTAGTCTCGTGGAGTGGATAACCTTGGTGTGAAAAAACTGGGATAAACCCGAATTTACTATTCACTACCATTATCATATCGAAAAACCTTGATATGGAGCATAAATTGAGTTTGAATCATTTGATAGAACGCTGGAAGATAACGATCACGTCACTTTTATTTTTCATCCCATATAACCACATCATACAAGTGCAATCATCCACAAATAATACAAAGCAGCGAACACCCAAGGCAGTAAAAAGAGGGGAAGGTCCCTAAACATCATAATGAACTAAATAAAATGCCATAAGGCATTTATTACAACTCAGAGGATATGATACCTGATGAATCTTAGCTAATATACAAGTCTGACGTTTTAAAGCAGACTTGTTGACACCAGTAAATAATCTAGGAAACAAATGCCCAAAGGAGGCATGACCAAATAGGCAATGGAGCAACCAAATCCAGCGATGCTGAGAAGTTTCGGAGCTACTAGCATGAAGAACCTGACTAGTTGCCATGTCATCCACATAATAAAGGCCCATTTTTTAGTACTAAAACCAAATATCTCCCGAGTCTGGTTATCCTATAGTAAGACAACCGACGGATAAATCAGTACAACGCAATTTTACTGCTCAATAACATGTGGCACATATAATAAATTGCTAAACAAAGATGAAACCAATAGCACTTTGTCCAATGATAAAGTATGTGTCAAGTTTATAGAACCATCCCCCATGACATGAATAGCATAATTATTAGCAGTCAGAACACGATTGCAATGCGACGAGATAGTAGTAGAGAATAAATCAGAACCATACATCATATGGTTAGTAGCTCCTGAATCAATAATCCAACCTGTATCATCTGCATCATGAGCAAGGATGGCAGCTAGGTGGCCGTTCCTAATGGTGACATCAGTTATAAGGGTGGTGGTGTCGGCCACATGTGCTTTGATGCCTAGTTGTTCTTTTTTAAGTGCCTCAGTTCCTTTTCCCAATCTGGAATCCCATGCAACGCCCAACATGTGTTTATAGTATGCATTTTATTACCACAGTGACTACACTTTAGTTTGTCTTTTTTTCTTTTTTTCTTTTTTGCAGAAGTCATGCCACGAGGTGAAACAACAAAAAAGCTAGAACCTAAAGGTCGAGAAACAAGAGCAGTGTTTTTGGAAGCAAACACAACAATAGATTCCCCAATCTTGGTACCAGATCTAAGCATAGTAATATGACGTTGAGCCTCTCGACAAACCATAAAAACCACTTTCTCGATACTTGGAACCTTATCACTCTGTAGAATATCACTATGAATTTTATCATAAGTATCATCAAGGACATGCAAAGAATCACACACGATCGGACATAACAGCAGCCGGAAAAGTTTTCATATCATTAGCACACTTCATTTGAAATGGACATGATAGGACGACCCCCTTGCTTGAGATGGGTAGCCTAGCACTGCAATTCATAGAGCTGAGATATGTTAGGGTCATCATAAAACATCTAATTAACAGCATCCCAAATATCCTTGGCAGTAGGTAGAGTATGAAACATATTCAACAAATAGGGTTCCGTAGTTCGCAACATCCAACTTTTCACAGTAGCATTAGCAATTTTCTACTTCCCAAACTGTGGATCTTGGGAATCCAGGGCATCAGTGTAGCCAATCAGGTAACCTAATTTACCTTGTGTAATAGCATGGAGTTCTATCATCGAAGCCCATATCTCATAATTAGATCCATTCAATTTGAATCTCATGGTGGACGATTCAGTAGGAACCATCACAATGGGGGTAGGAGAAGCAGTAGGTGAAGTAGAACCATAAGCATGTGAAGGAATAAATGCATCAAAGTGTGGCATGGTGATGGATAGCAGCGGCGATGGAGGCTAGATGGCAGCGCAAAGAAGACGGCGACAAGGTAGTGGGCGGCAGCGGTAGGCTAAGTGTATAATGCAGCAGGTACTGTTTAGGGTTAGGGGCCTTTTATGTTGTAGAGATAGATCGAAACCCACTCTGATACCAACTCAAAAGTAATTAAGGATAAACTGATATGTTTATTCTTTTCTCAATGAGTGATATATGTACTACATACATAGTGGGTACAAATAGGAAATATATACAAAATCTCATAATTCTACTCAAATTAGATAATTACAATAAAATACAAATTCTATTCCTAATAGGAATATTGATTTTGACTCACGCCAACATGCACTGCACAATTTTTATTTTTATACAAGCAATATTGAGAAAGAGGATTCGAACACTTGAACTCGAATGTAGAGGTAACTGCTCTTAGAGTATCTACAATCATATTCTCTATTTTTTAATTTAAAATTTAGCTAAAAACATATAAAAGTTATTTTAGGAGCTCCCTATAAAATTTAAAATTTAATCATACTCTCTAGTTTAGGAAGTCATAAATGCTATAACTTTTTTTAAGGGAGTTTCACTAATACACCCAAAATATGGGCTGAAATTATAAAAAAACCCAACATGAAAAACACTTTAGAAACACACTCAAAACCCATTTATTAAACACACTCAAAACCCATTTATAAACACACCCGAAAGATATACAATTGTTGATTTTGGTGTGTTTCTATGTTTTAAACAGTGTTGGGTTTTTTTTATAAATTCATGTCTAGGATTGGGTTTATTTATAAATTTGTAACTTTTTAATTGGTCAATCTCTATTAAAAAAATAATATAAAAAATAGTTAGCATTAATTAAATATTTGAAATACTCATTAAATAAAGGAACATTAAATTATATGGGGCCACTAGGAGTTCTTTCTTTCTCCTCAGATTTAGGAGCTCCTAGGCCCCATTTGGTTCATGGGAAAGGAAGCTTGGAGATGGGAAATCAATTGTTTTCCCATGTTTAGTAAGTCAGGCATGAGAAATTGTTGCTTGGCAGATGGGAAAGTAGAGGGAAAGTGAAGCCATCCTTCTTGGATTTTACTTTCCCTTCTCATGGGAAAGTAAGGTCAACATTAAATGCACTTTTTTTTGACTAATTTGTCCTTACTAATAATTTATAATTACAATTTTATCCAAAACATCTATTGGTATTCTTTTTTGTTTTTTTAATTATATTTCTTAAAATCCTCCCAGCAACGTTCTATTTTCCCATAACGTATTTCTCATAACTCTGTTTACACAAGGAAGACAAAACTTCAACCTCACCAAAGTTTTCACATTCTCATGGCAACTTCGAACAAGGTAGATATTATACTTCTATTCGTCACCCAATATTTTTCTTCTTCCTTTTTCTTTCCCACTTGAGCACCCAAATATTCATTATATGAATTGACTTGAGTTCTGAGTTTAACAGTTGGATTATTTGATGTCTTTCTATTTTTTTTCTTTTCTTTTTCTGGGTTTAACATGTATTTTTCTCTAATACACCGTCTGAAAGTTTGGTTGAGCTAAGACTAAACGTTGATATCTCTCACACCATATGAATATTGAGGGAAACTTGCAATCTCTCTAAGCTCACTTGTATCAATTATAAGTTGTGTTAAATACGGCACTCTCTCACCAACTAAAGAGCAAATTCTTTTTTATTTGCTTACAACCAAAAATAGCTACAATCAATCAAGAAATTATAGAGACAGAGAAAAAAAATTAAAGAGAGTGGCTTGGTATTTGCTATTTCTTGTTGCGAGTGGAGTAGTGGGTGTTTGTGAAAAAAGAGAAGAATTTTTTATATTTGGTGTTTATTACTTGTTTCATTTTAAAGTCTAAGCTACATACCCAAATCACACTAATAAACTTTGCTTAATTATGGTTTGATGTTTTTATTTTGTTAGTTTTGTTATTTGGGTTTGTTATTTTTTTTATAATTGATTATGTTATTAACGGTTATTATGCAGTTATAGCGTGTATAAAATTGTCAAAGAGGAAAAGGACTCTTCTAATGTTTGACTCTATTATGTGTTTGTCTAATATCATGATCATATTATACATTATAATGTATATAATTGCGAAAATGCATTATAGATAGAATATCTAAACAAAATGAATAGATTTTTCATATTTTTAAAGGGGTACAATTGGGAAACTAAACAAAATTTGTTTTCCATTCCTACTCAAAATAAACATGGGAAATGAAATAAAGTGATATTTTCGGATTACTTTCCTAGCATTACCAAACATCATAAGGGAATTACTATTTCTCATCCCTTGTGAAATGACATGGGAAATGATTTCTCATCAAATCTGTTCTGTGAACCAAACAGGGCCCTAGAGGTCTCCCTATTTTAGGAGGTGGATAGGGAGCATGGTTGGAGTTGTATTTTTCTAATTTCTCCCTACAATTTGTCTAAGGAGGTGGTTTAGGAAGCCTATTATGAATGCTCTTAGAGCACCTCCAGCGCAGCCCATGACAACAACATCACCAACAACCCCCCCCCCCCCCCCCCCCCCCCCCCCCCCCCGCGCGAAAAGGCAGCTCGGGCAAGCCCACAGGCAAAAATGGACTGGGTTGTTGCCCTCAGGCTGCTGATGTCAGCGGTTGATTTTTAAAAAAATTTTACTATTGGCAAGTGTAGGTGACGTTAGCGCTGACCAACCAACCCACATAGGCCAACGACTATAAGCCACGTGGCTTTTCCTGGAGCCTCCGATCAAAAAATATTACCCAATCCAACAACTGTCCAATTTTTAGCTAAAAAATATCAAAAAATTCTAGAAATTTTTTCTATAAATACCTACCAATATTGTTCATTTTCCACACCAAATCTTCAAACAAATTCATCTCCTTCCAATATTTTTCACTTTCCACACCAAATTTTCTACTACAAAATTCCATTTGTGCAAAAATACAAATGGCCTCTTCCATCCAAACTGGAGGGTCATGGATAAACGTTCGAAGAGGTCAGAATCTTGGCGACGAGGTATAAAAAATTGTCGTTTTATTCAATTTAATGTCATTATATATATATATATATATTTCTTGCATTTTTCATTTTTTTAATAGATTATTCAAGGGAAAACAAAAAAGAGGAAAACCATTACACATGGCTCCTCAAGTGAACAATGCATGCAATCGGTTCCAGTGGTGAGTTCCGTGTCAAAAATAATGGCACTATTACGTCATCTGAGGGAAAATACTCCCCCCACGTTGTGATCCGGTGGAACCGCCTCTTCCAATGATTGAGTCGTCCTTGTACTCCATTGTGTCGGATTATGAGGATCGAGAGTATTTCAATTGTATGATAAGTGAGTAGGTATTTCAATTGTATGATGAGTGAGATGTGAATTTTATAATAAATATGGACATGCGGCAACCGAAAATCTTATCCGAAAATTTAATTTGAAAATTTTATCCAAAAATGTTATTTGAATTTTTACGTGAGAATTTTATAATAAATATTGACACGTTGCAACTGGAAATCTTAGTCGAAAAGTTTATCAAAATTAATGGTTTAAGTATAAAAAATAAATAAATAAAGTGAATAGTGTTTGTCATTCCCCTTTGGGATGGAACCAAAAAAGGCAATGCTGCCACTATTCACGTGAATAGTGTCAAATGTTGCCTTGCCCTTGTCTTTTGGGATGAAGGTGCTCTTACCACTTGAGTTACAAGCCTTTTGCAAATATTTTGACATAGTTGCAAGGATGGTATGAACATGCTCATTTCTCTTATGCAGGCAAAGTCAATAATAACCTAACCTATGAATGAGAGGCATATCTAGTTTTGTTTAGTACTGATAATTTAGTTTGTCCGCCACTCCAGGACCCTGTAGTTTAGACTTAGAGGAGGTCAAGTGGGTGATTACAGAAAAGTAAAACGTGATTATGCGTAAGGGAAAAGAAAACCAATCTTAGATTAGACTTTGGTTAGGATCGATGCCCTTTTGATAAAGATAAGCTATAATCTAGGTGCCCTTACTTTTGTACCCAAAATTTTCATTCATACCGTGTATTATGTGATGTCAGGAATATTGGGAATTTGTTTGTAATTTTATTTATTCCATGTATTAATTAATAGAGTGAGTGTCAAATGATTAAGCTCTTTATTTAACTGTTGATAAAGCAAAGACAACCTTTTTTGACTTGCGACTCTTTCCCTCTGGTGGACACCACAAAATCCCGAACCAAATCAAATGAGAGTTCATGAGTTTGAGGAAATTACATATCAATGTGGAACGTATAATAAATTGTATCTAACGTTGATTATTTGCTATTTCTTTTGTACCAAGATCATCTCGGAATCTTTTCTTCTGTACCAAGATCATCCCAGACATCCCTAAAACAATCAATTATGTCAATAAATGAGATCGAAGTTGAAGAAAATTAAATAAAACGTGAGATTATCGACACGACGTCTTTAATATATCACAAATCAATATGAGAAAGAATATTCATTTATCTTATAGGAATCTTTAGCCTTGTGTGTACTAAACAATTAGGTTCTTTAAATTAATTTTATAACTCCAAAGCAAAGGAAAACAATCACAAATTGTCACATTCGACCGAGTTTGAGTCAAAATGACTAACGTTATTAATTGTGCCATAAGTTATAATAAGTCCATATTTTTATCATTTTTCTTCTTTTGGCCTTTTAAACCAGATGGTCAAACCGCTAACGTGAACTATTTTTACCCAACCCTTCATCCTCAAGAAAGAAGGAATGTTGGTCCATTTTTAAACCCATCAATTTGATTGATGGCTTTGAGTATGTCTTTATTATTGGATCCCTCTAAAAACATGCTATACAGCTTTGCATATAAAACTAAACCTATTGAAGCAAATTATCCGATAGTATAGTGGTTTGGAGTAATTATTCTCTCAGGAAAGATATTAGGTTCAAATTATAACATCTGTATAGTATGTGTGTGTCAGTTTAATATGTTATCGCCCCTCTCAATAAGAAAGGTTTTCATATAAAGATTTTTATAATTAACAAGTGAATTGCGTGTAATGAATTTTTATGCTTTGTTTGAGAGAAATAAAAAGTTTGCAAAGTAGGCAATAGGAAATCAACACGTGTTTTTTTAATTATGTCTCATTGCCCACCTAATATCGTATCCTATATGTACTATTACATGTTGAAAGGGATAAAAAAAATGAGGCTGTCATGGTCCATGGGGAATCCCATTGAAGTTTGACATGCTACCAAATTCTGATATTCTTTCAGGTTTTCAAAACTATATGCCACCTTTTGTTGGTTCCCACTTGGCTATTTGTAAATTGTTATTGGGTTTTCAGAAATTCTACCAAATAAAATAAGCCATAAATTTTACGATATGATATGATGCATGGTACTCGAAGCCCGTCGTTATACAGATGGAACAGAGTCGAAAATTTGCATCCCTATAAGTCAATATGGCTCATATCTACTTTTTTAATTGCTTACAACTATAGTATTTGTTTATAGTTTTATAGTGCTTTCTATAACGAACTGTTTTAATCATAAGGTTTTTCAAATTACTAATAGCTGGTGATTTCTAAGAAGTTAGTATCTGTCATGGGGATGGAGCATATATATAAACTAATTGAGTCAAAGATGAAAAGATTTTAGCAATCAATAGCACTCCATTTTTCTCTTCTTTTTCCTTTTAGAAATAACAATGTTTGTTGATGGAACATCTAAGTGTTTACATTATCTCAGGGGAGGGGGGTACTTTATCAGAGGTTAGGTTCTCGCTTTTGTTTTGCGGTTGAGCAAATAAGGCTACTCAGTTAGTCTGATGACCGAGCCCGTATGTATAGAGAAACTCGTCTAATACCCAACGACATGACCCAATTTTTTTGATACTGTTACTTATTTCTCTCTATCAATAACACTATCGCCCTTTTCTAAAAAGAAAACAAAAAAGTGTGTGCATTATTCAATTGAGGATCATTTAAAATTGGGACTCGATTTTGCTAGACACTACAAGCTCATACACAGAGTCTATGAAATGGTTTGTATAATGTTTATCTATCACGTTATTGACCACATTTTCATAGAATTAACAAATATGTGACTCATACAAGTAGGGTATTTTTGTGAGAATTAGTCAAGAGAATTACGATGTGTGTTTGAGATTGTAGCAAATTTTATCGTCAAGTAGAATTAGGGTGGTATTTTAGTCATTGGGTGATGTAAAATGACGCAATTCTCACTCTACGTATTTTTGACATGCTGAAAAGACCTGGTTAATTTGTGGGAAACTTTGTCAATCAATTTTCTGCACTGATGTGGAAGCCACTTTCCAACTGTTTGGAGATCACAAAGTATACCTACCTACCTGAGATGTGATCAATTCCAGTATGCCAAAAAGCCACGCGTTTTGTTATTTTTAATTCCTTTTACGACACGGTAGCTGTGTTATCTGTTATTCACACACTCTAAATAAAATATTCATTTTACCCTTTTAACGTTGTGAAACACATAAAGAAGGATTTTCATTTTTTATTTCAAAGTTCATATCAAATAAGAGGCTGTATTAATCCCTAACTTTGCATTGGATATATATCTTATTGAAAGTGCAATCTCTATTTCTAAGGGAAATTTTAGTCCATGAATGTAACATCGTTACATGATGTTACTAATCTATTCATATAAGAATAAGTATATATATATATTTGTTAATACTATAACTTAACAACACATGCTATAACATAGTCATTTGATGGTACTAATTCACTCATATAAGACAAGTGTACAGTTATGAAGGGTGCTTATTTTTCCACTCTCTTTTTGTCCACTTACACTTATTTTTATTTATTTTTAATACTTTTTACTATAATAAAAAAGGAAGTATAAATGGACAAAAGAGTATAACTTAAGATACTGACGGTTTTGCCAACTGATGGTCTAACTCAGTAGAAAAAGGTATTGACTTGTAAACTAGTAGTTACAGGTTTGAACAACCATGACACTTTGACTGTGTGTGGGAGCCCCCCCCTTCCTAACTTTGACAAAAATACAAACGATTTCCCACATGAAGATGTTACGATGACAAACTAAAGTCTCTTTTTAAGAGACCCGTCATGTGTGGGAAGCCATTAACATATGTAATTAATTACCCTTAAATTTCGTCCAAAAAAAAATTACCCATAAATTATGAATGCAAAACGCATGAAGTTTTTCTATTAGTTGTCAATATGATTATTGAATAAAAGTGAGACCAAAGGATAGAATTTCAGGGATTGTGATAGAAAATGCATGTGAGAGCAACTAGTAATGAGTCCATGCAGAGACGCCCTTCGCGTGCTACAAGAATACCAAAAATTGGCAGGCCTTGGCATAATAGGGATCAGCCTTTTGTCCCCACTACATCACACCCAGAATATGACCCCGTCCTAACCAACCAACCAACCTCTCTCTCTCTCTCTCTCTCTCTCTCTCTCTCTCATTACAACCCCTAATCTCTCTTCCTAAGCTTCATATTATGATTTTTTAATGGTGTGCTCATTAATTAGAAATTGAAATTCTCGTGAATTGAATTTCACCTATGAAGGGTTCCTGCACTTATTTCACATCAAAAAATTAAAATGCAAGTAGAGTCCACACAAAATTAGGAATTGAATTCATGATTTTGGATGAATTTAATTCTTGGATGAGATGTGGTATTCTAAGTTTTAGATAATAACCCATTAGGAATTTATATTTTTTACCCATTATATACTCTTACAATTTTAAAAATTCCAAATTTGTCATGTACTTTAACCAACAATGAAGACATTTTAGTAATTAGTATCAATCCTATCCCAATTCTATGTGGTTTAGTAAACAACTTCAATAAGAATCAAGAATCTAATTTTCCTCAATTCAATTCCTCGTAATTCAATTACTGATTAGTAAACATTACATGCCATAATATGATTACTATGTTCCTAACCCTCTATTAAAACTTATTAGAAAAAAAAAAGGATTTGATTATTAGAGAGAGAAAGATGCATGTTTTAGTTGTAGGGGGAGAGAAAAGGTAGTGATTAATTAGTGGTACCCTCTTCAAATTTTTGTCCAAACTCCACACAACAAAAAAAGAAGAAAATAAAAAAGTGGCTTTAATATTGGAGGGGGCCATCCATTATCATAAGCATTAGCGATTAAGTAAAGATTAGGGCAAATGATTCAATGGGATAAGACTCTAAGGGACGTTGAGAACGAAAGGAGAGGTGGAGAAAATTTTACTTAAGTGGTAGGGTAGGATGCCCTTATCACCTTCTTAGCCTCTATATTCCACACCATGGATTGGAATTGTCATTAGCCACTTTCTTTATAATTGTAACCCCCCTCCCCCACAAATATTTATACATCTATTCCACCTCTTCCAAATCAAAATCCCATGCATTTGTTTTATATTAAAACTTTGACCAAAGCTTTTAAGAAACATGCCCCCCCCCGAAAAAAATCAATGCTTGGGCAAATTAAATAAATACAAGCAAAGGTAATTAAAACAAATTTTTAAAAAGGAGAAACAAAAAGGATAAAGATGGCCCCCCAAAAAAACGCGTTTTATACCATATTTTACACAAAAGAAAATGACCCATATGCATACAAAAAGATTATTAGAGTGGTTGTAGTGCAAAAGAGTGCCCTTAGAGATTCCATGGTCCAAGACAAAGCAATTAGGGTTAATTAACCCTTGTATGGTAAGAAATTAAAGAAAAAACAAATCCCATTGATTGAGATTTAAAATAAAAAAGATATGGCCTTCCCTGATTAATTATAGCTAAAACAACCTTAACAAGGGGTTAAGGGTCAATAGCTGTTATATTATAGCAGTAAAAAACAGAGAAAACCCCACCACACTCTCATAATAAACCACCAAAAGCCCTCAAAACTTCTCCCTCCTTTTCCTTTTCTTTTTCTCTCTTCCTCTTTCTCTCTCTCTCTGTCTCTCTCTCTCATCTCCTCCCTAATTTTTTTAGGTAGAGAGACTAAGAGAGATATGAGCTAACCCCTCATTCCTCTTAAACGGCGTAAGAGGGAAACTTTCCCCCAAAACGCCGTTTACTTTCAACGTAAAATCACCATTAAGTCACGTGCGTTTACTCTTTTCCGTTTTAATTTTTTTCGTTATTTATGCTCATGGCCTTGGAGCAGCAGGTGAGCCTGAACCCCGTTGACGGCGAAACTAACGGCGTTGACGCCCGCCACCCCACGTCAGCGGAGACCGGAGATGACGCCAGCAAGGCGCCGAGGCTGCCACGCTGGACGCGGCAGGAGATTCTCGTCCTCATAAACGGGAAGAGGTACGCCGAGAGCCGGGGTGGGGGGCGGACCCCGAGGTCGGACTTCGGGTCGGGTCAGGCGGAGCCGAAATGGGCCGCGGTCTCGACCTACTGCAAGAAGCACGGGGTGAACCGGGGACCCGTCCAGTGCCGGAAGCGGTGGAGCAATTTGGCGGGGGACTTCAAGAAGATCAGGGAGTGGGAGGTGCAGAGGAAGGACGAAACGGAGTCGTTTTGGGTGATGAGGAACGACCTGAGGAGAGAGAGGAAGTTGCCGGGTTTTTTCGATAAGGAGGTTTATGATATAATGGAGGCGGTTCCGGGTGCTCCGATTTCGCTCGCTCTACCCGGTCCGACCCGGGTGGAGTCCGAAGATGTGAAGGAGGAGGGGATGACTGAGGAGGCTGAGAACTTGTTTGATAGTATACAGAGGCCCACGGAGGACGGGTTGTTTTCTGACGATGAGTCGGGCCGGAGCCCTGAGAAGGAAGTCCGGTTCAAGGAGGGTCCGGGGAGTACCACAGTGATTTCAGGTCCTTTGCCAATATCAGGTAATTCATAATTCAATTGACTCTTTAGCAAAAGAAAAAAAAAAGTGATCTTTGGGTGGAAATTTCAAAATATGGTTACAAGTTGGCTGCATTTCATTTGGGTTTTGCGGAATGTCTTTCGTGTTTGAAATTTTTTATTTTTTGGTTGAAAAATAAGATTTTTGGGGAGTGAGTGATGGTACAAAGTTGGTGATAGAATTTCATATGGGGACGTTAGCTGAGTCTTTTTCTTCAGTTGTTTTCTTATTGAAGGATGCTTTTTGGGGATTTGGTGAAGCAGGGCCTTGGTGGTGTCTACTGTGCTAAAAGTTGTATATAATTTGTGGTGGGGTGGGGGTCGGGTTGGGGATGGGGTGAAAAATCAAAGAGACTGTCTTTCTACGAATTTGGGGTCTTGGATTGGTTTAGTGCTCTTGGGGCTTGGGTTTTAGGGGGCAAATTGACAGTGGGGAAAACAAATATGCGTATTTGTCTCTGTTGGAGACTGTTGCTGATCTTTCAAATGTCTTTTTGTTGTGTTATGATTACCAGAGAAGCAGTATAAACCAATACCTCAAGGATGCCAAGGACAAGGTACTGTTGTCTGCCTCAACCCTTTATACTACTGATTGTTTGCCATAAAAGAGAAAAATAGTAGATGAGTCGCAAAACTAATTATCATAGTTATGACTATGCTCTAAAACAACTAAAGGAAACTAGCAGAATTGAAAATGAAATGACCATCTCATCAAACATCCTTGGATTAAATCTGAGATTTAGGTACATATATTTCCAATTTTTTGTCAACTTTGCCCATCACAATCTTTTGTTGTGGGTTGAATTGAACTTGCCCTAGAAGGCACTAACAATTTACAGGCTCAAATTCATGGTAGATACCCACTTTTAACATATTATACTTGAACAAGAATATTTGAACAAATTTAAGGTATCTTCTATGTCAAAAGGAATATATCAGGGGCTGGTATTGAAAATCTGTCATCATCTGCTTCCAAGTTTCTTTAAGTTTCGTATAATCTTGTTTAATCTTACCACCAAGAATCTGTTAAGAGTATCATGCCAGGGATACAGTTTATCATCCTATTGAGTTTCGTTGAGGGTTTAATTGAACAAGTACTTAGTTTGAGTAACACTGGTAGATATGCCCCCAGAACTTAAGCTTTCCTACATTTCTAAGTTGAAATAAATCAAAGTTTAAAGTGGTGTCTAAATCCACCATAGTTCAGCATCTTGGCCGAATGTCTGGGTTGGGCGAATTCTAGATGGAAACTTTATGTGGTCAATTAACACTACCACCTGCAGGTGCAGCAGACCAAAAACAGCCAGCTTCAATACCTGAGATTGGATCTACTTCTCAAGACCGGAAGCGGAAACGTTTTACAGTAGATGTAGACGAGGAAACATCCAATCTGCAGAATCAGTTGATTGATGTCATGGAAAGGAATGGCAAAGTGCTTTCTGACTATCTCCATGCTCAGAATTCCCATTCGCAACTCGATCGGGAGCAGAGGAAAGAGCATTCTGATAGCTTAATTGCTGTTCTTAATAAGCTTGCAGATGCTTTTATGAGAATCGCTGAGAAATTGTAGCAGACGAGCAACAACAAATCAGTGTACATAGAGAAGTCATCTTCAAGACCCATAGATGTTAGCAGAGGCTGAGAATTGGTGGATTAAATTTGATCATTCATATCGTGGGATGACAGAATTCAGTAGGGCATTTACAAATCACACCTGTTATTCCACTTTTTTTTTAATTTAATTTTCTTCTACTTGTCTTTTTGGTGTATGCCACCCTTGTGGCATATTGCCCCATTATATTTGTAGAGTCTATACACAGATAAGGTTTAGAAATTTCAAAGAGTTAGCGCATTTCTGCTGCTTTTCTTTCATATATGCCCATTTCACATGGAATTTTTATGTTAGAATGTCTTTGTGACTGTACAGACTCTTGATATCAATAAGAAGCATACTTTGTTATTTGGGACCTCTACTTGTCTTTGTCATTAAAACATTGCATTCCAATACATCACGTATAATTACGGTATAATTTTTTTTAAGGCCTTGGGATACAAATTACAATCCATTGAAGAGGAGGGATTCGATTTATTTACCGCTATGCACTAAATATTGCATTTCAAATATGTTATAAGGAAATTTATACACACCAATTCAGCGAGATTGATATTTGAAAAGAAAAGCTTATCAAATGAAGCATTCTTACACACTTTCATACACTATCGTTGGATAACCCATAATTTCACAAAGGTTAAGTCCTGAGGGTACTTGATTATGTGGTTTTAAGTATGAAGAAACATTGTTCAGGAAACAAAGAAATTTCAACCCAGCAATGCAGACTATCTGAATCTTAGAAAACATCAAGAATCGGACTCATCCGACATTGATTTTGTTCGATACTTCCGACCAGGTGTTTCTAAACAACCACTAAAATCTGCTGGGTTTGGTGCTGACCCTTCTTCCTCCACTGCACTATCTTCACTTTGGACTTCAACAGCTGCAATGCCAACAGGGAAGCTTGCTCGGTTTAAGGACTGCTTCCTGTCATCTTCATTGTCTTGCTTCATATTGTTGATATCGTTTACTGCATTACCATCTCCTGTCTTTTTCTTTGAAACAAAGGTCACAGACTTGGGCAGTTGAGCTGAAGCATCCTCCATCTCTGATCTTGAATCTGTATTTGAACTCTTAGGCTGACTAAGGTAGTCCATACAAGCTCGGGTGTTGCCATCTTCATCAACTTCAGTTGTTGTATCAAAGCTATACCGTGTATACTTGGACGGATTCACTAAATAATCAGGAACCCCAGAAGCATTTGGAGCCAACCCAGAACCATTATCTGAATCCATTCCATTTACATCAGAAGAGCCCATATCAAAGTCTTCAAGTATTTCTGGTGACTCTTCAGAATCACAATGAGTTACACAACCAGGATTAAACCTGACACGTTTCTGCGCCTTCACAACCGAGGTATTGTCTTTCCTTTTCAATATAGACTTTGGCTGGCCACCATCTTCAGGGGATTTAACAAGCTGCTCCTTAACTTGTGAAGCAGAAGCCGCAGGAGAACTCAATTTTCGAGCTTCAGCATCATCCTCTTTCAGCCTAAGTCTTGCAGCCAGAAAATTGGCACGTGGATCTTTATTGCTACCATGAAGCACATTGTGAGAGTTTAAATAAGACCCATGATGAGTAACCTCGTTCATGAACAACCGGTCACCAAGACCTTCTGTGCCCGCAGCCACTTTGTCATATTCATCTTCCTCATCCTGCAACCAGTTGGAAACAATTTAGAGGACCATAATAATAGTTTAAAGAGAGAGAATATTAATTGGATAGTTCCTTGAATCAAGTAGCAAAAAAAGTACAAGAATTCCAACAAATTCTTCTGATTGGGACCAAGTTCTAGTGTTCTTGACCAAAATACACGAAACCCATTACAGGATAAAGCGCTAAATTCTTAGAATTGAATTAGGCTATCAATTTCCATAAATAATGTATGCGTGAGTGTGACAATTACTTCTTCTTCTAGCTCAATTTTTCTAATGAATTATCAAATATCTTTTTAAAAAATAAAAAATTTACCTCGTAATCCAGAGTGGGATCCAAGCCTATCGACGCTCTGATTCCCCATTCGTCTTCCAAAAACGACGATGAACATGGCGTTTGGTCCCTGTCAGATGAGTCGGCGTCCGTACCGCGCCTCCATTCTCTGCGCTCGACCTCGTCGCCGGTGACGGACCAGGGAGAGGATTGCACTTGCAGAGAAGAAGTGGTCGAGGTCGACGAAGGGAGCGATCCGAAAACCTTCTCTGCCCGGACTCTGAAGCTGTCGTCCATCGATTTTGAGGATTTGTTCTGTATCTGTGTAAGAATTTCACCACTTTGAGGCTTTTATGCAACCATAACCCGTTATCATATAGGAAACGGAGGAGGCAAAAAGCACCGCCTCCAGAATTTTTTAATTCTTGTTACTTTTCTCCTGGTCTTTCCTGGTTTGGGCCAGATAAGATATATGAGATTGGCTCCTTGGAGACCTTGTTCATCTAATGGGCCCAAAGGTTTAACTTGATCCTCAAAACTAGGCCCACTCATGATAGTACTTAATTGGATTGATGTTATCCTCAAAACTAGGCCCACTCACTGATTTCATTGGTTTGGACTTTAATTAACCTTTCTAAATGTTTTGGTTCTTACAAAGAGTGGAAGTGATAGTTGACATTTTACATGCATTAATATTGCAGGGTGAAGAAATTATACCAGTGGTTCCATGGGATGAGTGGTGGGAACTGGCACTCAAGGATAGTTCTAACTAATCCACAAATAGCCTTGCGTCCCTTGCATCCAGAGTTGCGTGCGAATTTCAATTCTATGGAAGCATGGGAATATGCTCAGAGTATGTCAGGGAGCTGGATTGACACCATGGCTGACAACTATCCTCCTCGTCTTGATACTCACTTGGTATGCCTTTGCTGCTTGAAACTTTTACGTGGCCTAGTACAATAAGCATTATAGAGATGAGGTAGAGTGTCGTTGTGTAGGTTGTTAGTTTGTCGACATCGATATTTTCCGATATTATCGTCGATATTTATACGATATGTACATGGATATGTTCCGAAATATCCGTTATTCGAAAAAACCGAAATATCCTCGATATTTCATCGATATCATCGATATTTCAAACTATGGTTATGGCCACTTTGAGAAATAGCTTTTTATGAAGATTGTTTTTAAAATAAGCTAGTTTTTTTTAGTTTACCAACACTTTTAGTTGTAAAAATTTTATTTTAAGCTGCTTTTTTTTTAACACTACACTCCCAAACGCCACCATAGTCCAATGAGACAAGCAACAAAAGTAAAGACATGCGACAGTTATGCTCTTAATTAGCTAAAAAGTACTCCAATGTGAAGGGGTAGTAGAAATTGAAATATTTTTGCTCACAACTTTAACCCAAAATGTATACTTATTATCCTTCTTAATATTAGACACGTGTCCATATACATAACCATAGTTAACTTTTTATTTTGATTTATGTAACCATAGTTATGCTTATGGACACGTGTCAAATGTTGAGAATGGTGGTGAGCATACGTCTTGAGTTAAAGTGGTGAGCAAAAATGCAGTTAATCAAATGTGATTTAAATGGTTGGAGATTCTACCTACCTATGCATAAGATGATACTATACCTTACTAGACTCACTAACCCTTAGGGTTTAAGGAGGGTAGGGGTTTGGGGTTGAAACCTAAACAGTAGTCACTAAACCTTAATTCTGTCATGAAATATATAAAAGCCAAGCATTCTCACACAAATGTACAGGCATCCATCCACACACAAATGCAATCAGATTATAATATTTGAAAAGAAAACTTCCACAGGATCAATCAAGCAAGCATTCTCAACAACTATTGTCTTGTCTGATAACCCATACATAATTCCACAAATAAAGCTTTAGGGAAGGGAACATATAGTCAAGTCTTAAGTGGCACAATACACAAAAACAGGGTTCACAAAAGCAGGGTTTAGGCGCAACACTAATGAAAACATTGATTTAGTTAATTATGATGACAGCACATGATATATGTTTTGAAATTTCTAACCAACAAGGAAGCTTGTTTGGTTAACCAAAACATTGAGAGTTTAATTTCCAAAATCATGTTAAAAGCTCTGTATATATACAATCCTTCCTTGGGCAACCCAACTCCAAGAAAAAGAAAAACACAAAACAGCTAAAGAAACTCCAAAACAAATAATCTGAGGGTTGCCACTGTCAATGCCCTTGGTCTTTGCTTGCAGATATTGCATCCCACTGCCAGCACCTGATTAGAGCAAGGGATGGACATTGCCTCTTGCAAAAACCATAATAAGTAACGGTATTAAAGCCACCAACCAGTTCAAATGGGTGTCAACGTCCCCGGCCTTCACTTGCATCTGCAGGAGCTTCTTCACCAACTTTCTAGCTAGCAGCTGATCGCCTCGAACTTGTCCGATTCCGGCTTCTGTAGGGAACCGGAGGAGAAGGTGGTAAGTAGACGATACTCCCCGCAGTGCGCTTAACCCCGGTATGCCAAAAATGGCGTCGTATGCTGCAAAGGAGTAGCCCGCATGCACCCAGAAGTCCACCATGACCGTGCTCGATCTCGGCTCGTCCCCAATCGTCACCGGGAGAGCTATTATCCCCAAAAACGACTTAGGGTCTACATAATCACGGGGAATCTCCACCTTCTCCACGTCTCTCTCTGTAAACCCTAATCGCTTTAAAGCGTGGAAGAAAAGAACGTTGGCTGAAGCGCCGTTGGCCACGAGAATCTTATCCAGTCTTGTAGAGTTTGCGACGGTCATGGAGACCACAAGGCGGTCGTTGTGAGGGACTTCAATTCCCCTGAGGTCTTCGTCCGTGAAGGTGATTGTGTTGCTCTGTGGGCCATCGTTGTCGCTTTGTTTTCCATGGAGCACCGGCAGCTTGCATAAAAATAATGAGAGGGTGAGTAGGAAAAGAAGTGTTTTGGCCTTCCTTTTCATGGCTGCTGACGAATTCAAAATGTGCGGCCAGGACCACTGGCCCCTTTGAGTGTTCTTTATAAAGGACTCACAAAGCAAAGCCCTAAAATTTGGCACGAGCGAACCGTGTGGGTCGACCGTCGAACGAACGAAGCCCAGCTGCACGTCCCGTACAGGGCGTTTTGAAGTTTGATCGTGCAAACTACAGGAGGATAAAGCAAAGAACCGCGCCTAATTAATTGGAATATTTGAGTTTTATATCTTTTTCCTGCGCAGTTTTTTGGTAATTTTGAAATTTGGGCTTTTGATTGAGAGTGGATCTAAATTCTAAAAAGAGTCTATTTAACTAGTTCCTTCGATGTAGTCCACAAACAACAGACTTAATGGGCCCAAATATTTCATTTTTCTTCCCCGATAGTGCTAACAAAAATTGGAGTCTAAGTGAATGTATAAGGACACTTTTTTTTTCTTCTTACAGGAAAATCAAAATTTATTAAAAGGAAGTAATGGAGGTCCAAATATATTAGTAAATCAATTTTGGTAATTTATTTTCGTGGATGACATATACTTAGAAACTTTGTGTATTACATATGTCCACCATTATAATTTACAGAGTTTCACTATTATACTCAAAATATAGGCTGAAATTATAAAAAAATCTCATATATAATGCACTTTAGAAACACACTCAAAACTCATTTCTTACATCAGAAATGGGTGTTGAAGTTTTTATAAATTACATGATTACAAGCCCTGCCCAAATTTATAAAAATAAAAAAACCAAACAATTTATTTTTAAAAAAATAATGAAAACCAAATGGGGGCTCTTCATAGAAGTACATTGTTAATACTATGTCATAGAACTATCTTGTTAATACTACTATGTCATATAACTATCTTGTTAATACTACTATGTCATAGAAGTACATTGTTAATACTCTGTCATAGAACTATCTTGTTAATACTCTGTCACATAAGTGCATTGTTAAACCAAAATGAGATCCATAACTGAAATAGTACCAAAAGATAAATCGATCATCAAAGCTTAAAATACATTCCTCAAATCAACTAGAATATGAAGAGAAACATATAATTGGAGCAAAAGATCAAAAATCTCAAGTCCAAACTAAACGACGACAACAACGACGCGGTGAAATCCTCATCTTCCTCCACAACTGAAGACGACAAGTCGCTGTTAAAAAAACAAAAATCTCACTTACTCGCAATGAACCAAAAATCCGAACAATCTAAGTATAAGAAAGATTTCATAACAAGAAGTCGAAGCAAAAAATTTGAAAATCAAAGCTCGAAGATGAGGAGTAGAGCTAGGAGCATCTGATTGAGGTTTGTTCGAGGTTCCGAACAATCCGAAAAAAAATATGAATAGAAGCACGATTTTAGAACAAGAAATCAAATGTGAAATATTGAAAATTGTATATTAGAGATGAAGAATGTAGTTGGACCTGAGATTGAGCTTCAATGGAAGCTCATCTTGCTCCAACACCGAGAAAGCACTAGTGAGAAAGGAGAAAATGAATATGCTTTGGTTTTTTGGAAATTTAATATTAATATCAAAATGAACAATTGGCAAATCTGATTTTTCTCTCTCAAATCCATAGTACAAGGGCAATATATGTATTTTACACATACAAATAAACTGAAAAAGAGGTTTTTTATGGGTGTGTTTATAGTTTTTAAATGGTATAGGGTTTCTGTACAAGACTATGTCAAAGATTGGGTATATAACTAAATTTGTATATAATTTATAAGTGACGTGACTGATACCAACCGTATATAATTTATTTAATATGTGATCGAAGAGATACAAACATAATTGTATAAGATTGAGTTCAACGAGAGAAAAGACTATTGAGTGGGATTCATGCATGGGCGGATGTAGGTGTGGACTAGAATTGGCTCCAGTCTAGTGCTGAATTTTTAGATTATACAACTTAGGCTAAGCTGTCTAAGCCTAAAGTAGGTAAATCCAAAATTAGCCTACCCCTGTATATAGAAATAAGTCCACCTCTGTATAAATCCCAACCGTTGGATTGACTAGAATCCATATGATGCAACTTTGGAGCCTGTGTGATGCATTCTTATAATAAAAATAAATACTTTTTTATTATATAATAAATGTAAATATAATATATTGTTTATTATAAAGATAAATGATAATTTCCTCTTTGTTTTGCTCCATTTTGTCTGATGCAACTCATTGTTTTCCTTTAAATTGCTTTTTTTAATTTATGAAAAATATAAGCATGAGGTTCTGGTTTTTTTTTTCTATGAACCTTTTCTCTATAATTCTTTTTCTTTTTGCTACAATCTTTCTTCACCTCAATCCATATTGTTATGATGGTATTATAACCAATCTCAATACTTTTATAATTTCTCATATATTTCTTTACTAAATTTTTGAACATATCAATTTTGCTGAGATTCTTATGTGTTCTTTTCTGAATTTCTGGTTCTTTCAAGTTACTTTTGATTCCTAAAGCTTGGCTTATGTAATGATGTTATGATGGTTAACCATAATTATATGGTAAATAAAAACATAACCACCGATTAATAGATAACCAAAAAAAAAAAAAAAAAAAAAAAAAAAAAAAAAAAAAAGGTACCACTCCTATTAAAATTTGGGAGATTCACTATTATACCCAATATAGAGGCCCAAATTATAAAAATACCCCATATGAAATGGACTTTAGAAACACACCCAAAGCCCATTTACAACATAACAAAAAAGCTTTTAACTTCTTATAAATTACAAAACTGCCATCAATTTCTTAAAACAAGCTCAACCCCAAAATCTCATAAAAATACCCAAAACACTCAATAGGACATCAAAGTAATTTAATAATCAATATTAAATTTAATAGGCCAGCTGTCATTTTTGGGGTTTTTTTTGGGTATGTTTATAGAAATTCAATTGTGTAGGGTTTATTTATAATATTAGTGCTAAGAATGGGTATATCACTAAATATCTCTTAAAATTTCTGACTACGCCATTGGATTCATGTAAAGCCAAGAGCATGTTGCCACAACGCATATAGATGATTCACCATACAAAGGGCCAATTTAGGTGCAATGGACATATTATATATTCTTCAAATCCAAATATATCAGACTCAGTTCCTTCGGACATATTATCGCTGCTATATAGTGGTCTTAAATGAAACTATAAATGACAATTGGGTTGCTGGATTTTCAGCTAAATTATATGGTATGCATATTGGTCAAGTTCTATGTGCTGAGTTGTGGGCACTATTGTATTGTTTAAAAAGTTAGCCTTGAGCCTTAACATTGATAGTATAATTTCCAAGATCATGTTATAATTAAGTTCTATTGTATACGATTGTTGGGCACACCAACTCAAAGAACCTTGAGATGGTTTTGAAAAACGAAATACAAATCAAATAGACTAAATTGTAGCAATGATCCTAAACTATACCCCTAGTTACATTTTCGTCCCTAAACTCCAAAAATAGTTGTTGTCGTCCCCGAATTAACAGTTAAAATGCAATTAACCCATTAGCTAAAAGCACTTCAATGAGAAAGGGCAGTAGAAATGCTAGCTTCATGATCATGAAGATGAAGCCTTAATTTGTCTCTTCTTGGACATTGAGAGTGAAATAAACAGATACCAAATCAAGTAGCTGATCATCTATAGCCTTAATGTGATTTGACAGCAAAAGAAAATTTTGACCCTCCAGTATCATTTATTTTAAATAACAGTTGGATTATTGTTGTTTAGGTAAAAAGATACATCGATATTTCTTCAGCTTCAACTGTTATTGGATTTTCCAATGAAGACTTGTTGCACGTAGCAAGCATGTATGCAAAAGCAGAGGAAAAATGGTCACATACTACACAGAAGTTGCTGCTACATAAAAAGGAAAGCCACAATGAGTTATTGCCTGCTCTAAGGAGGCAAATTGATTTGTATTCTGAATTCCTAGCAAGTGTTGCTGAACTTGCCCGCTCCAAATGGACTGAGTTTAATTTAAAGATGATGGGTACTGGACTTGGAATTATGTTGATATCACTTCTTATCCACTTCCTTGCAATTAAGAAAGTGAAGGAGCAATATGGTTTTTCTTTTACTTCATCTGGAGATTCTGGGATTTCCTTCGGGTTGATTTTTTCTTGTTTTATGGTGGTCATACGTGCATGCAGCTTCCTCGAATAGTTTCATCATTAAGTAATAGGTACTGTTCATTTCTGTATGATGCACACAATCCATGGTTAATGCTCACATTGGGAAATTAACTTTTTCTTCTTTTCTTCTTTTTTCTTTGATGGGAACTTTGAGAGCAGTGGAAGGAGGAAAAGTGGCATGCTTTGTTTTGGCTACATCTGCACTAGTTAAGATGCGATATTCAATCATGAAGAAGAAGATGATATTAGAAGTAAGTTGTTTATTTACCTCAGTTTTCTATAATTGTTCCCCCACCGAGACCCTTTCATCGAATATTGCAAACATATTGTTTTATATGAAGAAATATGTGATGGTGTAACTGACAGAAAAATAGAGATATGGTTTCTTGTAATGATCATTTTTCACTGATATAATTGCAGGCATTTGTTTTCCTTCTTCTGATCACCATTTGCAGATTTACTATTGAAGTTGGATTGTCGAAGCAGGCTCCTAGTTCTGAATTTGTGAATGCATATCCTTCATGGATGCTCGGGATTGCTGCAGGGTTTCCAATTTGGAATTTTGTTGCTGAAGCTTTACTGGTAGTTGCCCTGCTTTTATTGGCATTCTTGCTGCGTGAGGCCATTACTGGAAGCTCTTCAAAGGGTATTTGGAAGTATATTATCATGGGAACTAATTTAAGTTATATACCAATAGCAGTGCATTGGGCTTCAGAAAGTGACAGATTGAATCTGGCTTGGGTGCTTAAAGGCACTGGAAGAAGTTATATTCCTAGACTAATATATGCCATTGGATTTGGACAATTGTTATTATTGACATTTAATCAGCTGTTCAGTAAAAGGAAATCCTCAGATCACAGCAATCTCTTGTATATTAAAACAGTCGCCATGTTTTCTGCATGGAGCTCAACAATCATTATTCTGTTGGGAAGACAGGGCCCCTGGGTTGTTTTAGCATTCATAATTGGAGGTGCGTGTATTTACATTTTTGGTGCTTTAGTTTTCTAATGAATGGAATCTTTTTGGCCAATAAACTCTCTTTCTGCATGAATGCAAGACTTTTGCATTCACCTTTCTGCATGACTTGTTTTATTTATTTATTTAAATTTTGATATTTGTTCAGTCATAGAAGTTGTTTCATTGGATTACACGTTAGGTTTTTAAAAATAACTTTTGCTCTTTTTCTGAAACTTTTGGTATATGTAAGAAGTCTGTTCCACCTTTTGACAGGCCAATGCATAATGAGGCTGGATAACATAGAACTGGATGTCAAAGATGGAGGCAGTTGGAATAGGATGCTTGATCCTGTTCCTGTAACACAGTGGAGCCTTTTTGCTGTGTGCCTGTTTTTCTGCACTGGTCATTGGTTTGTTGTTTGTTTCCCACTTTGACGCTTTCATGTTTTCTGATTTCTCTTTTCAGCGCATTTTGTGTTAGGTTCTGTAATCCCTTCGGTTTTGTTCCTACAAAAAGTAGTAGTTTCATTTGTATCTAGAGTTGAACCTTTCTGTAATAAATTTGTTTCTCTGTGGACTTTGTTTTCTCATCTTTTGCGCTCTTATGTTTCATGACCCAAAAACAAACTTTTCTTCAGGTGTGCTTTTGATGGCCTCCGATATGGTGCTGCATTTATTGGGTGAGTCATGGGTATCCGCTTTCATGTATATAGTTATTAACTTTTTGTAACATCCAAGGGACTGAGGAAGTTGAACATGTGCCGTTAGAGATTTCAGCACTCACATAGACCTATTATCTTTTGTAAGCTCAAGATTCAGTAGTGATTGGCATCGTCTTCAAGAGATTTTGTCTACGATATTCATGTTATCAACTCCAAAATTTTGTCTACATTTGTTATTGAATATTGTAGCAAATTCATGTGAGGTAAATTAGAAATCTGCATCGAAAATTTTGCTGTAACTTCACAACCAAATGCTGGCATTATTAGAAAGGAATATTGTGTAATATTTACAACCAACTAGATTGAAGCTCTTGTATGTAGAGATTTAATAAACATCATACTGGTTCAGAAGGCCAAGCGCATTAAAAATTGACGAAAATACGAATGTGATAAGTACTGAATGTGAAATCAATGATGCAACTCAGTTTGTATAAACTTTGGAGGCAAAGAGATTTTGGAACTCAGACATGTGAAGGGCGAGGGGAGGTAGATTTGGACCTTTTTTGTTGGGTAGCTACGGTCTTCAAATGAGAAAGCCACCAAAGCATCTGATGCCCTGAAGGCCGTTCATGAGCAGCCAGAATCTCACACCCCCAAAAGCAACAAAAAAGGAAAAAGGGCATCTAAACAAAGATTCACTGTGGTCACCTTTGGGGACTTCTCTCCAACTAATTATCTTTGGTTCTACCTTTCATATTGCTCAGTAATTTGTCGTCTAATGTTGCCCCTTGTAGTTGCACATCACATGTTTGAAAACGACATTTGTATATTTTTTAATTTCTGTATAGTAGAACGTATGATTGGTGTATAAATTAAGGTAGAGCCGTTCGCTGTCGAAGCTACCTTGATTGAGATCGGTGTTGGATCACGGCCGGTCCGTCGGCTTATGCTGGTTTGGTCTTGCAAATTGTGTGACACTGTTTTTGGATGCTACCACTAATTAGATTGCATTGGCATTGGGATGATGGCGTAATATTTTATGCTCTTAACAAAACATTAATTCCTTGCCTATTATTATATGAAGTACAATGCTGCTCACTCTGTTATATATATGTATATATCTAACTGGAACCTCCTTCACCATTTACACCAGGAGCCCTGTCTCTCTATCTCCTCACGCACTCTTCTTCTCCCAGAAGTCTCTACCATCCTTGGCCATGGTAATTACAATTTTAAACAAAAGCAAAAGAAGTAAAGTAACATGCATGGTTCATGCTTAGAACTACAACATATTTTATGTGGTTTTCTCATATTAGTTAGTTCCAATTTGCAGGGGTTGGACAGTGAAGTTGGCACTAAATACTTAGCCTATGAACCTATGAAGAAACTAAAACATGGTGGATTTAAGGCCAACTGTTTTATCTTTGGTAAGTGATGGATCGATTAATATACGATATGGAAACTGGAGGAAATTAATATTTACCCTTCTTTTAATATATAATATTTTCAACGAACCCTTCTTTTAATATATAATATAATTAATATAATATTAATATATAATTATAATATATATTAAAAAATAAATTTATTTTTATTGGAATTATAATCGCTTTTAATCACTTTCGATTATTTAAATTAATTGAAATCAACACAAATAGATAAAGCAAAGAAATAGAATTGGGACATTATATACATTATCACTATGTATATTCTATATATATATATGTAATTATTCTTATGAAACATAAAGAAAAAGGAAGAACATCATAATATTTTAGAAGCTAAAATAGTCCATTAAATGGCGGCACAACCCAAATCGCTCTCTGCGAATTGGAGTGTAGAGAGTAATGTTGTGTGATGGTTCCGTCCTCCAAGTTGAAGATACCCATATCATATGGTTCATCACCCTCTAAGGATGGATAGTTTGATATGTAATCATCGCTGTAATATATGGAATTTGGTTGGCATCCAAGAAGGTTTGAAGCCAAATAGAGATTGAATGATTGTCGCCCACGAACAGAGCCTCATCTCCAATGCTTTTCACCTCAACATTGTGCCCAATAGATCCTTCATCTTCATTGTCAAACACCCACTTGTAAATCATGAAGTGCGTAGTCCGCCGCCCAGCACCATAGTTGAACCTACCATCAATTAACGCATAAAATCTTAAGATATGCAACAAATCTCCCTTAATTGATTCCACAAGATATGCATGAAAACAATAAGGTTCAAATGGCCGAAAAGGTGTGCGTGGCTTCAGTTGTGGCGGCTGTGAAGGGTTACTATCACTGCTAAAAACATCCAATGACTCAATGTCTCCCATGGCTTCAAGTGCGTACACTTTGCTTTTATAGAATATAACATCACCAAAGTTACCATTTGGGCTGGGGTAAGTCCAAGTGTTTTGACCTGCCTTGATGAAAGCCAACATAGGCCAGCGACCGCAAAGTGCTACAACCACATAATTCTCTGGATTCATAGTGGGGTCAACGGACAAGATAACCTTACGAACGTAATGCTCATGGTAAGAGGTTTCGTACTTTGCGATAAGGATATCCAAGGGAGGGAGAAAGATGGGCTTTGCTTTTGTGAAAGGGTTCCTGAGTACTACCACCGGACATCCTTGCTCTGTTGTATCAACTGTGGCCAACCAGCCATGGCTAGAGCCACAACACCTCCTGCTAAAAGGTACTTGCAGCCGAATATTGCTATAAACTCTTCCTTCAGAAATGCTGTACACTACTCTTCGGTGGTCATCGTCCTGGTTTGGGATCAAGAGCATGGGGGCAAGTTGTTTATTGCGCCACCGTTGCGTTGCTTGATTATAGAGTTTGGACATAGAACGCCATTGCTTGCAAACAGCAGCAAAACGAACATGGTCAATGGGTTCTAATAAATTATCCAGAATCAAAAAGACGAGCACGGGAAGACTTGCCCATCCCCCACAGCTGAAGCTAACTGGGGTCCTACAACAGGGGTTCTTATTAGAGTTAAAACCGGACATTATACTGAATTCTTACGAAATTATACTTTGAAACAGAAACAAAAGGGAGAATAGAAGAACAAGCGAAGAAACTACAGGTATAATTGTACGCATGTGATGTTAAGTGGCCTCTTTATACTAACAATAGAAAACAAATTGGTTAAGAATAGGGAAACTGTTTTCCCCACTGCAACAAGAAAAATAAGAATAAGTAATAAATACTCCCTTTTTTAAATAGGAAACTACACAAATTACTTATTTTTATTTTTATTTTTAAATAAGAAAATACTCTTTTCCCAGCATTAACAGAGAAAAGAAAAGGGGAAAGTTGAAACTTACCTCAATGATATCAACGACCTTTCTGGAACTCTTGAGAGGCTGCAACGCCGTAATGGGGTGGCGGATCTTGTTGCTCCTCTAGACTGATTTGATCCATACCCAACCTCCGTCATTTCAATGTCCTTGTCCTATGAAAACCACGGACAAACTGAATTATTTGAATCAAGCTTCCATTGGAACTGAAGTTCCAGAACAGGCGTCCGCCGGTGCCGGCAGGTAAGCGACCAGAGATGAGGAGGCTGCAGAGGCGAGAAGAAGAAATTTTGGAGAAATGAGAATCTAGGGTATAGATTTTCATATGTAGGCGTGTAAAAATGGTACAAGCCTGGTGACTATTCTGAATCCGACTATACTTTTCACATTATGGGCTGGTCCGGCCCATCACTATTCATGGGCGGGTTAATGTGACAATATGAGGAATAGTGGTGTCAAATGAATCGAGTCGGTCCCGAACACAGTACGATAAGGCCCAATATTTTTACCCATTTAAATTTTAAGTTAACTGGAAATACTTTTTTTTGTCAGAAAGTGGAAGTACTTTCAGGAGGCTCAATTTGACAGTTGCTATTTCCAATTTGCCAGAGCAACAAGTAGTGATTATTATTAGCGTGAGGTAACTTTTCAGTTTTGATTGGTGGCCTGTCCTTCCAAGTACATAAGAATGATGAGTATAGCTGTTGAAATAAAAAAAATTCATTGACAGCAAATTAAATATTGGCCCGAGTTTAAAGAACAGGTGGCAAAACGTGCTGCAAATGGAGAAAATCAATAACTTTGTTTTAGTCTCACCTATTGGCATAAACAGAAGAAAATATATTAAAGGAGATGTTGACGCAGAAAAAATGGTTCGGCACTTTCCCGCGCAACTTAGTGATTTAAGTCTCTTCGGTATCTGATGTCCTCGGTAGGGTGTGCGATCTGTAAGATAGCAAACACACGGTAAGTCCTAGGGCACCGGTGTGGTACCGGCCGAAGGCTCTCCGATGCTTAAATAAGTACGGATTTAGTAAGTTTGAACTGCAGATCAATAGGCAGTATGCCGTAAGTTCTGATTGATTACCTTCAAGCTGGGACGGACGTCCTCTTTTATAGGCCTTGGGAGGTGTGCAATTTGTTTAGAGTTTCGATGTGGGACTCTGGGTATCAGTTGTGAGACCGCCACGCGTCCTAGGAGGCGAGGTTTCCCTAATGTTGCGATCGGTAGGTTCGGTGCCGAAGGTGAGTGCCGAAGGCACTAGTAGCCCTGGTTTGGTCCACGTGTTTGATATTCATTGGCTGTTCATTTTGGTATAAACAGGAGTCCCCCAAGTCCCCTTACGAGAGTCTTCGGAAGGGGATTTGAAGCCATCCTCGGGAGGAATCACGGCCTTACCGTTCGATAACCCCACCTGGGGAAGGGGCCAAACTTTGTCCCTTCCGGCACTACCAGCTCAGAGGCTGACGTTGGTGAAGTCAGAAGGTCGCGTCGAGCTGACGGGTGAAGGGACGTCTGAGCGCTTCGACTTCGGCGCCTCGCGTGCCGTCAGTTCTCCTTAGGTGAGCGACACGTGGCGAAAGTGATGATGGCGCGCGGCGCATTAATGCGCCGTTTGGTTTTTCGAGGAGTACCGTTGCCAACCACTCCCCCTATAAATAGAGATGACCCCGGAGGCGAACTCACTTTGCATCTAGTGAGAAGTGAGAGCTCTGTTTTGAGGCGATTTTCCGACGAGGGCTTTCGGTAATCAGGCGATTCCGGCGAGTGTTAACGGTAACAGGCGATCTCCGGCGTTTCGAACGGTAGGAAAGGCGATTTCCCGGTATTGCGAACGGTAGTGAAGCATCCTGAAGAGCAGATCGCGCTTATCATCCAGGGCACACCTTAAGGTACCGTTCGGCACCCTTTTCTTTAATCTGTTGCATGCTTTAAGGGTTTACGTCCTTCCTTGGTTCGAACTAGACTGACCATAGGGTCCCATTCGGTAGTCTAGTCGCCATAGGTAGCGATGTAGGGATCGGTAGGATAGCGTCCGGCATGAGCCTTAGTTTCCCTTTTTTCCTGTTTTTATAGATGTCTGATAGCGAGTCATTCTCCGAGCGCGAGCCCAATGCGTTCGACGAGGAGTCATCGGATGGTCTCTTTGACTCCGACGGCGAAGCGGCAGGGCCTGATGCCGAGGATGGGAGTGATACCGACGTCGAGATACTCGGCGAAGGGCCCAGCTCTATTCCAACGCACGGAGTCGGAAAGGGGCTAATGACCGCCCCCATCCCGTTGTCCATCGTCTACAGTGACGGCCGCCACGTGGGCCTCGGTATGCTTGGGGAGGCGAGCGGTAGTCGTCAGTCGGAGACCTCCACTTCCGGCCGTGGAGAGTCGGTAGCCAATCCGCCGTCTGGGCCCAGGGTATCGGTAGTGTACCCAAGCAACCCTAGGATGCCTATGGGGGTGCCGAAGGAAAATCTATTCGGCGTAGACTATCTTGGGCCGAACAAGATTACCGATAGGGAGATTGCCAAATTACGAGCAGAATACCGCATTCCCGACTCGGTACGGATGAGGATCCCGGGCCCTACCGAATCCCTTAGTGCGCCGAAGGACGGCGAGGTAGTTTTCTTTACCGACGTCCTTGTGCAAGGCGTTTCGGTTGCCGTTACAAGCCGGCGGTACAGAGGATTCTAGCCCAGATCGGCTACGCCCCGGGGCAATTCAACCCCAACTTCTGGGTGGCCCTTATGGGAGTGATAACGGCCTTCGGCATGGCTGGCGAAGGGAGCCCCTCCTACAAGCAGTTCTCCCATCTGTACAGCGTTACCAAGTCCAAGTGTGCCGATCACGGCGGGTGGGTGCAGGCGAACTGCCTCAGGGCTGCCGATCGAGGCCACTTTGTCAGCTGGGAACCGACTTCACAGAAGTCGTGGAGGAATCGGCGGGTGCTCCTCTCGGGCGACTGGGAGTCGCCTTCGGGACAGCCCTGTCCGATTTCGCATTCCCAACCCTTCCAAATGGCCGGTAGGACCACGTGCCGTTTCGGTACCTTCTCTGAGTTATCTGTTTACCCGTAAGTGACCCTTCCTTTCTCTTCTTCTTGTAGGTAAGCTGAAGCAGCCGATCGCAACGCAGGCCGAGATTCAGCAGTGGAGAGAGTGAGGAGGAAAGTCCCTGCCGAGGAGAGGGTGTATCCGCATTCCTCTTCACCACCAACCTGATCCGGGCCCAGCTGGTCGATCCTGCCGAGAGTAAGTATACTTCGTAATTTACCAATTGTTTCTTTTCTTCTGTTGCGGTTCTTACCGAACCCTTTTCTCACAGTGACGGAAGAGAGGAGAGCTGCCGAGGCTAAGAGGATGAACGAGTCCTCCAAGCGCCGTCTCATGATGGGCTTTCCAGGGGAAAAAGAAGAAAACCCAGCCGCAGGGCTCGGCATCGGTAGACCCCGAGGACCAGACGTTTGGCCGACCGCCCTCCGTGAGCTCAATGCCGATCGGCTCAAGCCGGAGCGGCAACGGGCCGCCCTTCTCCCCGCCGCGCGCCCCCACTCCCGAAGGAGCTTCCTCCCGAGCGGCCGGCAAACGGCCCTTCACCCGTCGATCTTAGATGCCGAACCGGCCCCAAAACGCGGACGGCAGCCTAGCCACGCGGGCTATCTTCGCTGCTGAAACAGACGAGGAGCCTGCCGATCCCGTCACCCTGGGCCTGTCCGCCGAAGACGGTCCAGTTTGCGAACCACATGATCATTGGTTTCGCAAATGGAGCTGAACGAGATCGAGGAGCTGCCGAAGAAGCTCCTTCGAGAGGAGGCGGGTCGCGCCTTCCGTCTTCAGGCATCGGTAAGTCCAGAACATTTTCAGGTCCAGATTACCGATCATTTTTACATCTTTGCTGACATGCCCTTTATTCTGCAGGCTTCGATGGATATGTGGCTTTGCATGAAGCGGGCCATCAACGCGGCTGAGAAGGCGAAGAAGGCCTATGACGACGGCAGGGCCAGGGTTGCCGAGGCTGGCAAGGCTATCCAGGACCATGCGAACCTGGCGAAGGATTTGCAAGCTGCCGAACGGCAGGTCAGGGTATATGAGTCCAAGTTCGCAGATCTGTCGTCTGCCCTGGAGTCGGCACAGCTGTCGGCCAAAAGAGGCTCTGGAGGCAAAGGAGGCCGTCGAGGTGGCTCTGGAGGAGTCGGAGCGGGCCAAAGCGTCGGGAAATTGAGGCTGCCGTCCAGGAGGCCATTCGGAAGTATCGCCACTCTACACCGATTTCTCTACCTTGCTCGATAGGAGGTGGGCTCGGAGATGGTGGATCTCATCTACCGATTCAAGCCGTACAATCCTGGGACGAAGCTCAACTTGAACTTCATTGCCGATCCTCCTCCCCTTCCCGAAGGCGTCACAGAAGAATGATCGAAGAGTACGAGGGAGAGACGCTCCGGAGGAACCCGAAGCTGCTGGTGCCGAAGGGGCGGATGCCGAGGGCCCTTCATCCTGATCCATCTTTACTCAATGCAATTTGATGCCGATGGCATTTTTGTAATTTCCGTTGTACTCTTATGCCGTTTGGCATCTTTTGTTTGGATAATTAATGTCGTGGGCATGTTTTTATTAAGTTATGTTCACTTTAATTTCTTGATCTTACTTCTGAATCGGTAGCGTTTTAGGAATTTTTTGTTTAATGCCGAAGGCTTTTAGACAAAGGTCATTGGCCGTTGGCCAGTGACGTTTCCTTTTCCAAGTGTTAGGGATTGAAACCAATGTCGTGCTTGCCGATTGTAAAGCAATGGCCCTATTACCGAAAGCCTATAATGCCCAATAAAGTTACCAAGTTGCCCCTTAATCGTAGGATAATGGCGATGCCAAAATGCGTAGTTTGCTGCGACCGATGGTCCCTACCGTACCCCTTTTTTTTTTTTTTTTTAAAACAAAAAATGGAGAGATTGAAAGGTATAACAAAGGTGCCGAATATATGAGCCGAAGGCCCTTTTATTGATAAACTGCCGAAGGCAGAGATTACAATTAGAGCGCGTTTTACAATTTAGAACCCGCCGTTGGCTAGGAACGCTATAATGCCGAAGGCTGTGCTTGTAGAGATGCCGGAGGCTCTTGTGACTCTTCCGTGACCCTGCCGTAGGCAAGGTGACTTTTGAAATAGTACTTCAAATGCTCTACGTTCCAAGGATGACCGAGGGTCTTTCCGTTGGAGTCTCTGAGTCGGTATAAGTCCCCGATCGCTGGATACCGATGATTCGTAGGGTCCCTCCCAGGAAGGTCCGAGGGTTCCTTCCGTGGGATTCTTGGTTGCCAAGAGACTTTCCGCATGACCCAATCTCCGATTCGGAAAGAGCGGGATCTGACCCTGGAGTCTAGTACCGAGAGACGCGTTGCTTGTAAGCTTCGTTCCGAAGGTTGGCTTGTGCTCGGTGCTCTTCGAGTAAGTCGAGGCTCAAAGCCAGTGCTTCCTCATTTGCCTTCGGTGCGAAGGTTTCCGTTCGGTAGGAGGGCTCTCCAATCTCCACTGGGACTACTGCCTCTGAACCCGAAAGCCATAGAGAATGGTGTTTCCCCACTTGCCGTTCGGTAGGTCCGGATGGCCCCATAGCGCTTCCTTTAAGTTTTTCGGCCAGGCCCTTTGCTGTCAGCTGCCGTTTCACAGCTTCTTGCAGCTATTTACAAAAAAAAAAAAAAAAAAAAAAAAAAAAAAAAAAAAAAAAAAAAAAAAAAAAAAAAAAAAAAAAAAAAAAAAAAAAAAAAAAAAAAAAAAAAAAAAAAAAAAAAAAAAAAAAAAAAAAAAAAAAAAAAAAAAAAAAAAAAAAAAAAAAAAAAAAAAAAAAAAAAAAAAAAAAAAAAAAAAAAAAAAAAAAAAAAAAAAAAAAAAAAAAAAAAAAAAAAAAAAAAAAAAAAAAAAAAAAAAAAAAAAAAAAAAAAAAAAAAAAAAAAAAAAAAAAAAAAAAAAAAAAAAAAAAAAAAAAAAAAAAAAAAAAAAAAAAAAAAAAAAAAAAAAAAAAAAAAAAAAAAAAAAAAAAAAAAAAAAAAAAAAAAAAAAAAAAAAAAAAAAAAAAAAATAAATTTACCCCCGTCAACATTCACACAACGTGCGATATTAGAAGCATACCCATCGGGAAACTTTACTGACGATACAAACTTTAGAAACTCTTTCTTGTCATTCGGTTTCATAGAAAAGAATGCAAGATCCCTTCTAGCTTTATCATTGTCCCTATTCATCCATAAACCCCTTCGTATGCCCATTCTTTCCAAATCAAGACGAGCTTTGATCGTGTCCTTTGTCTTCCCCTCGATATCTAGAATCGTGCCCACCAATGTGTCGAATACATTTTTCTCAACATGCATCACATCTAGATTGTGCCTCAATTTTAGTTTCGACCAATATGGGAGCTCAAAAAACATAGGTTTGTGCGTCCAGTTCATATGTGTAGAAGGTCTGATACGACTAACTGTTTTCCCGAAGGGAGCAAAATCCAACCGGTTCAGCTGGTCCAATATCTCATCACCGGACCATTCTCTGGGTCTAAGGCGACGCTCAGTGTTCCCGTCGAACTCTTTATCTTTTTCCCTCCACTCATGGTCCCATGGCAACCATCTCCGATGACCAAGGTAACAAACTTTTCCAGCATGCCAACCAGAAGTTACATCTTCCTTGCATACAGGACATGCCATATAACCTTTTTGTGCTCCACCCAGAAACCATTGCATATGCTGGGAAATCATTCACAGTCCACATAACTGCTGCCCGCAAAGTGAACATCTTCCCAGTTGATTTATCGTACGTGCGAACACCGTTTGTCCACAATCCTTTAGCTCATCAACCAGCGGCCTTAAGTAAACATCGATTGACCTCCCAGGATCCTCAGTTATCAAAACAGTCATCATCATGTATTCTTTTTTCATGCATTTCCAAGGCGGCAAATTATATGGGAATACGAAAATCGGCCAAGTGCTGTGGTGTTGGTTTAGAACCCCATACGGATTGAATCCGTCAGTGGCAAGTCCCAATCTAACATTTCGGGGATCAGCAGCAAACTCTGGGAACGTTCGATCGAATCTTTCCATGCCTCCCCATCTGCAGGATGCCGCATCACATCATCGTCTACCCGTTTTTCCTGATGCCATCTCATGTCTGTGGCAGTATGCGTCGACATATACAATCGCTGCAACCTAGGTTTCAGGGGCAAATAACGCATGACTTTTTGTGGGATCTTAGTCGTCCTATTCTGAGATGTCATCTTGAACCTCGACTCATTTCATATAGGACATGTATCCAACGATTCATGCTCTTTGTAGAATAACATGCAATTGTTTTTGCAAGCATGGATTTTTTCATAACCCAATCCAAGACCATTCAACACCTTCTGCGCCTGTTTATGGTCTTTCGGCAAACAATTGTCCGTCGGAAGCATTCTCTTGAAAACCCCCAAAAAGTAATCGAAACACAGGTTCGACATACGATACTTTATTTTTCCGTGCATTAGCTCCACAATGGCCGTGAGAACGGAAAAGCTCTCGCACCCCGGGTATAACTCTTGGTTGGCATTTTTTAACAATTTCTCATATTGTTCAAACTCCGCACTGTCTATTGGTGTAGGCACATCATCTTGCTCTTCTTGATTCATGTTGGTCGATGCAAATGGAAAAAACATCCTGTATAATATCCATGACTTCATCATTAGCATCCACAATAGGTTGAACATTGTCCACTCTTGTGGCATTTGAAGACGAAGCATGCTCTAATTGTTCCCCGTGAAGGTTCCAAATGCTATATGTCTCAATCATTCCATTTCTTACTAAATGAAATCCAACATTTTCAATTGTCTCCCATAACGTGTTGTTGCACCTCCTACAAGGACAACGGATTCTAGTTGCACCCGGGTTGTGTCTACGTGCAAACTCAATAAAATCCTCGATTCCATCCAAGTATTCGTCTGCGCATCTGTTAGGGTTTTGTATCCACCTTCTGTCCATAATTCCTGAAACCAGAATCACAACACAACAATCACAACAACTTCATACGAAGTTATAATGTCACCTTATGCCTCCGGTAAGGGTCCTATCCCATTCGGGAATGCATACTCCTGCCACGTAACCTACGACTACATGAGATTAGATTTCGACGTGGATGAATTTCGCCAGCATCTCGCTACAGTTCTTGAGGTGGCCATAGGTATAAATACCTATGTACCACCCGAAGAACGTACCGAGATGACAACGAAATATCCACAATCGAAACCTAATCCTGTAGCCATAGATTACGTGACAACACTATGCATTACCAAACTGTCCAAATAATGGGACAATTCAAGAATTAATTGGACCGCAGTCATGCATTACGCATCCATGCACGAAATCCAACTAATCTCGAACGGGAAACTAAGTGTTACTAAACATAAAATAAAAGCACGAAGTTAATTTCAATTAACTTCGTACATCACAACAGATTGTACTACGTTACGCACAACATAATATAAATATAACTTCACAAGAACATTTTAAACATATATAAAACAAATAAAATACCTTCTCAATCGTTCTCCACCAATCGCTAATTACAAATATCCCTAACGAAAACAAATTAAAAAACCTTAGTACGAACTTAAATTAATACTTTTAAACTAATGACGAAAAATACTTACCCAATCAATGTATTGAAATCCCAGCAGCAGCAGAGAGGTTGAGAGAGAGGCAGAGGCAGAATGCTTTGTTTTTGCATTCTGCCTCTGCAATGGCAGAATTCTAATATGAAGAAGAAGGACTTTGCGCGACGAACATACTTATTCGTCGCGCAAACTCCCGTCGCAAAAAACCAAATTATTCGTCGCGCAAAACCCATTTTTTCGTCGCGCAAACACCTGCCGACATCTAAATTTTGCGCGACGCTGGTACTTTCCGTCGCGCAAACTTTCGTCGCGCAACATTGTCGCGCAAAAACAAAATTCCGTCGCGCAAAACAAGATATTCGTCGCGTAAACGTTGAACTTTACGCGACGAAATGTAAGTACGTCGCGCAAAAAAAAATCCCACCCAGGTCATTTTTGGCGCCAAAAAATAAAATATCTCTTGTTCTCTTACGCGACGAAACGTCTTTCCGTCGCGCTAAATCAGGGGACTGCCCTATTTGCGCGACGGATAATTTGTTCGTCGCACAATGTTGCCTTCAGCGACGATATTTCTCGTCGCGCAAATGTTTCGCGCTAAAAAAATTCCCCCCGCTTTTTTTAACTCAGTTTGCGCGACGAAAAATTGTTTTGTCGCGCATATACATTTTGCGCGACGAAAAAGTTTGGTGGCGCAAATTTTCAGTGGATTGCGCGACGAATATGTATTTTCGTCGCGCAATTATGGTTTGCGCGACGAGTTGATCTTCGTCGCGCAATGTTTCGTCGCGCAAATAGTGAAACGTAGTAGTGGTGATAGGGTTGGGATTAGGTAGGGTTGAATGTAACCAAAGTGCAAGGGATCCTACTCTTCAGTGACTACAATTGCGCACAACCCATGTGATCAGGCAGCCCATAGGCTATGATAAACCTAAAAAATTCGAAACTAAGAATAAATTTTTTTGACGAACATGACCAAGAATTATTGTTAGTAATGACACAAAAGAGATTGTGGAAAACCCATGCCAGTAGTAGGAGATGAACAATCCCCATAAAATCTCTTATTGTTTTCAGTTCTACTAGAGGTGCAAGTTGGATTGTAAATTTCAATTCCGGCCGATTCCAATTCCAAAATTTCTAATTTTTGCACTTCTAAATCAAATATGACATTAAAAAAAAGTTTTGAAATCCAAAAATTATGAAAAAATTGGATTGGATTTGGAACACAGCTCAAGACTATGAAAATTCAGAATTCTGAAATATATTGGGGTTTCAATTTTGAGCCAATCTTAATGTTTCAAATGTTTAAAATTTGAATTATTTTCCGAAATTTTTCAAAAAAATTCTGAAATATATAAGTTTCGTAGTTTTCCAAATATTCCAAAAATTTAGAGTTTTTCGGAATCGGAATGGATGTTGAAATTCCAAAATTCTTTGAAACAGAAAATTAGTTCGTTTTAGGGTTTGATGTTGACAAGCCATAAATCTAGAGATTCATTTCAGACAATTAAACATTTCATAAACGGTTTGTTTTTAAGAACCAAAAAGCATAACTAAAAATATGAATGAAAGCAACGAGACCTGGCAGGAATGTAATGGCGTAAGAAGGCAAGGACGTTGGGATTTTAGACTTCAACAACCAATATCATGAAGGTGGAGGGGAGGTGTGTGTTGAGATGAGCATCAAGCATGCAAGGAAGGGTTGAAACTACAACATTGATGAAAATAGAATTGGTTCAAACAAAGGCGAGCGTGTTGGGATTGGCAAATTTGGCAACAAGTACTAGAACAAGTCCAGCGCATCATTTCCACAAATTTGCTTGAACTAAAATTCCAAAAAATTTCATGGGCTCACATTACATATATGTATAGAATTGGGGATTTTACCCCTAGCAAAGATACATTAATATTTGGGTTGGCATGTGTAAAGTTTTTAATTTTTTTTGCTTAAAAGAAATTAACTAAATCATAATCCAAGTTGGAATTCTTATTTAATACCTTATTACGTGGCACGTGCCAGATCATTTGAGACTCAAATTTAAAGCACAAATTTAATATTCCTAGCATTATTAACTTAAAATTTTGTAAAAAGCAATAATCTGTCCCTAGCAGATCATTTGTAAAAATCATAATCTGTCCCTAATATTTGGGATAGATTATAATACCATACAATGAAAAGTATATATGAATGATTGGAGAACACAACAATGGCCACTTCGAAATGTCTCACCCGTTTGCATTAGCGGGCTTGTGGTCCTCCTTTGTCGTGCATGGGATGAAAAGTTTCACCCAATCAATTAGCTGCACAAGAAGGAATGAGGAGGGTGGTCAATTAATCTGATTCCAATTAGATGGAATTAGATGCTGCACGAAACTCAAAGGCTTGCTGGGTCTTTTCATGAAGTTCGGTGGTAATGGGAAGAGAACTCGGGCTGCCCCTGAAGCTGCAAGGCTTGGTTTGCGAGCGGTGGAAGGAAGTGGAGACTTGGGCCACTAGGCAACCACCGTCTCTAATATTATAAAGCATATTCTGGTCATTGATGGACTCCTACTACTACAAAAATCGTAATAGACGATGGGTTTTCGTTGTTGTCTTTATGCCTTGAAAACCATCATTTAGTGGACTGATATATTTTGAATGTCAAAATACGACGCTTTTTCACGTCATTAAGCTCCCCTTAGAAGCACGACGGTTCCTACTTAAAATCAATTCAACACAATTTATTTTTTCATATCCTATCATGACGGTTTTATAACAACTGTGAAAAACCATGACAGATTTATTTGTACCGTCATCTAATGGGCATGGTGGGTTTACACCATTGTAGTAGTGTACCTTTTCATGACCTGAAGCTGAGCAACTGAACAGGAGCCCCGAGGAAAATTCTGGGGAAAGAAATGAACAAGAGCTTTTGCAAAACGAAAATAGTGAGACCTGGAAGATTCATAGGAATGAAATCAGCTCATCTGAAGGCACAGACGTTGGGGTTTTCGACTTCGGCAACAAATACGATGCAGGTCATATTGATGGTCTTGATGCAACAAAAAATAAAAAAATAATCCTGAACATATATAATTTGTTTCATTTTATTTACTTTTCTTCACTTATTCCTAGTTTATAATTGGATGATTAGCACATTAATTTGTGTCAATTATTAATACAACAATTATATATATATATATATATATAAGATGAACAATATATCATATCACTAAATATAATCATATCACGAAGTATAATCGTACCACCAAATATAATCATGTTTTTCTTGAACACATCACCAAACATTTACATATTTATTTATACCATCCTTTATAAAAAATATCTTTTTGATACTTATTATTTTTTAAAATTATTTCTTAAAACGTATTACGGTCTAATTATGTAATAACCTCAAAAATAATACTTTGTTTTATTATTTTTGTGGAAAATCTTATTAAGTTGTGTGACTTTATTGGGTATTTTATGAATTTGGTTTGATGTGAAAATATTGGAATTAAGTGAGTTTAATCTCAAATTTAGACTAAAATGCCTTTATGATTAAGTTTATGATTTTTTTCGAATGAAATAGGCCCGTTTCGGCCCGGCCCGTTGGGCTTAGCCCGGCCCAGCCCAATGGGCTTTCTCAAGCCCGACCTATGGGTCGGGCTTGGGCTTTGAATTTTTTTTAAAAACCCGGCCCGGCCCGATATTTTCTCTCTCTTCTTTAAAGCCCGGCCCGGCCCATTGACGAGTCCTACCTTCCACGCAAAGGAGTCTTGAAAGAAGACTTTAATTTGATTTTAATTGCTAAAAAACAAAAAGCCTGGCTTGGGCATGGCGTTGAAGGGGAGTAGGCTCTTGCCGATGCAGCAGACCCATCCTTCTCCACCAAGTTGCAAGTTCGACTTCGAATGTAATTTTTTTTTGGGTTTTTTCCTTCTGTTTTTTTCTATAAAAAAAAATGTCTTTCATTATTATTATTTTCTAATTTATTTGTTTAATTGATAGTTTGATTTGAATTTTGATTAGATTAATTAATATTAATTAATAATTTTATATGAATTTTGGTATACTAATTTATGTAAATTGGCATGGATTTTGTTCATATATTAATTGATATAGACTTAGTCAATTAGTCATAGTATTGGTTGTCTATTTTTATTTTTATTTTTTTAGTTTTTAACCTTTTAAATATTGTACTTCTCCTGAAAAATTCCTGGATCTACCATTTCCAGACACGGGTTTAGGTATCAAATATATATTTTTATGTTATTTAAAATATGTTTAAACGTAGCCTAATTATAGGCTTTTAGTTTAAAAATTCAAACCCAATACACTGAAAAGCCTTTCCTCATCCCCTCAATCTTTCTTGTATATTAAGAAAGAGAAAAAAGCAATCAGTTTAAAAATACAAATTCAATACATTGATAACATGTTTACTAATCCGTAATTGGATTAGGAGGAATTGAATTGAGAAGGAGTTGGATTGAGCAAAATTAGATTTCGGATTTCTATTGAAGTTATTTACTAAACCATATAGATTGAGGGGAGTTGGATTCCGGATTTCAATTTTTTTTTGCAATTTTTTAGGAGAAGATTTTGAAGAGAAAAATATTTGGTGCGGAAAGTGAAAAATATTTGAAGGAGAAAAAAAAGTTCATTTTTTTTTGCAATTTTTTATGGAAAAAAAGCGCACCCGTTGGATTTCTCATAAATCCATGATCGGAGCGTCCGGGAAGCGCCACGTGGCTTCTTCCTGTTGGTTTCTGTCAACGTTGACTTCTACCGTGATGTCATGCTACATCAACAACCTTCAGGCCACAACCCAGGCGATTCTTGCGCTTGGGCTTGCCCAAGTTGGTGGTTCCCACCCCTTACCAAAGCTCCCCTTGCGCGCTGGAGGAGTTTTTTGGGCCAGGAGCCCCCTTTTGCCTGCCTTCCCCCCTTGCCTCTAAACACACCATGAAAAGATTAGAGTGAACAACCACGACGACTTTAAAATTCCTTTCCCCAATGACGATGGGGTCCTCCTTTGAATATTTCTACTTTCCACGACGACTCTACCTCCTTTAATTTCACCTCGTAGGAAACGGCCGGTGTATTTATTATTTTTTTTTGGGTGTGATTATGCTTGATTTTGGTTTGCCTAATTTTGATTTTTGCTTAATTTCTTTTTTGGATGTTAATTTGTAATTCTTGAAATGTATATAAATCACACATATATTTCCATATGGATGCAGTGCAGCTAAAATACCTTAAACCAAAACAGAAAGTTACAAAATCTCTACAAAGAATTGTTGTTCATTCTAAGCAGAGCCGGCCCTGGCCCAGGGCCCAAAACTATGGTGGGCACAAAAATATGGTTTTTTAGCCTATATAATTACATTAAATTTTTTTTTAGAAAAAAAAACCCAAAACCATTACTGTCCTAGAAGGAAGTAGACGTAATCATTAATTATGGCAGCACAAACCTCTTTGAGATTCTCTAGGAAACTAAACATAAATTATATAATATAATATTTCAAAAAACAAAAATTAATGAAACTAAACATATGCAAACAAAGAGTTCTTAACACCAAAAAAAAAAAAGAACCAAACAAATGTTCTTATCTTAACCAAAAAAAGGACCTGGCAGTGGCAGCAACACACATTGGAAGATTTAGCAATTTGAAGGTCTTTTCTTTGTGTCATTATTTTTTATAAATAGATGTATAATAGGATTTTTGTAAGAGACATTTTTGTTAACTTATTTTTCTTTTTATTTGATTTAGCAAAAAACTCAACAGAGATTCTTGTTCTTCACAACTGGAAATTTGAAGTTTCAAGTTAAAGAAAAAAATTCTCAAAATTCAAATTTTATTATTCTTTGTTCATTAGTTTCATTGTTATTGTTCGTGTTTTTATAAAAATTAAAAAATGTTACCAAATAAAATTAATTTGTTTAAAAAAAAATTGTAATTTTAGTTTTTAATTTGTCTAAAAGGGCACTCTCTAGAAATTTGCCCTGGGCCTTAGAAAACCTAGGACTGGCTCTAATTCTAAGAAATATCTCATACAATAACCACGTGATAACTAACCTAAACAAAAATTACAATGTCAAAATAATATACCAAATATAAAAACTAAAATTAAAATTTTGCGTGAGGAGAGTAGTGGTGTGAAAACTTTGAGTAGGAGAGATCTAATTGCAGATAAGATGTAATAACAATATTCAGATACATTCACTTGGACCTCTTTTGGTTGGCCATGGAGTTAAAAGAGTTTATGGCTTGCTTAGGGCACTTGGGCACTTATGATATCTTAGGGATCAATGCAATTTCTCTCCCAATTTCCTGAAACCAAAATCAAATGAAGAACATAACTAAATTATACCATTTATCTCATCTTATCCCTTTAAACCCATAAATACAAGTTTTTAAGTTCAATTTGTTTATTTCAATATCAGTTTAACTCTTTTGCATGACATATGAAAATTTAAATTTAGCATTGGGATATATTAAAACTAAAAATAAAAATTAATATAGTCGGTTTGGTTCGGATCAATTTATTTTTTATGGTGTAGAATCAAAACTAGAACCAAACAAAACTATTCCAATTCGATCTTTTGAATTGGGTTTGACTTATTTGGTCAACTCTTTATTTTTTTCTCAACCAAATTTTGTTCGTTTGTCAGATTCTTTGGGTTCCGATGCCCCCCATATGTCAGTTTGTTATTGCATGCAAATAAATAAGAATCAGAGTGAACTTAGACATGAACATTGCCACATCAATTTTGATAATAAATTGTCACGCAACAAAGCTAGAGCAGGAAAGAAAAAAAAACTAGAGCAAAATTATCTACCTAATTGATTCTCATACTTAATAAAATAATCAAAAAGCATGAGAGGGCGCAATAAAATAAGACAGTGGTAGGAAGCATAGAAAATTGAAATGGCAAAGCCCCAAACAATGCACATGGATTTTATTCGCCAATTCGAGACTTACGACAACGAGTTAGAGAAGACTACATTTGCATTCACTAGATGGTACTTTAAATCTAATAGCAGAAAATATGTAATGATAATATTCAAATACACTATTTCGTGCCTTTTTGACACTTAGTTAGGTGGGTCTCCACTTTGACGGTGCATCTAGATTGTTGAGAGTATGTCACACTATGAAAAGTTAAATGCATTTAACATAAGTTTATAAAGAGTTAGGCTACTCCTACATATCCCATTAATTTTAAGATGAAACTTCAACGTCCTTCTGTTGGTGCCTAATAAAACACTGTCATGAACTGATTGAAGGGACCTCCCTTCGGCCCTGGCGCCTGCCGTTTCGTCAAGCATTTCGCCCTCCTAAGAGCAAAAGAAAAGCTGCAAAGGCAGAATCCCCTCGGCTTCGCGACCGCAGTTTTGAAGGCCGAGGCCGAAGGCCGCAAAAGATACGATCTGAAAAGCTGTGGTTGAATTGCCACGTGACCTCAGGGCCCCACGCTCCATTTAATGAAGTAATGCCTCTGACTTCGTAGCAAAACCCACTAGTCACAAGAAGCATTCAATGCACGAGGGAAGTGACTGAAGTCAGGATTTGGTGATGGGAATCAGGGTGGTTAGGCGCAGACATTCTCACAAGTAATCTTACGACTTAGGGTCAGATCATCAACCACCAGTCCAGGGCATTAAATGCGTTCCCACGGCCAAGGGGGCAGAACCCACGATCAGGGCGGTGGCCGAGATTTGCCGAGATTTATGGGGGTCACACCACCATGCTTCTCAACCCTAGACCACCATGCTTCACGATCCCAAATGCCGATTTGACTACCCACTTGCCCGGCCAGGCTCCACCACGCAGGTCTTGTCAGCCTCGAATGTCCCTCCAGGACTCCTATAAATGCTAAGCTCAGGACTACATTCAAAGGGTTCAAACACCAAACCAAAAGCCTCCCACGGAGCAAATTATATTTTCTGTAATGCACTTTCAATACCTTTATTTGCTTTCTTAGGAGTAGTGGTAGACTGTAAGGAAAGTCCATTTATCAATATATCATACGACCCTTGATTTCTAAGGCGCCGGAGCACCACCTCTGTTATCGCCTCACTCACTCCATATATCATACGACCGTCGCTCTCTGAGCAACGCGCTGGAACACCGCCTAAAAACCCACCACCAACACCACCACTAAACGGCCTTGTAGCTCAGGCCGTGAACCTGACAGCCGAGATTCGTTCCTCACTCGGTCACAATCGTTTGATTAGGAGTCGAACGCAAAACAGGCGCAACATTTAAACCATCTTCTACCCGAACCTCATCATCATCTCGACGCAAGGTAGACCGTGCTGGCACGCCCTCGCACAACCGCACCGCATCCAAAAGGAGGACGTCACGTGTTGACGCACATCCCCTCGACCCGGAGCACCAGGCCGCAAGATTTGCGACGGACCAACACCTTCATGTTATCATAGTAGACAATTGACGTATTGGGCACAACGCCATTTCCAATTGGTTGCTTTTTCTTTCGAACTTCACTTCCGAGAAAGGATAATGTATGTGGAAAAATACATGACTAGTGCCCATGGGATTCAACCATGCCAAGTGTGTTTGTCCTGAGATGTCTGAGGTTCAAACCCATCCTTAGGCATGTATGAGTAAAACATCGCCCCCCGCGCCCTGTCCCCTAACTAGTGGAAAAAAAAAACATAATTAGTTAGTTGACAGGCATAAAAACTTGTATGAACAGGGATAGTACTATTTTGCAATCCCGGTAAACCACAGACTGCCTGTGGAAAAGTTTTCATCCATGGCATAACGTGATTGGTTGGGGATATCAGTGCTATTCCCGTTTCATGTAAGTGTTTCTCCTGGACAGGGGCTAGCAACGTGGTGTTGTCGATACAGCTACGCCAAAATTGATTCAGCTGTATCCTCAACTTGTGATACTTGTAAGTGCACGAGCCATTGGGTAGTATAGCATGTGTAAGTGCGAGGTCGATCCCATGAGGATTGTTGATAGATTGATTCAATTCGATTCCCTGCACAAAAGAGAAATAGAAACAAGGTTTAAAGATGATTGACAAGAGTATATGAATTGAAAACAAAAAGTTAAACAAACAAAGAAGAAAGACACTAGGAAACAATCCAATTCTAAGTCTCAAACAATCACGTTAACAAGTTCAATTCAAGTAAAAAGATTGATTCTCTCTAATGTATAATTTAGCCATGTTGTCTGGTCTAAACCTTGTATTCCTAATTCTTCAATCATATCCTTTGTTGTCAAACCTAAATCAAGCATTAGAAATCCATTATGTATAGGAGAACATTTTAAACAACCAAATATGTATCTAATCCATGTTGTCGATGGTCCATACATACGCTTCCTATTCATAGTTCAATTCAAATTAAGGCATATAGTGTCTACTCTTAATTCCAACCAAGATAGCTAACATACAAGTTTAAATTCCTTCATGTGTGTTGTGTAGCCATATATTTATAGTCTCCTTGCTTGGCTAGGGTTTAAAGAATAATCCTTATTTAATTAGGATTATTCTTACTCAAAAAGATGATGAGAATTAATCAAAGAGATTTGCTGAAAATTGGTTCCATGATTTAGGGAAGATACTCCTATCTTAAATCAAAGATAAATCTCTAATTAATTAGGGTAATTAGCTGAGACTTAAGGAATATCCCCTTTTCCACGTGTCATTCTTATTGGTCGCAAAAATATGTGTTCCCACATTGTGCACACAAGCTCGCCTGAACTTGGTCCCTACAATGGTTAGTCTCAACTGCACAAAAGATCCTTCCTATTATCCTATTTTCCATAATTTCTTTATCAACCCAACAATTCCAACCATCACCCATAACAAATGAACATGTCAATATTAATAAAATAATATTATAATAATTAGCAACATGTAAACACCCAATATCAAGAATAATAATCAAATAATAATATCATGCATAATATAGTGTTCACGAAATTTAATTAAATCAATTTATGTAAAAGCTCCCTAAGAAATCCCCTACCTTGATTCCAAAGCTTTGCTCCAAGTTAAGAAACACATGCTAAGCCCTCAAAGAATTTCATCACCACTTCCTCTCTCTTCCTCTCTCACTTTCTTCTTTCTTTCATTCTCGCTTCTCCTTTCTTACTCTTATTTCAATAGTGGAAGGCCCTATTTATACTAGCATCAGGGGCAGCCCTGAGGGTGTGCAAGATGTGCCACCGTACATGGCCTTATTTTTTTTTTTTTTTGTATATATATATATATATATATAATATTATAGGTATTATATATATACTTGAGCGTGCAGGACAATAACACAAGCGAGAATTTGGTTGAGTTGGAAATCAATGCCTTGATTTTAGTAGGCAAGTCGGGTTTGAGTCAGTATTGTATCATTCAGTAGTTGTATATTTACATTTCTTCTCTTTTTTATATAACAAAAAAAAAAAAAAAAAAAAAATGTAAGTTAAAAAAAAAAAAAAAAAAAAAAAAAAAAAAAAAAAGGGAAAGGGAAAGGCAACAAAGCCAAAAAGGAAAACAATATATACAAGCTTTCACCAATCAACCAAAAAAATTTGTAGTGTATGTTTTCACCCACTCAAACAAAACAAAAAAAGTTCATGTCTTGTTCTTTCTCTTCCTTTTTCTCAAATTGAAACATTAAAATATTTGTGAATTTGATTTATGATTGCCATTGCATGCTAATCGATGATGAATTTTAGTTATTAAAAAAATTATCTTATAGTATTAAGTCATAGCAAATTTTTGTTAATCATAATAATATTTTCATATTAGATGAATATACGGATGTTCACGCACACAATAACAAGCTCAAGAATTCGTATATCTATTTAGGAAGCAGCTTTATCTCTCTGTGCAATCTCCATGTTCAGTTTAGCAATACTAGCACCCCATAAGGATGTTCAGTTGCTATTAACTCACAGCTTAGGCTGGTATTTAATTATTTTTATTATTAATAAATGTTGATAATTTTTCAGGTCAACAAATATATACCAACGTTAATTTAGTGAAATATTTCTTTGAATTTGCTTTGGAATATTTGCTCAGAGTCCACTTGTTTGAGGATATAGGTATGGGCTATGGGGTATGGACAGTTCAAATATTTTTTTCGACATGGGTATTATTGGAATTTGACAAGGAATCTAAATTATTGCTTTGCTTACACTAAATTAAAAAATCTTATTGTATTGGCTCAAAATGCTACAGAAAAAGCGGTTGTTTGTACCATGTATTTGTATACATGGTGGTTGTTGACATAGGAGACTGACTGAGCCGAATTAACCACTAGCACCTCGATGTGGACTCAAAGCCCACACCCACACTAGCTGAGGTAGACCGTCACGACTGACCACTCGAACCGGACGAGCACTAAAATCACACAGCTCCGTAATGTCACCACATCCATCCCTCGGGTTGGCCCATATGGTTAGGAGAAATCGAGGGTATCTTCCTACATACCTTGGAATGTCCATTGGTAACCTTGCACCCCCTCTAGGATCAAAGTTTTACGTTGACCACTGGTTTCACCAGTCAACACTGGTGATTATTCAAATTGCTGCTTTCTTTGATGTACAATATGTATTGTAGAATTTTTCCACAAGCATGGCCACTTGAAAAAGTCTGTCCGGCCCTCTTTGCATTAGTCTGTCTGTCCGGCCCCCCTTGCATTAGGACAAGAGTGGTCCTTCTCACAAGACTTTTCCAAGTTTTTTTGGTTTTTTCTGGAAAGACTTTCCCAAGTTGATCATTAGAAATATTGCAGATATAACAAAGACTAATAAAATAAATAAATAAATAAATATATTTATATATTAGTAATTTATTCCATTTTCAAGAGGAGGTCACATGCTCTCTTATAAACACACGTTAAAAAACATCTAGTCCCTATTGTTAATTGAACATAAGAATTCTACAGAGAATAGAAGACTTTTCTTTTTAGCTTTCATCAATGGCAGGTAAGTACTATATATTATGATTAATATGTTTATTTGATTGATTAAGATCTTTTCCTTGATGTGATTCTATGTGTGTATAGGGTTTAAGGAATTTATGTAATTAGTTTACAATAATAACTTCTATTTATTGAAAGATTGTCTTCCATCTGATTTTAGAGTAATTTGCCTCCACTTATTTGAAGATCTTTACATTTTTATCTTTGCATATACATAAGATGGGTCTCGATCTCGATCTGAAGCTGAACAACTGAACCAGAACTCTCAGGAGAGGGTAAGAAACCGCTTTCCTGGTCGTCCCAGAACGCTTTCTGGACAAGAGCCCCAAAGAGAAAGAACTGAACAAGAGCTTCAGCAAAACGAAAATAGTGAGGCAGAAAATACTGATGAAACCAATGAGACCTTCAACATTAATGAGAATGATTTCTACGCAAATGAAAGCACAGATGTTGGGATTCACGATGCTTACAATGAAGAAGGTGGAGGTGGTGTTGATGTTCATCAACCAAGGAGGGGTCGAAACCACAACATTTGTGGCAATACATTTTATGCAAACGAAGGCGAGCGTGTTGGGATTAGCAAAGTTGGCAACAAGTACAACAACAAGTCGAGCGTACCATTACTTCTTGGTCTTCTTGGTTTTCTTGGTCTTCTTGTTCTTCTTGTTATTGCTTCTTCTTTTTTCTTTTATTATCAATGGTGAGTAAGCAACACAAAAAATGAAGCAAGCGGCTTGAGTAAAAAAATGGCACGACTAAGGGGAACAAAAATAAATAGTTGGCGAAAAACTAGATTTTATGGGGCAGGTCAGGACTTGACCGCAGGATATGTATGGACTTGTTTTGTGGCAATCAATAAGTCAGAGTTCTTCGTTATTAGTTCTTTCTCATGCTCAGGATTAAGCTTTCAGATGTTCATGGCATTCGAATGCGGGAAAGTTTCCTCTTCTCGTTTGCGCAAATTAATAATAAATCCAAATACACACAGATTACTGATGAGTATATGTTAGGGGCTGATCCTTCTGAGTATATGTAGAACGTATTTTTCATGCTAAAAATCAATATATTAAATTCCATAGATCAACTCCAATACTATAACAAACCACATTCAAATAGTAGACACTACAAAGCAACAAAGACATGGACTATAAAATGGAAATGAACTCCAGCCTCTTTCTTTATTCAGCAGCGCAGCTCCCTTACTTTTTCGCCTATTTATTTTTACCAAAGCTTATATCATGGCTTGCTCGTTCCTTCTTCTTCGCTCGAGCTTCTTGCTTCGTCTTTCCTCGAGTTGCAGTACTTGTTGCCAAATTTACTGATCCCAACAAACTCCCCTTCTTTTGAATCAATCTTGTTGCCATCAATGTTGTAGTCAGTTTTGTTTTGACCCTTCCTTCCTTGATGATGATCAACAGCACCACTTTCATGATATTCGTTGTTGAAGTCGAAAACCCCAACGTTTCTGCTTTCTGTTGCCGTAATTACATTCTCACGAATGTTCCAAGTCTGGTTGCAATTTTCTGCCTCACTAGTTCTGTTTTGCGGGAGCTGTGATTCAGTTTCTTTTCGTGGGAGCTCTGTTTGAGTTCCAGAAATTTTTCTAGAGGAACCAGTAAAGGGTCTTGTTGCCATCTCTTTGTGCAGGTATTCTGCTTCATTTTTGGAGACCCATCTTGTATAGAGGCAAGGATATAAATGCAAATATAAAAAAATAAAGAAAAAAGTCCTGGTAATCAACTTGGATAGTCAAATATTAAAAAGGTATTTTATGTGGGTGGGAAAATTTCGTTTTTCCTATTGGTGTTCATGTTTCTTTCACATTATGTGACATAAAAAATTTCTTTTTAAGGTTTGATGTTGACAAGCCATAAATTTAGAGATTCATTTTAGACAATTAAGGCCCTATTTAGTATTCAACTTTTTAAACTCAAAAACAAAATTTAAATCCAAAACAAAGAAAACCTGTTTAGTAACCCTATTTTTAAAATTTCAAATATAGCATTGGATTTTAAAATTTTGTAATAAAATAAAATTAAAAAACTGCAACCGGTTCAGTTCGGTCCGGTCCGGTGTGGTGCCGCGTAAAATCGGAACAGGAACTGGAACCGGTTGTAACGGGTTCGGTCCGATTCTGGTCCAGTTTGTTGACGTTTTTGATCAACCGGTTTTTTTTTCTCTTTTTTTTTCACCGGTCCGGTTCGATGTTCTGGTTTTCCTGTCCCGATGCCCACCCCTAGTCACAAATGGCCAATACAAACTTGTCACAAGGGGCAATTGCAATAACAGAGTGATCTAACATCAAAATTAAGGCAATCTGATGTACCTCCATTAACGATCACTCATGATCGAAACTCTAGTATAAGCATCCCAATTAAGATTGTAAACTCATAATAATCAAAAAGAGATAAAGCTTGAAAAAATCAAGTCATAACAATACAAATAAAACTCACACAAGGGAGAGATAAAAAGCTCTCACAAAGGAGAGGTGAAAAGCTCTCACAAAAGGAGATATGAAAACTACACAAAGAACCCAAAGAGTCTTTGTGACTTGTTCCAAACACAAAAAAACCGCAAAAAATGATGATGGTGGAGATTCAATGCCAAAAATGTAGATGGAGATTCGACACCAAGACGAAGCCGCATGTGATGGTTGGAGGAAAATCATGACAAAACGAAGACAAATAGAGAAAAACTTATGTATCTGAAAATAGGAGAAGACGAGAAAGGAGGAAGAGAAGATAGAAGAGGGGAGGAAGAACTAAGTCTTTTAGAATGCCCCATGATTATTTCAGATATATAACTGAGATTAATTATAAAAATCAACTTATTTGAATCTTCGTTCCATTGGTATCTTTGGATTGATTTGGTTTGCCTAAGTTTGATTTTGCTTAATTTCTTTTTCGATTGTTAGTTTGTAATTATTTTATTTTATTTTATTTTTTTCTTTTGTCGAGATTCGAAAAAAAAATTGGAAAACTTGAACCTTTTTCCACACACACAAAGTCCTTTTTCACAAGACTTTTCCAGGTCTTTTTGTTTTTTTTTTTGCTGGAAAGACTTTTCCAAGTTGATCATCTGGAATACTGCAGATTATAACAAAGATTAATAAAAAAAAAAAAAAAAAAAAAAAAAAAAAAAAAAAAAAAAAAATAAAATACACATACATAATAGTAATTATTCCATTTTCAGCAAGTGGTCCATGCTCTCTTAGAAACACCCGTTCAAAACATCTAGTCCCTATTGCTAGTTGAACATAAGAACTCTACGGAGAGTAGAAGACTTTCTTTTGAACAACTGAACCAGAGCCCTCAAGAGGGGGTAAGAAACCGCTTTCCTAGTCGCCCTAGAACTCTTTATGAACAAGAGTCCCAAGGAGAAAGAACTGAACAAGTGCTCCAGCAAAATGATAATAGTGAGGCAGAAAATACTGATCAAAGCAACGAGACCAACAACATTAATGAGAATTATTTCTCCGCATTTCGAAGCACAGATGTTGGGATTCAAGATGCTTACAACAAAGAAGGCAGAAGTGGTGATCAAGCAAGGACGGGTGGAAACCACAACATTTCTCGCAATAGATTTTATGCAGAAAACAGCCGTCGGGTTGGGATTATCAACATTTCTCGCAATAGACTTGTTGGCATGTTACCTTACTACCAGCATTGCTTGAATAGAAACCCCAATGAAGGAAAGTGGATAAACCACAAATTGTAGTCATCAGATGATTTTTGGTTAGATTAATGATTGATGTCTTGAAATGTAGATAAATCATATATATATATATATATATATATTTCCATATGGATGCAGTGCATCTAAAATACCTAAAAACAGAAAGTCATTTCTAGTACCATAAACAAAACAAGAAAGTTACAAATCTCTACAAAGAATTCTTGTTCATTCTAAGAATATCTCATACAAATACAATACCCGTGTGGTAACTGACCTAAACACATATTAAAATGTCATATTTATGCCCCTCTCAATTGTGGGCCCCGGGCGATGACCTAGTTTCCCTGGCCAAGGTCCGGCCCAGGTCAACACTGGTGATTATTCAAATTGCTGCTTTCCAAATTTGATGTACAATGTATTGTATAATTTTTCCACAAGCATGGCCACTTTAAAAAGTCTGTCCGGTCCCTCTTTGATTAGGACAAGAGGGGTCCTCTTTTGATAATTGCAAGATAATTATAATTTCAACGTAATCAATTAGCTAGATAATTGATAATTGCAAGCACTAATTATAATTTATTATATAATTAATGTGAACTTCTCTTTTCCTTGAGCACCAAAACTCTCCAACCCAAGAAAAAAGACAAGGGCGGAAGAGGCAATGACTTCAACATCGTTGGGAATAATATATTACGGGGATAAAATCAGAGAGAGTAGGAAATTTTATTTGATTCAACATCTTTTCCTTGATGTGATTCTATGTGTGTATAGGGTTTAAGGAATTTATGCAATTAGTTTACAATAGTAACTTCCAGTTATTGAAAGATTGTCTTCCAATTGATTTTGGAGTATTTGCCTCCTCTCATTTGAAAGATCTTTCCATTTTTATCTTTGCACATACATAAGATGGGTCTCGATCTCAATCTGAAGCTGAACAACTGAATCAGAGCCTCCAGGAGAGGATAAGAAACCACTTTTCTGGTCGCCCTAGAATGCTTTCTGGACAAGAGCCCCCAAGGAGAAAGCATGGATATTGGGATGCCTACAACGAAGAAGGTGGAGGTGGTGTTGATGTTCATCAACCAAGGAGGCGTCGAAACCACAACATTTCTGGCAATACATTTTATGCAAACAAAGGCGAGCGTGTTGGGATTAGCAAAGTTGGCAACAAGTACAACAAGAAGTCGAGCATACCATTTCTTCTGGTCTTCTTGTTCTTCTAGTTATTGCTTCTTCTTTTCTCTTTTATATATCAATGGTGAGTAAGCAAAACAAAAAATGAAGCAAGCGGCTTGAGTGAAAAAAATGGCACGACTGAGAAGAACAAAAATAAATAGTTGGAGAAAAACTAGATCTTATGGGGCAGGTCAAGACTCTACCACATGTTATGGGGCATGAAAAACTAGATTTATGTATGGACTGGTTTTGTGGCAATCAATAAGTCAGATTTCTTCGTTATTAGTTCTTTCTCATGCTCAGAATTAAACTTTCAGATGTTCATGGCATTCGAATGCGGGAAAGTTTCCTCTTCTCGATGCACAAATTAATAAATTCAAATACACACAGATTAATGATGAGTATATGTTAGGGGTTGATCCTTCTATGATTTTGATCAAGACCCATATGACTTCGGGGTTCATAATCCCTACTTTTCTCATGTAGAACGTATTTTTCATGCTGAAAATCAATATATAAATTCCACAGATCGACCCAAGAGACCAAATTCTCAACTCCAATACTGTAACTAACCACATTCAAATAGTAGACACTACAAAGAAACAAAGACATGGACTATAAAATGGAAATGAACTCCAGCCTCTTTCTTTATTCAGCAGCGCAGCTCCCTTACTTTCTCTCTTGTTTATTTTTACCAAAACTGATACCATGGCTTCTTGCTCGTTCCTTCTTCTTTCCTCGGGTTGAAGTACTTGTTGCTAAATTTTCCGATCCCAACAAACTCCCCATCTTTTGAATCAACCTCGTTGCCATCAATGTTGTAGTCAGTTTTGTTTTGACCCTTCCTTCCTTGATGATGATCAACAGCACCACCTTCATGATATTCGTTGTTGAAGTCGAAAACCCCAACGTTTCTGCTTTCTGTTGCGGTAATTACATTCTTCTGAATGTTGCAGGTCCGGTTATTACTATTTTCTGCCTCACTAGTTCTGTTTTGCGGGAGCTCTGATTCAGTTTCTTTTTGTGGGAGCACTGTTTCAGTTTCTTTTCGTGGGAGCTCTGTTTCAGTTTCACAAACTGTTCTAGAGGGACCAGTAAAGGGTTGTGTTGCCATCTCCTTGTGCAGGTATTCAGCTTCATTTGGAGACCCATCTTGTATATAGAGGTGAGGATAAAAATGGAAATAATAAATAAATAAAGTCCTGATAATCAACTTGGATTAGTATAGTCAAGACTAAAAAGGTATTTTATGTGGGTGGAAAATTTTCGTTTTTCCTATTGGTGTTCATGTTTCTTTCACATGATGGGACATAAAAAAAATTTGTAGATCCAAATTGAAATGGTGACGGCTGCTACTAATATTAAATAAATTATCATTAGAAAAAGGTAATCGCATGATTATAAATGCTAATTAATTAATTAAATAAATCCACATATATAATAGTGTGTCCCTATTGGCTAGTTGAACATCAGAACTCTACAGAAAGGAGAGGACTTTCTTTTGAGCTTTCATCAATGGCAGGTATGTATGTACTACTATGCATGATTAATATTTTTATTTGATTCAAGATATTTTCCTTGATGTGATTCTATGTGTGTATGCCTATAAGGAATTTATGTAATTAGTTTGCATATATAGAAGATAGGTCACAGTTCAAACGATAGAGACCACTCGCTGGTTCACGGGCATGTTTTCAAACCCTACCATATAGGTATTTGAATACGTGAAGTGTGAACAAAACTCTTGTTCAGACTTTTGTTTTTGGTCTGAATCTTGTTCAAACTTGAATTCATGGTGAAATGATCTCAATTTGAAAAGCAAGAGCAGCATATGCACATGGTAGGACCACCACTAACCTAACGTAAACCCAAACACACGCGAGTAGGATGTCTGTACAATATTAAGTACCACTAAGATTCCCTAAACCATTAGGAAACAATAAGGGTAAATTACTCAAATAGTCCTCAAACTTGTACCCGATTTACATTTTGGCCTCTCAATTAAATTATTCGTTCAAATGGTCCATCAACTCTATATTATTCGCTCCATTGATCCCACCGTCTAATTTTTTGTTAGATTTAACTAAAGAAACTCAAAGGTGGCGGTCTCAACATTTGTGACAATAAGATTGAAGGAGATAGAGTTCCAAAAGCGTATCACAACTTCAGCAACTCCCAATGGAACTTGAAGACAACTAATACTGAAAATGGCTGCAGCACCAACCGATCCAGAATTTCTAAAAATAAAATTACAGCACGCAATGGATCCTCAAATGTCGGGAAATTCAACTTTCACAACTTCAATGTCGACTTGAGCAATGCCGGCAAAGGTCAAGGTGGCTCTGAAGGAAACGAGGGCTTCCACAAAAACAAAGGTATCAGTCACGACATTAATAATAATACAATTATAGCAGTTAATTCCCGAAAAGTTGGGTTACAAAACTTTGGCAACATCAAATACAACCGCAAGAGTATTATTATACGTCGATAATCATGTTAATTCCAGAATTTCTTTAGCCATGTGAATTGACATATACCATATGAGAATTTGATGTTGCCATTGGACTCCTCCGCATTGTATAAACTCTTTGTAGTTATTGTAAAACCTATTAGATGCCGTGCATGAGTAAAACTTTCTATTCTCCACCACAGGTCTCATTGTATATTCTGCTTTTGACATGCTGCGGATGTGATTTTGTCTGGCAGTTTTAATTACGTTGTTTGTATATATACAAGGAATATTTGGGATTAGTAGTCACCAAAGAATAATCGGAATATTAGGGTTTAATACCTTGTACCATGCGATATGTTGGAACATTCATTCTTCTATTATATTCATTTGGTGAGTTAGATTATATAGCAGGATATAGTCCGGGCCAGAGAGGGAGCTAGGGTATTGGGGGATCCAATGCCCCCCTCTAAACTTTCTTGAGACCTTTGTTTTCTTAACACAATTACAAATCTTTTATTATCAAATCTTTGTATATCTGACAAAGTACATTTAATTTGAGTCAATATCTTTTGCTAGTATCAATGATAAATAGATAGTGAATGTGATATGTAGAGTGTAGTAATCAAATTTAGGAATTTAGTATCACGTAAAAAATTAGTTCAAATGCCACCGTAAGAAAAATATATTTTAATATTTGAGGTGTCTCCTCTATCAAAGTTTATGGCTCCGTCACTAATTTCTTGTCTAATGGATGATGTGTGTGACGGTCTAATAAAGTTATGGGCATATAAAGTTGTCTAGAGTGTTTGTTGATGGGCAAAATTCTCAAGGTCGGCTGACTATACTGAGCTTCCACTCACGCTATTACTCTCTCAACACTAGTTTACACACCCCACTAGTAAGTTGAATAAACCTGATGGTTTCCGTTTAACAATTTGATTTGGTTTGAGGAGATTAGGAGAGAAATTTCATTGATCCCTAAGATATCATAAGTACCCAAGTGCCCAAAGCAAGCCATAAACTCTTTTGACTCCATGGCCAACCAAAAAAATAAGGTCCAAGTTAATGTATTTGAATATTGTCATCATTACATTTACCAACCAGTAAACCATTTACGTACCAACCAGTGAACCAGTCTTCGTTTACCCCTGAAAAACTCCTTACCCCGACACTCTCTCTCCTACTCAAAGTCCAAAGATTCACACCACCCTTTCACACTCTCCTCTCCTCACGCAAAAAGGGCAAATAGGCCAGTGATGCATGGGACCCGATTTTTATTTGGGGAGCAGTGTTTGATTTTCAGGATCTAGTGGACCTGAATTCTAGTACAATTGAAAAAGAAAAAAGGCCTACTTGATCCTGAAAATTACTACACCCACCCACCCAAACAAAAATGGGGTCGCACACACCGGCCTATTTTGCTTTTTTCGTGAGGGGAGTGTGCAAGGGTGGTGTGAACCTTTGGACTTTGAGTAGGAGAGAGATCGTGGTGCATTCAGACGTGCTCTGCCAATTGGTTGCTTTATTATCTTTCTATCTTCACTTTCGACAAACACTAATGTAACAGAAAGAGAGAGCTTGACTAATCATATTCTCACATTGTCTATTAGATAAGGAAGAAGAGTTTAGTTTAGCTTCACTTACAATTAGAAACAATAGTTACTTTCTTTGGCACGCAAGCAGCCAATTATTGGTACCCCGAGTCCCAGGCGATGAAAATATGTCTACCGGCTGGCTATTTCTGAAGCCTATATGCAATGATGCTCATAACCAGGCTATTTCTGAAGCCTATATAGAAATATTTGCTCAACAAGGCACAGTAGGCTCTCTGAAGCAGAGTAAGCCATCGGATTTTTGGAGTATTGGTAAAAACAAAATGAAAAAGCAGAAGCCAAAGAGGCATAAAAATCATCAGTAATCCCATTTTTTTTATATTGAAAGAGGAGGTAGGATTGGAGAAGGGTGAAAGAGAATCAATTTTTTCATGCCATAATTACCCTGATATTTATTTTGATAACACTGTTCACAAATCTCAGCCAGCAAAACCCGAAGCACGTCAACTCTCCCACTCTCTCATCTTCTTCCAGCATACCAGCTTTCCCCACCCTCTCATATTCTACTCGTTGACCACTTCCCTCACCATATAGCCTTACTATAGTTTTATAATGAATTTTTATTTTAATACATATTAGTATAGAAAATACTTTTATAGAATATTAAGGTCGCAAGGCTTTACTTTTATCAATTATGAGTGGAATAATTTTTCCATTTGAAAAGTTGTACATGTTTACACCATAATCAACCGAGCATATCGAGCCTCAAAACAACTAGCACTAAGGCAGCCACGCCTTCTCCCCTGCCGAAGGAAGACACTCTTCCAAGGTGCCAGACACCTACCGAAGGTCCTAACTGCTTAACCTAATCTCCATGACACGTGTCACCACCACGGCAACTTGCACAAAGTCTCACATTGAAATTCTACACGAACATCCCACTTTCACTTCCCTATAAATAGGGAATAGTATCCATGTGAAATGGGGATTTCTCTCTACTTAGAAGAGGATCCGGGTCTTGGAGCTAGACCCTTGGGCCTTG